TGAGAGAGGAGGAAGAAAACCATGGCGGTCAACGTTTGGCGGGAGTACCAGATCGAAAGCCCATTGCCATTGATCACATGTGGCCGCCGCCGAGATTGTTGAGGCCGCCACTCTGGTGCTGATGCGGGTTCTCGTCGAACGAGCTTCGATTGCCGAATCCATTCGGCGACGAGTTGATCATGGCGGGCATGCTCATCCCAGGTGGCATCGAGCCGGGCGGCGCCATCGGGATGCCTTGCATCTGACCGCTATCGGCTCGATTGAAGGGATGTGGATGACCGTGCTGCATCGAATGTCCGTGAGGCATCATGTGCGACCCCATCCCCACGTTCACCCCACCACCACCTCCGACACCGCCCGGCGGGACCATGCCTCCGCCGGGTGGCATCATGGAACCAGCTGCCATGTTGGGATCGCCGCCCTTGCGCTTGATCTTCTTGGCCCATCGCAGACCACACGCGTTGCAGAGCGTCTTTGGTCCCAGCGGTCCTTTGCGCCATTCGGGCGAGTCGACTCGGCCGCAGTCGGTGCAGACGTGGTCGCCGTCGTCCTGCTTTGGCTTCTTCTTGCGTCGCGCGTCGTCGGCGGCATTGCCGGTGCCATCCGCGCCGACACCGTTGGCGTTGCCCAGCATGCCTGCCGCCTCGTCGTCCGAGTCGTCGCCCGCAGAGACTCCGAGGCCCGTCAGCACATCGTCGCGCGCACTGTTGCCGCGCATGAGAGGACTGGTGGGATGCGACCCGATCGAGTTCTGCCGCGAGCTGTGACCTGGTCTTTGTTGAACAGGCTGCGTCGGCAAGATGCGTCCATCGGGGCCGACGGCGGCAGCGCCAAACATGGGATTGACCGGATGCGCCCATCCGCCTGCCATCGTCTCGTTCTCGAGCTCCTGCTTGAGCAGATCCGGGTGGTACGCTGCTGCGAACGAGTTGCGGTCGTGTTCGTTTTCGGGACCCGTTAGGTCCATATCGGCGATGAGCAGACGCAGCTTTTCGTTCTCGAGCTTGAGTTCGAGGAACGAGTCGAGCATGCTCGTATTCTTGCTCGGATAAGGGCGTGCCGAGCAGAAGAAGCACTGCAGCTGCGAGCGTGAGCTGCTCGTGGCGTCGCTCGTCGGCGTCTGCAGCGTCTGCTCCTGGCTCAGCGGATGCGCCGCTTTCGACCCGGTGGAGAGGCTGGCAACCATGCTCTCGGATTTCACCGCAGGTGTGTCAGTGGAACCGCTGTTGCCTGCACCCTTCTCGTTTTGCTGCTCGTCCTTGTCCTTGTCGCCGTCGCCTGCATCGCTGGCAGCAGCGGGCAAGGGCTCTGGTGGGAAGTACGGGTGGCCTGTGGCTTCAAAGACAATGTAGTCGCCGTCGCGCGTAAAAGCGTCGGCATGCTCGGCCTCGTTGCGACGCTCGTTGCTCTTGTCCTTCTCCTCAGCGGTGTCCCCCGCCGACGAATCGTTGTCCTTGGACGTCTTTTCCCCCTTTTTGGGTGGACGGATGGTCTTGGGCTTGGTCTTGAAGCGGTAGTAGGTCAAGAGCTCGCCTTTGCTGCTACGCATCCTGTCGATTTCACGCTCCACCGAAGCAGCATCCTGGGGGTGCACAAACTCGATGAGCTTGCGCCCCTTGAGTTCTTCGCTCTTCCAGCCCGTGAGGCCTTGAACGCTGGGACTGGCGAAGAGGATGGTGCCCTCCGGATCCAAGACGTGAACGAAGTCGAGCAACTCTTCGACGACGCGGCCGGTCCATCCCTTGCGCTTGGTGAAGTCGGTGGCTGCAGAAGAGCCGCTGGCGCTCACATCGACGCCGCGAAGGATTTGGCTGCCAAGACCAGGCGGATGACTGGCAGCATGTCCGCCCATCGCTGCCAACGCCTGTGACCCAGCAAACGAATGGCTCTGCTGACCTGCCGGATACAAGGACGGCGGCTGCGGGTAAGCGAGGCCGCTCCCGTATAGATCTTGGGCGCCACCGTCGATGCTGCTGAAGGAGCGCTGCCCAAAACCAGATGGCCCCATCGCCTCGGATCCGCTGCGGGACCTGCGATGGCGGAAAGGCGGACGTATCAAGTTGGTCTGCTGTCCATCCTGAGTGTAAGCAGGCATGGGTGTGGAGCCGATACTGTTCATGTCGCTGATGCCGCTGGAGCTGTCATTGTGCATCAGCATGGGCTTGTTCGCACCACCCTGCATGTGTATTGGGTTGATGGGTGCACCACCAAACGTCATGCGTCTACGCTTGCCCTGCGCGGAATCTTCGCTGCTGTTGGAGCCAGTACCTTCGGGTTCGTAGCCGCTCATACTGTTGTTGCCAAAGTTGATGTTGGAAGGTGCTTGCATGGACATGTTGCCCATCCCATCGGCGCCGCCCTGCATGAATTCCTGCATGTTGGCGGGCATACCATTCCAGGAGCCGTCTTGCTGCTGATTGGGCTGCGATGGATCGACGGTCCTCTGCGACTGACGCCTGGATGCAGGTGCCGAGACGGAACCGTTGAAGCCGAGATGGCCATAGGCGGCTGCAGCCGCTGCAGATGCAGAGGGATCCATTGCGTTGGGCGGCATGGACGGAATGAAACGTTGAGTGGGATTGATGTCCATGGATGGATTTGAGAGACCGGCGCCCGAATGCTGTGGCATCATCATCTGAGAGGAGTGGGAGAAGTTGGCGGCGGTATCGAAGCCGGAAAAGCCTTGATTTGACATGTCGTTCGAGGGATTGGACTGCAACATGCTTTGCATCGCCTCCTGGTTCATGGAGCCGTCATTGTTGAATAGAGGTGGGTTGAAGCCAGGCGGCTGTTCACCTCCTGAGCCGGACCAGCCCTGTTCCTGCATTTCTGCTCAGTTGTTAATCAGAACTGGCGCGGCGTTTGAATGGAAGCAAAGCTCGCAGGTGTCCGTACGAGCGATGGTGAGGTCGGAAACAATCGACGGATCGACTCTTGTCAATGCAGCTGTGCCGATTTCTATCGTTTTCAGCGTCGGGTAGGCAACGAGATGTACCTCGCGAGTTGCGTGCAGCTGTTTGGGGCAAAGCAGATGGACGGGACGCTGCGTTGAGTAGATTGAGCTGATGTCGATGTTCGAAGGATCCCTGCCAGCAGTCTGCGAGGCTTGATCAGCTTCGCCGAAATCAGAGTCGATGGAGCTCGAGCTGCGTAGGAGATCAACAACGATGGTTGCCTGAGCTGCGATTCGAGAGTCAGTGTCGAGATCCTGAACACAAGGCCTCGCAACTGACGACAACACCTGATTCTTGCTGGATCGCCGGGCGGCAGCAGAGTTTGTCTGGCTGAGGGGTGAGTCGAAAGGATGTACTGGTCAGGCTCTCCGGAAGGACGAGTGATGAAAGACGCTGCCGGTATGATCGGCGGTTGTCGAACGAGACGCTGGAAGAGCACGATGTGGGTTGCAGTGCAGAAACGATCGAAGCGAACCACCAAGCCGACGGTGCCAGAGGATGTGCTATTGAACGGCTGCCGTGTGGGAGGCAGAACACCCGTAAGGCCAGGAAAAGGCGTTGATGGAGGAGGTAGGAGAGGCTATGGATGATGGCAATGACGCAACGAGCAAGACATCAACGAGGAGGCCGAAGGGAGATGGAGGGCCCGACTTTGCAAGCAAACGGAAGCAGCACAATTGATCTCTCGTACAGACACGACCGCCTGTGCTAGGTGGACTCTGTGGTCCGGGCGGCACCTCTTTTCTGTTTCTTTGTGCTAACTTATCCAACTGACTTCTCAGCCGCCGAAGGGACACAAAGCGAGGGAGGTTCCGCGACGCAAAGGCAAAAGACCGACCACTGTAAGAGGCCGACAGACAGGCAGACAGACGGACGCCGCCTCTGAGAATTCATCAAGCAAGTTTTTTCTCGAGTCTCAAATGTGCCTTGCCTGTGTGCCGGCGAACGACCCTGTGCTCGTGCCAGAAACCATATCCGACGCGAGCGGGACAGCACGGTGGCAAAAGTGGCGATTGGAATTATTTCTCGAGGTGTTTCGCTTCTCTTCGTGTTTCTCCTTTCTTGTCGCTTGCGGTTCGCTATTGATTGACCCTTCCCTCGTCTCGCGCAGGTTTTGAAACCGGAATCAAGGGGCGTGTACCGCACCGCGATGGTCCCTGAAGTCCGTCGTGCTGGGCTGCGTTGTGCCTCTGTCCTTGCTCCTCTCCTCAAGCACTCGGCACGACTCCAGCTCGACTAACGTTGTCCAGACTAGCCTCAAGCCTGTACGTAGGCGAGGTCGATTCATCGTCCAGCACGCACAACGCGTAAGTCACATTGAAACGGCATGGGATCCTGCTTCAGGAGAAAGTCGGTGTGAACTCTGAAAAACAGAAGTGAGAATCCGTGGCTGCACGGCAAGTCTTCTGAGCGCCACACGAGCAGCGGAATGGAACGACGAGCAACGACGGGCGAACGAGGGTGGTGCAGTGCACTGCACGGTTGCTTTTTACCGAAACAAGCCAATCTGTGGTACGGTGTGGCAATGTGGTGTAAGTGTGCATTGCGAACGGAGCAGTCCCGCGCCAGCTTGCACATGGGCGGAAACGGTGTACGTTGAACGACAGGCGTGACAGCAGCGGAAGTCCTTCTTCAAGGGTTCGTGGACCCTTGGCGTTGAACCCTGAAATACCGACAACGCTAAAGAGACCCGGCCAACGAGCAACGATACGCGTCGGTGTTTGGCCGCATCCGATTATGAAATCAATACGGAAATCAATTTCGGCCTTCCAAAGATGTATCCACTGCAGATTGCTAACGCGAGGTGCAGCGGATTTTGTATACAAAGGGGAAAACAATGGAAGGTCCCACACCCGAATTTGAAAGGCACATTCACCGCTCGTAACACAGTCTTGCCGGGGCTTACATACGAAATTGTCCTTTCTTTCGTTTGACTTTCGACGAAAGGCGATCAACGCATCAGCAGCAGCATCAGCATCAGCGATCGACTCTGTAGGAGGAGAGCTGTGTATCCTTTTCGACACTGTGCAAGATAATCTCAGAGCGAGGCCGTCAACTGACTGTCGATGGCTTTTGAGCTTAGTATGGGCCCCCACATAGCTTCTGACGTTGCGAGGCTCCGATCATCATCTGTCAACTCGACAAGCAACCTCATCGTGATCAGTGCGAGCGTCGGTTGTGCGACCTACTGGTCAACTCCGGTTAGTGCCCCTTGAAAAGAAAATTGGTGCTGTTTTTCAGCTGTTTTCACTGAGAGCCACCCAGCATCCCTGTCGGTTTCCGAAGTTTTTTATGTTGGACCCTCGGGTCCGGACGCCACAGCCCCGGCGCCGTTCGTTGGAAGTCAACCTTGAAGCCATCTTCACCTTGGTCCACCCTCGCTTTGAAAAAAAGGCAAGAAGAAAAAGCTGGAGCTCGGCTCTTGAACTCCCCCACGAACCGCACAAACCGGCTTGAAATGCGAATCGCCGCAACTTCTGGGGCGCCTTGCTGTGGTTTCTGCAACCTACAAACTCAGTCGGGTATCATCGGCATCTCGATCAGCCAAACAATGTCAGCGTGCAACGACAACGGCCTATTGGAACTGAGTCCAAGTTGAACCTTCCTGGTGCCTGAGCAACACAACCACACGTCAGGCCCTCGTCTTACAGCCTGACAACTATCCTGCTCGAGCTTCTTCTCGTATATAGTGGTCGCGTCACCTGACTGGCTGGCCGAGATGGATTCTTGTGCTCAGACCCGCGCCAGGCACGCATCACCGCACGAGACCTATGTACTTTTTCAGCTCCGCTCCAAAAGCTGAATGCAAATGTTACGGATATCGTCGCAGATGCTCGGTGCCCGGCGCCTTATTGCAGCGTTGGTAAAGCTCGGCATGCAACTGCAGAATCGCCGTTTTGCTACCGTGCTACTGATTTGCGATGTAGAAGCTTTTGGTCTAACATTTCATCCTTTTTTTCGTGGTTTCTTCATAAGGTGTCCAACGCTCTCTCAGCACACACCACGGATGCTTGGTCTCCCAAGGTCACACAAGCTCGTGATCACGCCTCCTCGCGTGGCAGCATAACAAATTCAGTCAAGATGATTGGAGGTTGACTTCGACAGTTCACTCTTCCTCATCCGTCGTTTCATCGTCGGCAGCAGCTGCTTTGTCGGCCATGACGTATCCCTCGACGATCAGACTCGCACCTTGGGCAAGGCCGTCGACATCCTTCAACTGCGTGCTGCCAGCCTGTGCTGCCTCGATGCGCTTTCTCGGGTAGCCGGTCACCAGGCTGAATTTGAACTCGTGCTCGTAGCCTTGCGGTTTCTGACTCGTGGCGCCGTCGATATCTGTCGAAACAGAAGAGGTCTCGACAAAGGCGAACACAGCATCCACCGTGTCTGCAGGAGAAAAGCGCCTTGTCAACGTTTTCCCGCTCGGCAGTCGAAAGCTCAACTTGACCGCATCAGCCGAAGCGACAGGCTCTGCTGGTACGAGATGGTGGCGAGCCCATCTTTGCCAGGCCTGCTTCTTGCGTTCCGCCTGTTCTTTCCGCTCCTGCTCGTCTCGCTGTCGTTGCACTTCCAACGCCTTCAGCCGCTCTTCTTCGCGCTTCTGTGTAATTCGTTCGGCGTCGCGACGACTGGCTTCCTGGTAGGCACGATCTTGGTCGGCTCGAAGCTGACGCTCCATCTCGCGGTGACGCTTCTCAGCTCTCAGCCGGTCCAGGTATGTGCGGGTTCTCGGCAGTAGCACGTCGGAGATGTGGGAAGCAATCGTTGCAGCCGAGGTGGCCGTCGACGGCGAGCCTTCGAGCCTTGAGAGCACCGCTGCTCGAGGCGAGGAAGACGATGATGCTGCCGAGCTCCTGCTCGACGAGCGCGATGGCTGCAATGCGACGAAGGCGACAAAAGGGTATGTGGTGGCTTGAAGCGTGGTAGCAACTTGATGCGCTTCGCGCTCTCTGACGTCCCCGCCCCACACAACGAAATCGTCCCTCGACAGTAGCTCGACGAGATCGCTGTCGGTCAAGGTGGTTTGCTTGAAGCGGTCTACGTCTCCATGCTCGCGGCTGACCAAGATGATGGCGAGGATCTTGATCTGCTCCTTGGCGGTACGCAGCGCGTCCGAGTAGCCGCCGATGAAGAAAGGAGGCAGCATCATTGTCGGTGGCGCTCTGGTCGCCGAGTCTTCGGACGAAATTGCTGAGCGAGACGACGAGGCTCCGGTATCCTGCTCGAGCTCCCGTACGAAATTCTCCGCCGAGGTGCGGGGATCCGATCGGCTGAGTGTACGTGATCCAGGACTGCCGCCAAAAAGTGAAGGGAACAACGTTCTGATGCGAAGCAGACGTGCGAGGAAGAGCAGTATACCTGATGCTATGGAAAGTGGAAAGGTCAAGGCTGTCCAGATCATCTGCGCAACGCTCATCGTGCCGCCATCGGCGCCGCCTCGGGGATGAGGACGCAAGCCGGCGCCTCCAGGGAGACCACTCGGCGCACCGGTGCCAGCGTTGAATGCACGTCTCGAAGCGCTGTACGGCGAAGATGTATTTGCAAACGACTGGTCGAGGTCCATCGAGCCGCGGATCCGAGAGTCTTGAGCGAAGGACCTGGCGATGGTCTCGTCATCTGCTCCACTTCTTCTGCGTTCGGCGGTGCTGTCCTCCTCGACGAGCCGTGCAGCGCGAGTCACATCCCAACCCTCTACTTCCAGCAGAGTCGCCAGCATGTCATCGTCCGGGACCGATCCGCTGGAGCTTTGCAGCACGGATCGCAGACTGGCAATGGCATCCTGCTGGCCTGCAGAGCGCGGCGTGGCCATGATTGCTGCGGAAGGATGCAGCGCTTTGCGAAATTATCTACAAATCTCGGGGAGCGGCCTTGGATGCTTGTTCTGTTCCGCCTAAAATCCGAAGATGACCCCAAGGTGGTCAGGTCAGCCGACGAGTATGCCTCGATGCCTGTGTATATGCCCTATCGTGAAGCACACAAGAGCATGACCACGAGGGACCTCGCGAGATGCGATGTTAGTTCTCTAAGCGATGGTTGCGGCGCGGAAAGTCGTTGCGAGGTAGATTGATGGTGGTGGTGAGGTGTATGTTTGGTGTTGCTGATGACCTAGTCGTGTTGGCGTGGTGTTCGAAGTCTGACGCTTCACCATGCATACAGCGCAGCGAGTATCCTCTTCCGTGGCACCGTGCGCCAATGCTGCTGAGCCCAGATTTCTGACAAGCAAGAATGTTCGGAACTCGGTGTCAGCTCTTGATTCTTCTTTTTTTGACTTTTCTTATGATTTTGCAGCGTGTTGAGCTCTGGTGAGCAAAAATTTCGCCTTGAACTCATCAGCGCAACCGCACCTCCTTCTTCATCCTCTTCTATCATATACCCCAAGGTCCCCTCGCTTATTTCGCTAGAGAACAGCTTCGCAGCCCTCGAAAGCCATCTGCGCCGCTCAAGAGGTGCGAGAGCTAGTCTCAGCCGACGGCACTCACGAGCAAATCTCTCACCATGAAGTCGTCGTTCAAATTTTCGAACCTGTGCGGCACAGTCTACCAGGGCGGCAATGTAGTCTTCTCCGCGGACGGCGACTCGATCTATTCGCCCGTGGGCAACCGTCTCTCCATTTTCAACCTCGTGCGCAACACATCGACGACGCTCCCGTTCGAGACAAGGAAGCCCATCGCCCGCATCGCACTGTCTCCCGCCAACCAAGCCATCGTCTTGGTCGCGGACGAGGATGGACGCGCTCTCCTCATCAACACCCTCAGAAGGTCGTTGCTGGCGCAGATGAACTTCAAGCAGCCGCTTCGCGATGCACAGTTTTCCAACGACGGCAAGTTCCTCGCAGTCACCTATGCCAACCAGATCAAAGTGTGGAGGACTCCTTCGCACCTCGCTCGAGAATTCGCCCCTTTCATCTTGCATCGAACCTACACCGGACACTTTGACGATGTGCTCAGCATCCGCTGGACAAAGAACAGCAGGTACGTTCCTCTCATCCGACACTGCAGATGCAGGGGTATCGCCAAACGATCTCGACCTCCAGCGCGGTCCCGCCGATGCCACTTCCGAGGATGCTTCCAAAAACTAAACTGATTTAATGAGTCCGCTGATCAATAGCGGAGAACTTCGCACATGTCTGAGGAGCATCGCGAGACCCGAGAGTCGAGATTGTTCAGGCTTCCTGTCTTGCCGACCGCTGGTCATGTCCGAATGGCGCATCAGTACTGTACTGACACCTTGACATCCTCGACCCCTAACGACACGACAGATTCTTCATCACAACATCAAAAGACATGACTGCTCGACTGTACTCGCTCGACCAGGTGGAGGGCTTCCGACCCAAAACCTTCACCGGTCATCGCGACGCCGTCATCGGCGCCTACTTTTCCAAGGATGAAAAGACCATCTACACCGTCTCGCGCGACGGCTCCTGCTTCGCGTGGCAGGGCAAGCATAATGATGACGACGACCAGGATGCCGATATGCAAGAAGATGATGAAGACGTTTGGCAGCCAAACGAAGGCGGCAAGGACGGCAGCTCCTCCCAGCAGGCCGACAATGCGGTCGGTCTCACCAGATGGGGCATCGCCAGCAAGCACTACTTTATGCAGACCGGAGCCAAGACCGTCTGCGCCAGCTTCCACCAGCAAGGTTCGCTTCTGGTCGTCGGCTTCTCCAACGGCATCTTTGGTCTGTGGGAGATGCCCGACTTCAACCCGATCCACACGCTCAGCATCAGCCAGGAAACGATCACAATCGTCGCGATCAACGCTAGCGGCGAATGGCTCGCCTTCGGCGCCCACCGTCTCGGCCAGCTCCTTGTGTGGGAGTGGGCCAGCGAGTCGTACATCCTCAAGCAGCAAGGTCACTACTACGACATGAACACCGTTGGCTTCGCTTCCGACGGTTCAGTAGCAGCTACGGGAGGCGACGACGGCAAGATCAAGCTCTGGAACACTGCCAGCGGGTTCTGCACCGCCACCTTCTCGGAACACTCTGCTTCTGTCTCGTGCATCGAGTTTGCCAAACAGGGTCAGGTGCTCTTCAGTGCCAGTTTGGACGGAACGGTGAGGGCCTACGATCTGGTTCGATATCGCAATTTCCGCACATTGACCAGTCCTGAACCGGTGCAATTCGTCAGTCTGGCCGTCGACCCTTCGGGCGAAGTGGTGTGCGCGGGCAGCGCCGACACGTTTGAGATCTACATGTGGAGCGTACAGACCGGCAAGCTTCTCGACATTCTCTCCGGCCACGAAGGACCCGTCTCTGGGCTTTCGTTTAGTCCTGATGGCAGCGGCGTCTTGGCCAGTGTCAGTTGGGACAAGACGGTGCGCACGTGGGAGGTCTTCAGGACCACGCAGAGTGTCGAGACGTTTACGCTGAATGCCGATGGCTTAGCGGTGGGCTTCCGACCGGACGGACGAGAGATCTGCGCTTCGACGTTGGATGGCTACCTCGCTTTCTTCGATCCGCTCGAAGGCAAGCAGACGGGTGTGGTCGAGTGCCGCCGCGACATTGCCGGTGGACGCAAGGTCAACGACAAGATTGCACGACGCAACACGGCGAGCGGAGCCTGTTTCACGACCGTCTGCTATAGCGCCGACGGTGCGTGCATTCTGGCAGGAGGCAATGCCAACTATGTGTGCCTGTACGACGTCAAGGAGCGCGTCCTGCTCAAGCGCTGGGAGCTCACCAAGAACCTGGCACTCGACGGTACTCAGGACAAGCTGGATAGCCGTCGCGTCACAGCAGCGGGTGCGATCGATCTGGTGGATGATCGCGAAGACGAGGCGGATCTGCTTCCCACGGAACGGGTCGATCAGTCGCTGCCGGGAGCCCAGCGCGGCGACGCCACCAAGAGGACGACGCGCGCCATCTCACGCGCCAAGTGCGTGCGATTCGCGCCCACCGGTCGATCGTGGGCAGCTACCTCCACATCAGGTCTTCTGATCTACAGCCTCGACGAGCAAGCAGCATTCGATCCGCTGGATCTCGACATGGACCTGACGCCACAAGCTGTCCGCGAAGCCTCGACGCGCGGGGAGCATCTGTTGGCCGTGGTTGGAGCGTGCCGATTGGGCGAGAGACCATTGATGGCCGAAGTGTACGAGCGAACCTCTGCAGCCGACATCATGTTGGTATCGCAGCAGCTACCACTGGTTCACCTGCCGACGGTGCTGCGATTGATCGCGGAGCGTCTGCAGCCGAGCAGCGGTAGCCCACACGTCGAGTTCCACCTTCGTTGGATCGCAGCCATCTTTTCGGTGCGCGGTGGCGAGATCAAGGCCAAGGCATCGACCGAGTACGCACCGGTGTTGCGAGCCGTTCAGGTGGCGTTGAACGAGCTGCGTGCCAACGTGAAGCGCATCAGCGACGAGAATCTGTATTCGCTGCTGTACGTTTGGAATAGCGTTGAGAAGGCAGAGAAGCGGAAACGTGGTGGTAGTAGCAGCGGCAAAGTCAATGGAGCTGCTAGCCTGGGTGAGCTGATGGAGGTCGAGGCGCTGTAAGGAGTCGAAGCTGTTACCACTATTTTGGGTTGCAACATTATACTGCTATCACCGGCGGTCATGTGGACTTGTGTGTGTGACCTCGGATTCATGTGAGTGGGCCGATGACGCTCGGCCATTTCGGCCACGGATGATCATTCAGTACTTGCGCATAAGGCACCGAGGTGGACCTTGATTGAGTTGGCAGTCCAAAGCAGGCGCACTTCCGCCTTTAGCACTGCAGAGTCAAGACGAAGTCAAGCGCAACGATAAGCGTCTCTTTCCGCCGTTTGAGATCCACTGAAGTTACTTGTAGAAGTATTTTTCTTCAAGGCACAGAGTCGCCAAACGCCGTGGACCCTCGCCACGACCCTGGGGTCTAACCGGCACGCAAGCAGCAGCTTTTTTGAATTCTTCCACCCGGCTTTTCCAGCCTCGGCTTTTTACTTTTTTTTTTCCATCAACCGAGATGACTGATAATGTGCCCTCGCCACCCATGATACGAAGCGCGGGATAGTGCGGTGCGGACGCACTTTGCCCACTGTTTTTTTCCCACCTGTGCGGTGACAAGGCAATATTGGCCCGCGCACTTAGTTGAGCCGAGCGAGATATCGCAGATGTGAGAAATCTGTCAGCGCCCACTGTCCTCGAGGTTCGTTTCGTCTCACTTCCATACAATCTCCATCCGCATCATCCTATATCGACAGGTTTACACTAGACGCTTGGGAAAGCCTCGCTACACGGCGTCTTGAACCTCTCAGTGGACAGCGTGTCCATCTCTCCAACCATCTGACACGAAACATACATCTTCGAGGTCATCTTACCCTATTGCACCCCTACGGATTCGCGCTACCCAACCCCATCGGTTCTTACCGTTCACGGATCAGGATCTCGTCTTAGACCTACTGCTCGCAACTCTACTGCTTGCATCTCTGACCGCTGCAGGCGAGGTTGATTGTCATCTGCCACCATTTCTGCGTCGGCCATCGCTAGCCCTGTCAGGCGTGTTTTGACAGCTCATACCCGACAGCATCGCCCTTCCCCTCGGGGCTTGAATCAGCTTCAGCCCACGTGCCAACCGTCTAGCTCTCAGCGGCGGTCACTTTCGGTGTTCCGCACGCCATCCTCATCAAAGATGTCGTCCTCCACTCCAACACAATCCGCCACTGATTCTTCCACCACACCACCGCTGAGGCTCCGATACATCGATGCATCAACCGCACAAAAGATCGACGAAGAGCTCATGTCCGCCACCGGTGGGTTCTCCATCGATCAACTCATGGAGCTCGCCGGTCTCTCCTGTGCACAAGCCGTGTTTGAGTGTTATCCACCCACCAAATACCCCAACGTTCTCGTCGCATGCGGTCCGGGAAACCAAGGTGGTGATGGTCTCGTAGCAGCGCGCCATCTCTACCACTTTGGCTACGAACCGCTCGTCTGGTACCCCAAACAGGGCAAAACGGAGCTCTTCGCGAGACTCAAAGTCCAACTTCAGAATCTCGGCCTTCGCTTTGTTCCGCAGGACGACTTCGAGGATGCCCTCGAGGAAGCCGACGTCGTACTCGACAGCGTCTTCGGCTTCTCCTTCAAAGGCGAGGTACGAGAACCGTTCAAAGGACCGCTGGAAAACCTCAAGTACGAATCAAGGATCGAGTTCGAAGCGAGGAAGAAGATGCCTCCCATCGTATCCGTAGACATCCCCAGTTCGTGGGACGTCGAAAAGGGAAACGTCAACAACACTTTTACGCCGAGCGTACTGATCAGCCTCTCGGCACCAAAGTTGGGCGCGTTGGGCTTCGCAGGGAGACACTTTTTGGGCGGCAGATTCTTGAGCGAGGATCTCGAGGCAAAGTTTGATCTGCAGTTGCCGGATTACCCGGGCACGGAACAGGTGGTCGAGATTACAGGTGCGAAACCGTTGGAGAGTCAAGAGGCGTGATTGTTCCTGGAAGGCAAGTGTGAAATTGCTAATGTCTCACGACGATCGATTATCGAGTGTGACAGTGCGTGTGGGAAAAGGAGGGAATGAGAAAAGACATCACAGCAAAAACTTCAACTCTTGATCCGACAAGATGGTCAAGAAATCCCTGTTCTCTCCCCCCGCGGATTCTGCTCGGTCCGACTTGTTGTGCGCTACGATCTCGCGGAAACTCTTTGCCAGCACCTCCGCCTTTGCGATCACCGTCTCTGCATGAAAATCGCCGGTGAGAGAGTTGAAGTACTGCAGGATTTCGTCAAAGTGCTCCAGATACCTCGTCAGATAGTCCCTGTGCAACTCGAGCAGTGCCAGTGCGCAGAACAAATGGAAGCATCTGCTCAACCCCCATCCCTCTTCCTCTGCAGGTTCTGCTGCCCAACAAGCTTCCCAAATGTTGAGCGTCTCGTCGAACGTAAATTCGCGCTTGAAGCGAACGAGCAGCCATCGGAAGCAGAAGAACAGGTTGAGCGAATCGGTGTGCTCCAGATGCGTATACAGCGCAGGATCCATGATCGAGATGAGCTTCTGCAGCAAGACGAGTTGCGTCTTCATGCCGGATTGATCTCGGTAGAAGTTGGATTTGGTTCGTTCCATGAATCCGACGAAGCACCAGAATGTGCGCACCTCGTCTCCGTCGCAGATGATGTAGAGCGGGGAGCAGAGGTCAGACATTCCTTGCACGTAGCCTGCCAGCAGTCCTTGACCAGTCTTTGCAGCGCTATCATCATCGGTCGAAGGAGCGTCGAGCGATTGCTCGGCTTCCCAGAGCCCGTAAGTCAGCAAGATCTCTCCGAGCCTCGCGGTGTGCGGATTGGGATCTTGCATCGGATCGGCGTTGGGATCAGCAGCGAAGCTTGCATCGCGTTCGAAAAGGGGCTGAGTTCGATCGGTACGCAGACAGTCGACGCGGACTCGATGCTGCTGCTCTCGAAACTCTTCCGACGCGAGGAGCTGGTCGTCGGTTTGCCATCGTGCCTTGTAGGTGTGATACTCGACCTCTCGCTGCTCCCAGATGGCTGCGCGCGATTCCGAAGTGGCATCAAAGGGGATCGCATCGAGCAGGAAGGGCCACGCAAGCTTTCTTGCTTGATTCGTCAAGCCATTGACAAAGACGCGGTGACGAATTTCGCCAATCGGATGCAAGGGACGGCCGGTGCTGCCATCGAACAGGGAACGCCATTCTTGCTCGTCGAGACCGGCTTGAGATGTCGCATTTTCGGTGCTGAGGTCCGCTGATCGAGCTTCGCGTTCAGAGGTGGGCCTCGGCAGGTCGTATATCTTTTCCAGCAGCTCAAACGCGCCCAGTTCGCTTCCTTCGGTCCGGTTGCCTAAAGAGCTGGAAGGACGGCCATGTACGCCCGTCGCAGAAGCATCAGATACGGCCCCGATGGCTGCAGCCAAACGCTGTTCCTTGCGCCGATTGCGCTCGCCCTCCTCTGCCACGAGACGCGCCCAACGCGCTAGGTAGACTCTGGCACTGTCGTAGTACTCGCCCGTGCCGCTCTTGTTGGCGATGCTCGAGGTACGCCATTCCCATTCGCCCTCGTTGGGCCCGAGAGGAACAGGACCGGCTTGCGCAAACGACTGCACAGGACCAGGCAGATGTGGAACGTAAGGTTTAGCGAGCGGATGCGAAAGCACGGCGTGCGAAGCGTGCCGAGCCTTCTGCGTGAAGCTGGCGAAGGAGGAGAGCACGGACATGCGTGCGCTCTTGGCCATGACGGTGAAATTGTCCATGGCAAGCTCGTTGTTGCGTTTCGGGGTGGTGTTGCCGGGCAGAGATTGATGGAGAGGGCTCATGGAGTATGCATTCTCGGAGAGATCCTGACTCCAAGCAGCATTGGCCGGATTCGGGTTGGGCATGTCGATGGCATCATCGTCAAACAGCGGCGTATTGTGGGTCTCGAGATCGGCACGAGATGGGTTGACGAGGAAGAGGTTGGGATCGAGGGCGCTGCGGTGGACGTTGGCGTACCTGCGAAGCTGCTGAACGAGCTCATCACCGCCCCAGGTGGGAGATGGCGAGGTACACCGAAGGGATGTGCGATGGGAAGACGAAGCGGACCAAGATGAGGAGCTGGGAAGCGTGGAGAGCCGGGAACCATCATCGGCGTTAGCTTGGGCAGCTGTGGAGGCAGCGGCAGCAGCAGCATCAGCTGAGGCGGTCTGCTTAGCTCTATGCATGGAGAGGACAGTGCTCTTGCTCTCGTCATCATGAAAGTAGAGCGTCGGCATGGCGACGCCCCCGACCTGACTGACGGTGACAGTACCATACCACGAGCTGATGCTGGGTGTCTTGATGGTGAAGCTATATATGCGGGACAGAGGCAGCGAGAACGCATAGGCAGAGGAGGTGGGTGGCTCTGCGATGAGCATCGAATCTTCGTCGTCGTCGTCATCACCCTCGACAGCTTCTAGGCTCTTTCGTGGATCGAGTTGGGTATCGTCGGCTGCTTTGGCAGAGGTGGTGTACTCGATGCGAACGAATTTCTCGAGCTCTTGGCGCTGCTCTACAAGGCTTTCTGGGAGGAAGGAGAGCAGCACTTTGGCACCTGGCTTGGCCGATCCAGGTCTGCTGAGAGCGAGATAGCCGGGTATATTGTGCTTTGCATAGGGGGAGGGGTGGACATACACCTTGGATTTGGACCACAGCAGCGTATGTGATGGAGACGCAGAGTCCCTGTTCGAATCTTCTTGAGCTGATTGCGACGTCGAGGCGGTCAATGAAGCTGGAAAACCCTTTTCCGCTGCTGGCTGTGCGGCATTTGGTGCTGTCGAAGAAGCGACTGCGTCGCCGTCGCTGTCGTGGTGGCCGTGGCTGTGGTGAGCCATTGCTGTTGCATATGTATCAAGCCGGTCCGCAGGCACGTTCCTGGTTGGTCGAGATTGATCTTGAGGCCATTCTTTGGCCGTCGTAATCTATAGTTAGTCCACTGCGCACGATTGTGTCCGAGCAGAACAGAACAGTAGACCGGAAGGACGAAGGAAGGCAATTTGGGAGGGCATGATAAGGAACAGGCAACTGTTCACAGCCAAGAAGCCTCCACATGCCCAATCGACGCACGACGTGACGCTCAACTGAGCCTTCTGCTTGCGCACAGCTTTTCGCTGGGCTGTGTAAAAATTGCCTTGCGAACCACAAAACTACACTCGAAAAAGAAGGACACAAAATCCTGGAAGCCAACAAGCAACTACTCGACATTCGAAGACTGTCACCAATGCACAATCGTTGCGAATTCGGCGGCTACGTATGTGTCGGATTCTCGAAGACCATCAACACAGTCGAGTCTGGTGACCAGACCCATGGCGCCCGCAGTTGGGAAGGAATGATTCAAGTGTCGTTGTCTGATTATTAGAGATGCTGCTCTGCATACAATTAGGTTTGGCGGCACGTGACCAAGACCATGCAGCGCGCAACGCGCCCACAACACGTCTTTTTCGCCCTTTTCTTCGGAGTGTTCGATTTTTGATCAAGCTCAAAGGGAGGAGGATACGCAGCGCATCATAGCAGTCACACTGAATGCACAGCGCAGCGCAGCGCGGCCACGACCTTTCCTTCCTCCACGCTTGCACAGGCCGCGACCAAAGCTGCGACTTCGTACTCCGTGCCCTGACTTCCACATCGGTCCATCCACCTCCATCTATATCCTCCAGCCGCAACCACCTACTGTATCTCGTCCGCGTACCTGCATCGCCGTGCGGGTCCCATCTGCGTGTCGTCCGCAACGCGACCTGCTTCATAAGAGTACATCAATTACGGCTAAAGACACGGGCAGATACAAAGACGCACCCCCCATAGACGAACGCGCGACATGTCCCGAGCTCATCAACATTACCCCCATTATCCAGTAGCATCCACATCTTATCACCAACCACCCGCCGCCAACGGCCTGCATCGCATTCGCACCTCTGCTGATCGTCGACAAGCTGCTGCTGCTTCAGCCCACCCAGACCTTTCTCACGACATCTACATACCCGAGTCGCAGGAAGAGCTCAACAGAATCAGCATCGAATCCCGTCTTCTTCGACCCAGCGGTCCCTCTCACGTCACCAACATGCGCAACGCGGACCTCACCTCTGCGTCGTCGACCTTCGACACGTATGACCGTATCGGACGAGACGACGACGTGCCATCCACTGGGCCCGCCGTCGGCAGGCCGTCTCGAGTGTCGAACGTGCCTGCCGCATCGGATCGTTTACATCAGCTCGATGCAGACGAGAGCTTGATCCCAGGTGTCGGCCGTGGCGTACGCAGCACGATGCCTTCGCAAACGTCGTATCAGGAGCGCATGCGTTCTCTCAACCAACACGCTGCTCACAACCGCTACGAGTCTTCTCCAGCAAGAAGTCCCTATCGTCCTGGAAAGTATTCCAGCGTCGGCACACAGGCCAGACAGCCCGTCGCAGCAGCTTCTACAGCAAGGCCTCCGATGCACCACACTCGAGCCGGCGCGAACACAATCCCTCGCCAAGCGCAGGTGGAAAGCGAGAGCGAGTCAGAGGGCGATTCAGCAAGCGACTCTGGCGATTCAGACGCCATCAACGTCCGCACAGCTACCTTCAACAGCACTGGCAACCATCGCAACTTTGCTGCCACACCTGCTGGCCACACTGCCACCATGACCGCCAACCTTCGCCAGCGTCCGACGCTCGGCCAAGACACACTCGACCGAATTGAATTCGACATCTACACCGACACGGATGGAGAGCATCGTCCTCGCAAAGATCTCAAGCAACAATCCAGGCCACGCCCCGATCCCGCCGGCCCCTTCGCTTCACCCCGTGCCGCCAACACTTTTGGAATGAACGCGGCCGACTATCAGCAGCACCTGGCATCTCGGACCCTCACCTCTCCTGCACTGCGCACGCTCATTGGCGATCGTTCCAAAAGCCCAGATAGCCCAACACCAGCGCCGTCCATCGATGGCATCCTTCACGCTGGCCGCAACAACGCTCGAGAGACTCGACGCCAGAATAAGCACGAGCAGCCTCGAGCTGCGCGCCAATCCAACGTCTCTGCCATCAGCGCGTTCGAAGACCTGGCGCGTCGATTGCAGAAAGATGTCGAGTCCACTCGCAGAAATGCAGACGGCAACGGCGAGGATGTTGACGACGGCAGTGCCTCCAACTCTGGCGGCAGCGGCTTTGGCCCGGGAAGCCAAGCATCAAGCGCTCGCACTCGTGTTGAACCCGAAGCTGCCTCGAACGCAGCAAAGACTTTCAATGCGGCACAGTTCAACTCGTACGGCTATCCCGCTCACCAAAAGACTGCCACCGGCAACGATGCCACTGCGGCATGGGGTGTGCGCTTGCCTGACGTGACCGGTCTCACATCAGCTCTAGGCTCGCCTGTCAAGGCTCGCGATACAGTCAAGCACAGACCCTTCGACAGCGCTGTTGGCAATCAGGAAGCGCGTCTCGAGGAGCTGGTCAATCTTCGCTGCTTTGTCGATGGCATTCAGGTCGAACTCGATCGAGCAGGCGAGCGAATCTTGAATCTGGAGCAAGCGCAAGAGCAGCAGAGTCAAGATTTCCAAGGATTGCGGTCCGAGATGCAGACTGCACTCAAGGACGTGCGTGCTCAACAGCCAGCTTCGGACGAGCAGCTCATGCACTTGATCTTGCAAAAGCTGCAGGTGTCTGACAAGCAACAGCAGTCTCAGCAGAAGCAGCAAACGCAGAATGCTTTCGGTGCTGCTTCCGATGCAAATATGCAGGCTCAGATGGAGCCCCGTGTCAGAGTCGCGGAAAAGCCGGCGAGAGAGACTCGCAATGCTCAGCAGCAAGAGAGTCGCAGTCAAGTCGAAGTAGTCAACCGACTCTACGCCGAACTCGACCAGTTGCGAACGGCAATGGAGGAGCAGTACCGCAGCGCAGCAGACATCGGAACTGCCGAGGCGGAAGTTCGGAGACAAGCTGATTCGAGACCTCGTCGAGCAGCGTACAGGCATCAGGACAATTACCCTTCGGGGCGCGACCCGTGGGAAGCGATCGAAGCATTGCGTCTGCAAGTGCTCAGCCTCGCGGACGAGGTCGAAGGTCTCAATGGCCTCGTGCTCGAACATCTTGTCGAGCCTGCGCCCACCCATCGAAAGCGAAATGCGCGCTCGAGCGCAGCCCGTCAACACCGCTTCGAACACGACCAGGATGCGCATGCTGCCTCCGACCCCATCTACACTCGAGGCGCAACTTCCGCTCGTACGATTGCCTCCGGTATCCATCGCGGTGATCGAGTCGAGATCCGCACCGATCCCATCGATCAAGACACGGACGATCACTACCACCGCCGTCATCGCCAGCGATCCAGCCCCGCACGTCATTCGGACGAAGAGTACGATCAGACGATCGACGCTATCGCCGAGAACCTCCGTCTGTCACGTTCACGTCAGCAGCGTCGTCACACCCCACCAGCAGCGGTTGAGCCGATCGACGAGCTGTCCGACAACGAGATCTCGCAGCTCGCGGAGGCACGTGCCTCGCACGCATCCGCACGACTCTCCACTCGACAGACGCACGATCCGCACCACTGCACCGTGTGTTCTTCCACGGCCAGATCGGAAAAGCGAAAGGCATCTCGACGGGCTAAACTCTTGCAAGCGGAACGACGTCGCGATGCGGTCGAGTTGGAGGAATCCATCCTGCTCGAAACGCTGGATCCACCCTCTGGACAACGAAGCAGCATCAATGCTGAACAATCGGCGACGCTCAAGCTGATCCTTCAGGAGCACTGGGATGAGTTCCTGCATCATAGGATGCTCTACTCGGAACTGGCGGACGAGCTCAAGACGTTAAGTCCGAGCATGAGTCAGACAAAGAGGAGGATCTTGGCACAGCACGTGCTGGAAGCGGTCGAGTTGTTGGAGGTCAAAGCGGATAGGATCGAGAGGTTGGAGAACGTGTTGAAGGGATGTAACGTGGTTGTGGGGGGAGGGGAAGGGGTGAATGACGAGGCGAGGAAGCATGCTGGTCCTCGACAGGGCGGGAATAGGTTGAAGCAGGCGATGGAGTCGTTTGAGAGGAGTACGGGTAGGAGTGCGTCGAGACAGGTGAGCGGGATGGGTGGTAGGAATAGCCCGCCGACGACGATCCAGCTGTAAAACACATACATCACACAGTGTAGATGGTGCGAGATGCGACCATGCTCGAATCTATTTGCTCAACCGGTTGGCTTGATGCGTGTCCATGTGTGTGTTCGTGATGCAAAAATGCGGTTGTGTGTACAAAACAAGATATGCTGGAACATGCTCCTTCACTTGCGACTCTTCTTGGCGTTGGCTGGACTAGTTTTGCTACGTCGTGCTTGACCATTGAAGGCCTTGCTCTGCACGACTTCTGTCGGTTCATCCTCTTCGTCCTCTTCTTCTTCTTCGTCATCATCATCGTCGTCGCCTGTGCTCTCCTCCTGGTCTCGTCCGACCTTTCCATTCGTAACCTTCTTGTCGTTGACTTCTTGCATCCCGGCCCACACCTGATCTTCCTCCTCCTCCCCAACCTCATCCTCTCCCTCCACCTGCCGCCTTCCCATCTTCAAGAGCATTACACCATCCCAAACCACAGCCGTCGCCACCGCATGTACGCTCTGACTTGTCGCCTCTGCAATCATCTTAGCCCACACCACCTCACCCTTCTCCGCCGACATTCCTGCCTTAGGCACTGCACGCTCCGCCGGTACCGTGGTATGCAGTCTCACGAGGCTATCCGACGACACAGTGACCAGAGCTTCCGCTTCGCTGCGCTTGGCAGGCTGAGGCAAAACAGCCATGTCCAACGTTGCACCGATCTGACCTGCTCCCTTGTACGCATATACCACAGAACCCGATTGCCAATCCACCGCGTACAGCTTAGACCCCGTGTCTCCCACAAACAACAACCCACCCTTCTGCCCGTCCATGGCTGCAGATGAAGCACAGAGCGTCTTGACCGCTCCTTGACCCGAAGGAACAACGCGGATCTCGCGCACGTGCTTGCGACTCCCCGCTCCAGGCTGAAAGATCCGCACCAACCCGTCCTTCGTGCCCACCGCGATAAACGTCTCTTCATCCGTCGCACCCGCTTCCGCGTCTTCAGCTGTACTTTCTTCGAGGTTCAAAATGCAGGTGGCGGTGATGTTGGCCCGTCTCGGCAGCGAGAGGTTGTCGTTGGGCAAGTTTTTGGCGCGCCACACCTCGCCCCAGACCAGTTCGCGTGCTTTCGATTTGGCTTCGAGCTGACGTTTTCGCTTGCGCTGTTTGCTGTTGAGGCCGGAGAGGTCTTCCGTCTTGTTCGATTCGACACTCATATCGGCCACCGAGTCAGCAGGCTGCTCGGAAACGGCTGTTGGAATGTGCCAGAGTGAAAGAGGGATGTCCTCTCCGCCATAACAGAAGTGGGTCGGGTCGGAGGCAGGGAAGAAGCTGGCATGCTGTAGGGGCGATGGAAGGTGGTCGATCACTTTGGCTTCTCCCAACTCGGCGGCATTGCCTGCGACGGTGATGGGAGTGTAGCGGAAGATGCCGGACGAAGTGACGCTGTACACGCCGTGTTTGGACACTGCCAGACCAATGAAGCGATGGATGCCAGCCTTCATCTTGGTTTCATTGATGGTGCAGAGGATGTTGGCTCTCAGCTCCGACACGGCAGCGGGAGCAGTGCTGGTCGAAGGGAGGGATTGATTGACGATGTGGACGACATCTATGGTGGCATTCTTCCGGGCGAGAGCTACGACGTAGGTGTCAGAGCCGAGCACACCGGATGCGATGCGTTGCACAGCATGATCGGAATGCGACTTGAAGTTGGGTAGGATGAGTGGCTTGACAGAGGGACCTGCATAGTCTTTGGGTAGCGCCGAAGGCGGATCGCATTGAGCTACACGCAGACAGCCGATCGAGTCTCCAATGTAGATTCGATGTGACGAGCTGGCGTCTTCCAGTAGGGCGTTGTCGATCGACATGGTCGCCGACAGGTGCAGCGTGGCAAGTGAAGATGATGGTCCGGAGAGAGGTGAGCACGAAGCTTCGACTCAGCACTTGAAGCTGCACACACACACACACACTCTCTCTCTCGTGCTCTGCAAGCACAAGAACCCAAAAATTCAAATCAAAAATTCATTCCAAAGAAACACTTTGGCGAGCCTTTTTTTGGTTCGAGAATCTCGGAATTCGGCCTGTTTGATCTGGAGTCCAACACCGCCGTTGCACAGCAACATAGGGTCCGATCACGAGGGCAAGAGCACACCGCACGGACAACTTTCGACCTTCGCGATCTGCCTTCACACCGATCTACGTCTTCCGTCCTCGACATACATTCTGGATCCTCGGAATTAACCTCGCCATAGGAAACAAAACATGTCGGGTGTCGCCGGTACGAGCAACAACACGAGCGCGACTGCTTCGTCCTCGGCATCCGCCGCACAACCGCCAGCTCGTGGCAGCAGCATCACACAGCAGTCCACAACGCCTGCTTCCGTCGCGGACCAAGGCGACGCTGACGACGACGGCGATGATGACGACGACGACGACGAGGAAGACGACACAGCAGCAGCTGGATCCGCCTCTGCAGAAGCCTTGACCGCCAAGCAGCGCAAGAAGAAAAAGTCCAAGGCAGCCGCCAAACTGCGCAAGAAGCTCGGTCTTGGCACCTCCTCCACCGAGCCCTCCGACGGCAAGCTTCTAGCCTCCGGCTCATCCCGCGAAGGCAAGATCAGCGATGAAGTCGTCTCGCAAGTTCAAGAAGCCGTCAAAGCCGAACACGGCTCTGCCGCCGCCAACGCCGTCACCAAGGCCAACCTTGCCAAAGTCATGGCCATGATGAACCTCGAACGAGATGCCATGCTCAAGTCGCAGGATTCGAAGCAAAAGGCCCAGAAAGCGATTGCTGACCACAAGTTCTGGAAGACGCAACCGGTGATGAAGCCCAACGATGCGCCTGTAGTCAAGTCGGAGGAAGAGGGAAGCATTCAACCCAGTGTACCGCCCGAGGAGGTTCGCCAGGAACCCTACCCTCTCCCCTCCGACTTTGAATGGGTCATGGTCGATGTCGACAATCAAGCCGAGCTGAAGGAAGTCTATGACCTGCTCAGCGCCAACTACGTCGAAGACGACGACGCCACGTTCCGATTCGACTACAGCCCCGAATTCTTGCACTGGGTGCTCAAACATCCCGGCTACCACAAGACGTGGCATATCGGTGTTCGCGTCGTCTCGACCAAAAAGCTCGTCGCTTTCATCAGCGGTATCCCGCACGAGCTCAGGGTGAGGGAAAAATCCTACCAATCGACCGAGATCAACTTCCTCTGCGTTCACAAAAAGTTGCGCTCCAAACGTCTCGCTCCCGTCCTCATCAAGGAGGTGACCAGGCAATGTCATCTGACAGGAGTGTTCCACGCTATCTACACCGTCGGATCCGTCTTACCAACGCCTGTTTCGTGCTCCAGGTACTACCATCGAACCATCAACGCCAGGAAATTGGCCGACATTGGATTCTCTGCGATCCCGCACAACATGTCGATGGAGGCGCACGCGAAGCGATTCGAGTTGCCTGCAAAGACAAACTTGCCCGGGTTGAGGGAGATGGAGGTGCGAGATGTGGCGCAGGTGGGCAAGTTGATGCGTAGGTATATGCGTCGATTCGATATGGCGCCTAGGTTCACGGATCATGAAGTGGAGCATATTTTGCTCAGTGGACGAGGTCAGGATGGACCGTCAACACAAGCAGGCAGGAAGGGTCAGGTGACGTGGACCTACGTAGTCGAGAACGCCGAAGGACGTATCACCGACATGTTCGCCTTCTACTCTCTGCCTTCGAGTATCTTGGACAACGACAAGCACAAATCCCTCAACGCGGCCTACCTCTTCTACTACGCCACCGATGTCGTCTTCTCCGACTCCCGCACACCGGAGAGCGAGTCCGCATCCACCTCGTCCCCTTCGTCGGAACGCTCGCTCGCCCTCTCCTCCGGCAAACCCGCCTGGCGCTGCAACTCGCTCACCAACCTCACCTCTTCCGAACTGTCCGACGAATCGCACATCACCACCTGGGACTCCGAACCCCCGACCACCAAATCCCTTCTCAAATCTCGTCTCAACCTCCTCATCCAAACCCTGCTCATCATCGCCCGCGACTTCAACTTCGACGTCGTCAACTGCGTCACCGTCATGGACAATCCGCTCTTCCTGCAGGAGCAGAAGTTCGGTCCGGGAGATGGGTTCTTGCGGTTCTACCTGTTCAACTGGAGGACGAAACCTGTCGCTGGTGGTATGGGCGGTAGACCGGGGGAGAGCGAGTTGGATCCGGTTCACGCGTATGCCAAGAGCATGGCGAAACGCGCTGCAAGCGATGATCACGAGGAAGCAAAGGGGTTGGCTGAACAGTTGATCAGGAAGGCGGCCAAGAACCCGTCAGAGGTGGGTTCAGGAAACGGGATTGTCATGGTTTGATCACAAATCGCACTACACATGCACTCATATCATCCTGCAAACGCAGAAACAAGTCATATCAGTACAAATTGCAAATCATCACCTTTCTCCCCCTCTTTTCCGCTACGCAACACTGGTCGGACTCAACCAGAGCAAATACACCGTCAAGTTCGAACATGCCTGAGCCACCTGCCCCAGCAACCGCCTGACTTCCCTCGGAAACTCGTGTGAAACGCTCACCGTCTTGATCAGCGTAGACGTGTTGACGATGGCCCGTACAAACTGGTGCGATTCGTCAAACAGTTTCGCCGCCGTTGTGGGTAGGATGTTCTCCGGCGATGGATCTGCGACAGGACGGCCGAGTGAAGCAGCAGATACGGTTTCCGATCCATCCTCTGCTCCAACCGGTGCATTGATTGCGCCAACAGCCGAGCTTGTGGCAGCATCGTCGTCGATCGAGGTGCGTCGATGCTCTTCTTCACGAGCGCGCAGGTAGGTCGAGCGCAGCTGCGAGGTGAGGTCGTCTGTGATCTGTGCAAGATCTCGAAGCTCGCGAAGCTTTGCATCCAATGCTTCGTCTTTTCCTGTAGCCTTTTCATATTGTGATGCCTCGGCATCTTTTTCACCATCGGATCCAGAAAAGTTCATTGCAGCTGCTGAGCTGTCGTCTGCCTGTGGCTCAGGACCTTGCTTGTCGTCCACCGGTGAGGTCTCGGGCGAGCTGCTCGTCAATTCACTGTCGACACCCGCCGATCTGAGATGTTCAAATAGTAGCGACCAAACGCGAGCCGATAGCTTGGTGATGTTGTCCACCATATCGAGCAAATGATCATCAACTGTGATCTTGGGATCCGACACAATGGCACGAAGCCTGCTTCCCGCTGCAGCAGGACCAGCCCCCGGTGCGGCCGCTGCATTTGCAGAAGAGGGTGTCGCGGCATATAGGCTCCTCTGAGATGCGGCAGCAGCAGGAGCAGCAGCAGCAGGCGTTGCAGGCGTCGTCGACTGGCTTCGGGGCATCACTGCTGACGCTCCTGGCGTGCCTGCTCCTACAGCCGAGCTTGCATTTGAGTCGGTGCGATTCTGCCTTGACGATGTCGGCGTGCTCATAGCCCCTGGAGTAGCGTAGATGGTGCGTTGTGCGGCTGCGCTGGGACCGGTGACACCTGGAGTGCTTGGTGCCGTGGAATGTACTCCATCCGCGGTAGCACTTCGGTCGGACGTCTCGGACTGGGCGAACGTGGCAGCGCTGCTCGCGCTGTTGCCCACGCTACCTTGACGACGGTTCCTGCCACTGCGCCCCGGCGTGTTAAATCCAGAGGCAGCTTGGAGGTCCTCGAGATTGAACGGAGGCTGATTGCTGTTGCTTGGCGTCATCGCCGCGCCTTGTGCCAGATCCTGTGCGCTGAAGGAGCCTGCATGGCGTCGTCGGCTGGGGCCCCTAGGGATGTACGGGCGACTTCCGGCGCGGACTGGTGTCGAAGCCTCTGCAATGCTTGGCAGCATCGAAGTGGAGCCGTTGCTAGTGTTGCTGATGCTCTTTTGAAGGAGCGTGCCTGCACGCGCGGAGGGCGGCGTCGCCTTTTCCGACGCCGTTGTGGCAGTGGCAGGCTCGGAAGACACCGGCGAGCTGCTCTCGAGTTCGACTTGAGTGAGGTACGGCTGTACCGCCTCGACCAAAGGTGCCATCTCTGCCCAGCTGTTGCTCACTTCGGCCATGCTGCCGTACAGCATCAAGAGCAGCGTCCTCGCATAACGCACGTCCGAGCTGCTCTGCAACGCGCGGAGCTGAAGTTGAAGGACGCTGATGAGCTTGCGGAAGGTGATGACCGAGTCTTTGCACGTGACGAGAACACCTCGAATGACGCTGGGATCGGGCGTGCCACGTCGAGAGAGCGAATCGAAACGGTCCAATGCATTGATGAGGTTGGCGACAGAGCCGTTGGAGATGTCGAGCAGTCGATGGAATTGACCAGAGATCCTCTCGTCGATGACGGGTGTCATGAATTGACCGATGGCTGCATGAATCTGCGACAGCGCGAAGAGGACTCCGCGCGTGCCATCGACGAATTTGAGCACAGGTGCAGGTACAGCCTTCGAGATGGTGGAAGGTGGCAACGTGGAGAGGCGTCGGAAGTAGCTGTTTCTCTCCTGGTCCGCTGCAGTGCGCGGTGCATTGACTGTAGGTGAAGCTGAGTTGGACGGCCAGTGATTTTCGCCGCGATCGGATGCCATCCTTCCGTGACCGAGGTCGAAGCGTGCGGGAGAGTTGTTGTAGCCATGTCGAGCAGCGAGAGCGGCTGCAGCTGCTTCGGCAGCGGCCTGTGTTGCGCCTACCGTAGGCAAGCTCAGCTTTCGAAGACCGCCTCCTTGACTTGGGACCGAATGATTCCCCTGTGCACTGTTCGTTCCATTGGACGTGGACTGACCTGTGACACCTTCATATGCTGGACGAGCCGAGGGCGCCATACCGTTGCCCAGAGTGGGTCGGAGGGCGCGACGCGTCTGCAACAACGGTTTCCTGTTCGAAGACTGCACGACATTATTGTACGAGGAATTTGACTGCGCATCAAGGTCAGCATCTGTGGTGGCATGTGCAGTAGGGGTGGAGGCAGCTGAAGATAGAGTGGACGGCTGGCTCTTTTCAACGCTTGGCCTGTCCACATCCTGCACGATCGTCTGCTTGGCGGTTTGTGCTGCGCTCAGATCGGAAAGCATATCCCTCCGCTCCTGCAAAATTTCTTCGTGGCTTTTGCGTAGGTCAGGCAGCGATTTCTTGCTCTTGAGAGATCGACGACCCTCCATCTGGTGAGTGGCGACAATGTCTTGGGCAACAGAATGCGAATTGTTCCGAGCATGCTGACGTGCGTCTGCGTCCTCGTCAGTGATGCAGCGCGCGAGCTCATCCCGATGACCGGCAGTGGACTTCGCTCGAGAGGTCGGCGGCAATTGCACCAGCTGCGCGGAATGAGCTTGCGCGTCATTGCTTGAGTGTGACGGGACCGAATCTGCGAATTGCTTGAGGTCGCTGGTCGATCCTTCCTTCGGCGTCGGTTGCGGGACCAGGGGAGGCAGCAAGCCGGGTGCTGACACCTCTTCTTTGTTGCTCGCTGTATTGATGCGGGCGTCCCTCGTGTCCATGGGTGCTGTCGGACTGGGATCGTCTGGCGGTGCTTCGGTCGGATCGGCCCTGAGCGCACGGTCTGAGACGCTCTCGGGCACCTGAACCTGGAGCGACATGAGACCATCGGATTGTGACGGAGCAATTTCGTTGCGGTCCATGTTCTTCGAGCCGGCGAGGACCGCACCATCATATGGGAGCTTTGCAGCTGGCGATCCTGCTCGTGCGGCTGACTGTTGATCCGACATCGCTGACGCGGGCGACTGTACTTGGTTGGCAGGGTCGTTGATCCACGAACGCAGCTTTGCAATCCAAACCAGCATCTGACGGTCTTCGAACCGCTTGACCTTTTCGCGCTCGGCAGCTGACGAGCTGCCCGAAGAGGAAGGCGGCTTGGGTGGGGCGACGTTGGGCATTTTCGAAATGTGAAGTGGCGGCCACTCGAGCGGGTTGTTGTCGAGTTTGAGAATGCGGAGATGTTTCATCCTGCCGACCCACGAGGGGAGCTCGGTCAGGCGGTTGGCGTTCATTGAGAGCACGCGAAGGGCGAGGAGACGACCGGGAAGCTCGGGCAACCTGCGAACCTTGTTGCGGCTGAGATCGAGAATCTCGAGGTTGGGCATCTTGGTGACGCATTCGGGAAAGTGAGCGAAGTTGTTGGCACGGATGTTGAGGTACCTGAGGCCGTTGAGATCGACGAAGCGGTCAGGTAGACGGGTGAGATGGTTGTAGCCGAGGGCGAGCCGAACGACTTGATCCTTGATCATATCGATCAAAGCATCAGGGACGCGGTCCATACGCTTGTGACAAAGGTCGAGGGTATCTAGAGGGTGAGACCTGTCGTTGCCATCCTTGGGTTGCGTAGTGTGATCGTGACTGGAGGATTTTTGCAGTGTTTCGGAGCTCGCTCGCTTCTGTTTCACAAAGGCCAGCAGCTCTGCTTCCGAGACAGCATGCTGACGCGAACTCAGAGATACGGATTCAGTTGCAGAGTCGACGGAGGATGCCGGAAGATGCTGCATGGATCGAGAGGTGTGTAGGGAGCCCGCCGATGGCAACCTCCCGGCATCGAATGCACGAGGTTGTGTGTCGAAGGATGATATCGACTGTGCACTGGGCAAGCCGCCGTGGCTCTGGGATGGATCGGCAGCCTGGGTGGAATCGAATGCGTTCCAATATGCAGCTGTGGTCTGTTCGTGAGGAACACGTTTATCCGCAAAGGCATAGGAGCGGTAAGAGGAAGCGGCACCTGTTCGGCCAGCGCCGATGCCGGCTATGCCTGCCGATGCATTGGAGCTTTCAGCTCGTCCGAAAGCTTCCGAGCTTGAGCTCGAAGCTGCTGTTGTCATCCTCGTGCTTCGTTTGCCGACGTGCATGGTGCCTTTCTGCCTGAAGGCGAGGAAAGCAAGGCAGATGTCAAGGGACGATCAGCCCGCGCCAACGAGTGCGCGGAGGTCTACAACGCCAACATCGCGAGCAGAGCCTTAGGCAGTGATAGAAGGGTGTGCACTAGACTGTGATACTTCGGTATCGTGGAGCGTGTGTCAAAGCTAGGAGAGCTTTTGCCGTCTGTGGTGTGGCAGCTCAGCTTTCGTTGTAGGGAAGGTCGAAAATGAGGCTGCGCTGGATCGTAAGAGTCGGCTTGTTGGGCAACCTGTAACCGTTGTGACGTGAGAGCTATCGCTATCGGAGCCTTTTCCTAGCTGTGTCGCAATCAAGATCGAGGAAGAGAGATGCGAGAACGATATGACCGAGATGTGACGTCGTTGTGATGATGAATAAGGTGGTAACTTAGCCAGCCAACGATGGGTGTGTTTTGAGCGGCGGCGGCTAGTGAATAATTCAATAAATAAAGTAAACCCGCGCCTACAATTTTCGATATACACGATTAAATATTATTATATTTAGGTTCCACGAGACCCTGAAAGCTGGGGAGCAGGAACAAGTCAAATAAGGCTGGTCCGATCCGTCTCGCAGCATCGACCCTTCCAACTTTATCCAGGACGAAAGGACGATGCAGCTCTGTCTATCCCCGAGACTATGACGGATACTCCGACGCGACTGGAGCTTCCGCGCAAGCCTTCAAGGGAGTCGATATCCCCGAGTCGAGATCAAGACCGTCTTGGCGGCAAAGGTCACGATCCGAGACTAGTATCGCATCGCAGCTCAACAGTAAGTCATGAGTCGGCGACATCAACGGACAAGCCCCTTGATCGCGCCTCGCTGCAGCCATCGGTGGATTGTTGAGGCCATATGTGCAGCGACACAACATGCCCAGAGTCTTTGATAGCCTCTACCGAGTGGCCTTTTTGCCCGAGGGACTCTCGGACTGCAATGTCTGGCATGCCTTTCGGACAGTTGTTGATCATGTCCCTTTCCCTTTCAACGCCCATGCGCTGTGCTTCAGCACGATCAGAATGGATCGTCATCCCGAGCATTGAGGATGACTAAATCGCCTTCGTGGACGCCATCGGCTCGCGTGGGTGCGCAACCACACCAGTACATCGATCGAGACGACCCCACGAACGAAGCAGATCGCCGGAACGACCCTCGCTATCATCACCATGATCGACGCAGGTCAAGATCCCCGCAAATGCGGCAATCAACATCTCATCCAGACGATGTGCCATCCCGCGCCGTAGTCTGGAAGGATCTGCGGACACCTCGAAACAACCAGGATGACCACTCCTCAGTTGCAGCAACATCGCAAGCCTCCTCGAGCCGGTCAACGCCGAGCAAGCCACCTACAACGGCTGTCAGCAAGCGATTTGCCGATAACATCGACAGGTGGAATCGGAAACAATCCGAGCTACACGCAAGCCAGCCTTCCGCGTCCGAGGTCATCGTGAGCAACACCCCTGACTCTTCGGCAGATCCGAGAGCCAACATCCAGCCAGTTTCCTACACGAAAGAAGGCCAACGAAGCACTGCTCCGGCCTCCACAGAGCTTTCCGATGCTGAGCTGACTACCTACGACTACAAAGACGTCCAGCGTGTCGCCTGTCTCCTATGCCAACGCAAGTTCAAGAGCCTCGATACCCTTTATCGACACGAGAGCGAGTCAAAGTTGCACAAGGACAATCTCGCAAGCACTCAGGCATGTCGACAAGCTGTCGCCAGAAAGCTCGACCTTTCCGTGCAGCCTGAAGACACCCGCGGGGCCCTGTCTCCGGATCACGTTCCTGCGCTCTCGGAGCAAGCCCAGCAACCGACTGTTGCGTCAATATACCGAGATCGCGCATCAGAACGACGAGCCGTCTTCGGCGCAGACAACCCTTCGAAGAACACTGGCTCCATCCAACGGACCAAAACGTTTGACGGCCCGGAGGCGACAACCTCCACAATTGGCTCAAACGAGGTGCTGCCACAGTCTGCGCCGGCAAAGCCGATCGAGAGCGACAATATCGGCAATAAGCTTCTCGCCATGATGGGCTGGTCGCAGGGTCAAGGCCTTGGTCTCAAACGTGAAGGTAGAACCGATATCGTCGAGACGAAGATCTACAAGCCAGGCGCAGGGCTGGGTAGCAGCACTCCCAGCGATAGCGTCACATCAGTGCGATCGAACGTCTCTTTTACAGGCTACAAGGATCGTGCGAAAGATCGTGAGTATTCGTTGATTATCGCCAAGTGCTCCTGATCGAATTAAGTTGCTGACCACTGACGTTTGTCGATTCGAATGGACACTTTGATGACGCTGCCTGCATTCACAGTCGCACGACAACGACTAGCAGATCAGACGCCCGTTCCGCAGCAACAGCAATGAACCAATGGCTTCTACAACTTTGTCATATTCATTGTCCCTTCGTGTTCGCGTGTGCTCGGCTGTGAGGATCACCAGATGAACCGGAATAAACCTATGGTCAAATTGGCCACCAGCCCGAACAGGATCGAGACCTGCATCGTACTTCCAAACACGCTCTGGCTCGTCTCTGTCAGACGTTCCATCTCCCACTGCTGCTCGTCATCCTCTTCATCCTCCTCCTCCGCTGCCACTTGGTTGGGTAAAGAGGAAGGATGTGGTTTGTCGCGAAACCAGAACAGAGGTATGAGCGGGGGGAGGAAGAATCCGACCATCAAGCCTTGCATCACGGTTGTGTATGCTCCTGACGTTGGCGCCGGATCGCCGAAGTCGCCGAGGGTCGGGTTGTTGGTAGTGGTGGTGGCGGAGAAGGTGTCCATCCAGGATTCTTCCATTTCGAGGAGGTGTTGTGCGTGCTCGCGAGCTTGGATCAGGTCGTAGGTCGTGGAGAGCGGGTGCGAGGTGCGAAATTGGTCGCGGATGGTGGAGATTTCAGCTGCGGTTAGGCCGGCGTCGAGGAGTCGGTTGAAGCCGCGATTGCGAGAGGCAGGGTCTGTGTCCACGTCGAGGGGAGCGTCGGTGGAAGCGGGGTCGAGATCGATCAGCGGATCGGACCGGGTATCGGTAGGAGACGCAAGGGAGGTGTGGGTGTCGAGCTCACCGACGGAGCATTGGATGTAGACGGTGGGTGCGGTACGGATGGTGAGCCGGATCGAGTCGGAGTAGAAGGACGGCTCGCGGTTCTTGCCTTTGCCTTTGGTCATGCTGAAGTCTGCGTTCTGAGCAGTAGAGCTACCAGCGCCGGTATCGCCTTTGATGACTTCGCTATTCTGCACGACCAGCCACTCAACCATGTCGCGGACGCTCATCTCCTTCTTCTGGACTGTGTCACGTTCCCCTTCCTCGTCGCCTGCGGAACCGTCGTCCGTCTCCATCTCTGATACTCGCCCTTCCTCTTCGCTCGCGTCGCCCACACCCTCTTTCTCTCCGCGTCTCCCGTCAGGCAAGGCAAGGTGTCGTAGACTCTGTCTACCCTGTACTCTCGTCCTCAAGTCCATCTCCTCCAGATACTCCACCAGCCTCACCCGATCCCTCAGAATCCTTCCCGCATGGATCAACCGCAACCTTCTTCCACGCACCCCTTCCCTACTCTTTTCCATCTTAGCCTTGAGCATTTGCACCGTCTCATCGCCCATCAGCCCGTCTCTACGCAGCGATTCGACCACTTGGTGTACCAGCTGATCCTCATCGTCGGAAGATATCGCTGCTGGCGCGTTGGTGTTTGTGGGCTGATCCTCTACATCGAAGTCAAAGATGAGCTGCTGTTGGTCTCGGTCCTGCGGTTGCGAAGTGTCAACAAGAGACCGTGGTGCTATGGGTCGCAAGGACTCGATGGAATGGAGATTTAGATGCAGATCCGATACCCCGGGCTCGGTGAAACGAATCGTGACGGGTCGCACGCGTACGCTGGCCTGCAAGCTTGATGATGACGAGCCTGGGCCCGGATCGCGAGGGATGTAGTCCATGGTTGTCGGGCTACGCTGCGCTCATATTGGAGCCGACACGAAGCAGTCGGTACAAATGATGCTGATCGCAGTGTGTGAGACGGCTCTGGCCGCGCGATCAGACTGATGTGGTAGAAGAAAGTGTCAAGGAAGGAACATTGCACAGAGCGCTCCACAAAAAAGCCGGTTGCTGCCGGGTCCTTGAAATTCTGGCCAGTGCACGCCCTTGGACCCTTGCAATTCTTCCATCTCAAGTGCCTGGCAGGCCAGATTCGATATAATGCTTGCTCTCTGTTAGGACTCGATGCATAGGCCTGGATGTGCGTCCGGATGTGCGACTTTCACACAGACTACTGAGCAGGAAAGGGCTTCTGTGCTTGACTGAGATGCTATTCCGTCAGGAGGCAGTCGCTCCACTGTCTTTCATTGGACGCGGACACCGACACCTGATCAAACAAGGTCGCCCAGAAAGGTGATCATAGAGGCTAACAACACTCGACCACCTGCTATCCAAGCTTCGTCTGACTACATACCATGAGCAGCATTCATGTTGGCGGGTGTAGCCGACGCAGAAACGAAGCTCATATCGCTGAACAAGGATTCTCCCAAGAACCCGTCCAGCATGCCAAAATCCCAATCGATGTCGACCATGCCTCCCGCTGCCGCTGCTCCCGTACCATCGATCCCATTCGCTCCAGCCCCATCGCCCATGCCGCCCATGCTGCTGGCGCCAAACGCAGCGGATGCGGCATTGGACGCTGCAACGGTCGACATGTTTGCATCCAGCGGTGTGGGCGTCATACCGGAAGACGGGTGGTTGGGAGCAAAGCCTCCGTACTGACTATACTGATGTTGCCACGATCCGTGGAAAGGAGGTTGGTGCGGATGCGAACCGAGGGAAGCATCGTGGACGATGGCCGTCTGAACACCTGAAGGACCCGCTTGGAACTGCATCAGCTGGCGAAGGAAGTGCTGGTCCGAATCGGCATTGCCTGCTCCGCCAGAGGAAGCGGCCAGGTCGTCGCCCTCTGCAGACGGAGCCGCAGATGACACGCCCTCCTCAGCCGGTCGACTACCAGCCACACCTGCTTTGCCAGAAGCACCATGCCCCTGCATGGCGCCTTGACCGGAAGCAGACACACCAGTTTTGTCTCCTCGCTGCTCGCCACCTTTCGGTCCGACCTTGCCATTCCGAGCAGCCTTACTCTGTCGTCCGCCCGCCTCGGTATTGGCATCCCTGTCCCTCTTCCTACCGTTGGCTCCCGTCAAATCCTCACCCTCGCCATCCTTGCTCGCCAGCTTTGCGTTCCAGGCGCCTTTGGCCTTAGCCAGAACCGTGAACAGGAAAAAGGCATAACTACCAGCCGCAGCTCTTCTATGCGGTGTTGCGTTTCCTGCATCCTCGCACGCCTTGGCCAGCTTCTCCACCATCTCGAAAGTGTACTCTGCGTCGACGTCGATGCCGATGTCCTCGTCGTTCGCCTTCTCTTGACGCTGCGCCAACGTCGAATTGCCGCCGCCACTTTGCAGATTGGCCGTCCCAGTTGCGTTGGTCGTGATCAGACCGACAATCTTGAGAGCAAAGATGGCGCAGTACGCAGGCGTGACGACCGCTGAATTGTGTCCCCAAAACAAGCCGTTGGGCACCATGGTCGCGACAAAGAGACCAAGGTACGCCATGCAGCAGGCATACGCGTCTCTGTAGATGGGTCGCAAGACTTCGAGGCCAAGATGGTTGCATTTGAGCGCGATGGTGTCGAGGATGAGCCTGGCGTACCAGTAATACAGCTTGAGACGGTTGATCCGACCCAAGGTGGGTGGAAGACTTTCGCTGCTTTCGGAATCCGGCTCGCTGCCATTGGGCTTGCTGCCTTTTGCGGCTGAACTGTTGCTGAAGGCCTCAGCCGCTTCCTGCCTTGTGGTCGTGGATGGAGGCATAGCTTGCTCCGACTGCTGGTGCGAAGGTCCTGTCCATGTTGCAAGCCATGTGTCGAGGTCACTTGCGCAGATGCGCCTGAAAAGCTCGACCTGCTTGGCGGTGCGCTCTGCGGACAAGTACGAGTTGGAGGCATCGACAAAATTCTCGAAAAGCTCCGTATTGCGTTTCATGAGCATTCGCAGCTGCACCACAGCCACAACGGCTTTATCCGATGGCAGCGCAAACTTGTCCAGGTGCCAATGAGCACATCCCATGACGACGGGATCGTTTGCCAGTGTCGGACGTCTTCCCATGTGCTGGCTCATACTGGTCTCGAAGAGCCATAGATTGAGCCAGGTGCGCTCTCTGTTGCGCAAGCGGCGCGCAAGACCGGCGTCATCCTGACGATTGGGTGGGCGAACAGCGATGCGGCTGTTCATGTCGAGCTCCGATGCAATGCGGATGGCGAAGCCTAAATAAGCCCACGCCTTGTCCTCAGATATGGTGTTCATCTGGGGGTGATACGCGGCGAGGATGATGAGCGCCTGCGGGATCTCTGCATTCCTGTAACCCTCCATGAGGATGGTGGGGAGCAGATTGGTGCGGATGTGCATCTCGAGATCGGCGGCAATCTGACTCGCTTCGACCCTGTATTTCGCAGCGATCCAACATGTGCAGCTGAGCAGCAGAGAAGAACACGATCGCACATAGTCGAAAGTGTGCAGGTGCGGATCGAGCAGCGTGATGGTGGGATTGATGCGATCCATGTAGACGGCGTAGAGGCTCTCAGCCTCGGCGAGTGTGAGGTAGCCGCGGTCAATGGGGTCGAACTGAGGCAAATTGTCGAGCTTGGTGGTGAAGAGACCGACGTCAAAGAAGGCCTTTCCGCGACCTGGACCGAATCGGGAGACAGTGTTGGTCTTTGTCAAGCCGTGGTATTCGCCAAACAGACTGGTTCGGCCGTCTGCTGAATCGAGTCTCAGCGCCGCGGAGGAAGGCCCTTGATCGGCGGATCCCGCCGCGCCGTTGGCGTGGGCAGCAGTTCGACCGCGTGACCTGGAAAGATGATCCACCGCCGAGGCACCCTTGTTGTCGGATACCTTTGAGGCAGAATCCGAGGATGCAGGATCGGACGCTTCAAGACCTTCGCGAGCCGAGTCACTTGCGTGTGCGAGCAACTTGAGAGGGTTGGAGAGCGTGGGAAGTCCGAGATTTTCCGGCTCGTCCGGATCATCGGATGTAGGAGTTGCCGTGGCGATGCTGTGAGACGTTTGCCAGGACGATGACGCAGAGCGCTGTCGATGCAGATCCGACGGTCGCTTTGAGCCAGAAGCGGTTGCTTCACGTTGTGATGCTGTGAGATTGGCACGTGGCGAGTGGGCGGGCGGCGACATGGCGGTCGAGAGAGGAGCAGCTGGTGCTCGATGGGCGTCCACCGTCTTCCAGAAGGTGTCCGGTGAGGACGTCTCCTGGTCGTCCATGGGCTGCGTGCGGACATCGCGTTTGACGTCGGCTGGACCTGTTCTGGGCAGCGACTGCGCGCTACCGGGACTTCGTGCAACCTTGTTCTTGGAAAACTGCTCAAGGGCTCGGCTGAGAGAATCGACGGTGCGTTCAAGCTTCTGAATCTTGGAACTGTCGGATTTGCGACCGCGTTTGTGGCTTTTATAGTAGCACTCCTTGCCCAGTCGCTTGCAGCGGGTGCAAAGGTCGCCGCCGGAACATTTCACCTTGGAGAGGCGGCACTCCATGCATGAGATCTTCTTCTCGGCGGCGGCGGCAGCGGCGGCAGCATCAGCAGCAGCAGCAGAGGCGGCACTGCTTGCAGACGCTTCAGGTAGGCGGTGCTTTGCGCGAGCAGCCTCATCCAAACGATCTTTAGGAAGGCTTGGTGCGGATCTCGTGGATGGTAGCGGCGGTCGCGATGCAGAGGGTTCAGAGTGGTGAGGCGCTGAAGAGGCGGAAGAGGCGGCTGCGGATGCAGGAGAATAGCCCTGATCTGCATACCTGTACTGGTCGTGTGACTGTGGTGTGCGATGATGTGGCGGCATGTTCACAAAGTGACGACCTTGAGGATGATGACGTGGCGTTGACTTCTGGTGCGAATGGTGCGCGTGTTGGTATGGGGGGTAGTGTTGCGAGTCCGGGTAGTGTGCAGGCTGTGGGGATGGAGACGACTCTGCAGCTGCGGCAAGATGGTAGAGCGCATCATGGTACGACTCGGGCTTTGGCGACACCATCGCGTTGGAGTTTGGAGGGCCGACAACCTTCTGGTGATGTGGTAGTGGAACGGTCCGTGGCTCGCTGGTACGATGTTCGAGAATCGGACGGCCGGACGGCTAAAACGTATGCGTGAACTTGCAGTGTTTGAGCTCACCGGTCTGAAGAGACACAATGAGCGAGGTAGTGACGAGCGCACCAAGAAGGAAAGACCCAGTCAGAGTGATGATTGATGATCCGTGGAAGGCAGAAGGGAAAAAGAGATGTATCGGGCTCGGCTGTGAAAGAGGAAGCGAGGCTGTCCGACGGAAAGCGAGGTGGAAGGCGAGCCGGCTGCAGCAAGAGACATTGTTACAAAACAGGGTCCACGGCTGGACGAAGGAATCGCACTTGGCTTGAGAGTTTATGCAGAATGCCCCGAAAACCAGAGATCTGTTATTCGCAGCACGTCGCTCCGCCTTTGGTTTCCAAAGGCGGGGCAAGATGCGACTCAGCGTTCTTCTCGGTGGTCCAGAGCCCAGCCGAGGCGTCGATGCCTCAAAAAAAAGCGCGGCTCGCAGTGACCCTTGGCTTCCCGTTGACTAAACGCCGTACAGAGATGCCATCTCAGGATACAGAGGAATCCTGTCTCTGCCCGCCCTTCACGCCTTGCCTGATGTTGCCGCCATGTCTTTGGTTTTCTCCATCCATGCTGTCAAGTTACCGTCTCAAAGCTCGAGCAGCGTCCCATCGGAGGTGTGCCTGAAAGAATCTGCTTCGGCCATTTTCTCGCCGACGCCTCTCTTTCTTTTTCCACTGGTGTCGTCGACTGCCGCGGCACACAGTGCTTTGAGAGACTGCGCCAAAGGCCGCTTTTCATTTCCGGAGCGTGAGCTGTTAGCACGCTTTAACAGATACACATTTTGAGCCAGTCAGCTGCAGAGCGCTTTGTGCAGGTCACGAAGACGGACCCTCTTTGCTTGGCAAAGGGACGACACTCCGAACATACATCCTCCACTCCCTCACAATCCAAGCCCCATCGTCAACAGCGCTTGCAACAGTCATCATGGCTGCATCAATAGCGTCGGCTTCAAACTCGAACATGGCCGCCTCGACATCGAACATGGCTGCAGCCGGACCATCCACCTCGGCTTCCGGCTCAGCAGGCAGCAACAACAAGCTCGCCATCACGCCCAACCTCATCTCTGCACTCAAGCCGGCCAAGGTCTTCTCACAGTTTGTCGCAAAGGGCAAAGCCATCACTGCAGCATCGTTCGACGACGCTGGCTTCCAATGCATCACCTCGGGCGAGGATGAGCTGATGCATCTCTACGATACCAAGTACGGCGTGCATGTGGCCAGCATCCCCTCGCACAAGTACGGCGTCCACCTGACGCGCTTCACACACGACAAGGACTCGGTCATTTACGCATCCACAAAGGAGAATAATGCGATCCGATACATGGACCTCAAGACCAAAAAGTACACGCGCTACTTTGAAGGTCACGAGAACAAGGTGGTCACGTTGCAGATGAGCCCCTTGGACGACACGTTCTTATCCGGCAGCGTAGACGAGGCGGTGCGGTTGTGGGACCTGCGATCGCTCAAATCGATGGGTCTCATGAACGTTCAGGGGCATCCGGTGGTTGCGTACGATCCTACTGGTAAAGTGTTTGCCGTAGCCCTCAACGAACGCTCGGCAGTGCTGCTGTACGACGTTCGCAAATTCGACCAGATGCCGTTCCTGGTGGTGCACCTCGACGATTCGGCCGCGCTGTCCAAAGTTTCGATGCCGCCAAGGATACCCATCATCACCTCGCTCACTTTCACCAACGACAGTCAGTATCTGCTGCTCGGCACATCGGGAGACGTACACTACGTCATCGACACTTTCTCTGAAGGCGGTCCGGTGGTGGCGAGACTGATAGGACACGAGGGACTCGAGCGCGCATCAGGCACATCGATAGGTATGGTGGCTGAGGCGGGCATCAGTGGGCAAGAGGTGAGCTGGACGCCGGACGGCAAGTGGGTTTTGTCTGGCTCGGCCGACGGCTCAGTGGTGTTCTGGCACGTCGATCTGGAAGAAGCCAGCCGCAACGAGTTTCGCAATTTGCGACCGAGATACAAGCAGACGGGTCACGATGGCACCAGCCGCGTTGTAGCATTCAACCCGCGATATGCACGTAAGTAGACCGCCGCTGCTAACCAGTGATGGCTCGCTGCTAGACAGGAACGAAAAACTGACCTCGAAGCCTTTCCCTCTCTTTCCTCTGTTCACGTCTGGTAAATGATCACTACATACAGAATTTGTCAGTGCGGGTGCAGAAGTGGCTTTCTGGCTGCCAGATTTGCCCGAAGAAGTGTAACAGACGCGATCATACCCTCTCCGGTGCAGCAGCGTCATCTTGTACGATGCAGAACAGTAGCGAGAATTAAGCTTTAGTGGTGTGGATACAGTAGGCTTCACAATGTGGCCGCCAAAAGAAGTCTAATGTTAGAGTTTCTGCTTCGGACACACAAAGAAAAGGCTGCCGTGCTGCTCCGTGCATATGATCCGATGGGGTTCTGCTGCCATCCGGAAGCCTAAATGAGGTCTTGAGCTTGCAGCTCGGACTTCAAGGTGCCCGAGACTCAGCGAAGCAAGGCATGTGGACTCGCGCTCTAATATGGGGACGTCGAAGTCACATCTGAGCTTTGTCGTCGTTCAGCATCGTTGGGCTTGGGCAGATTTGCCAGCACGTGGCAGCGTTCAGGGAGCTCGACAGGTGAAACCTTGGCTCGATTTTCCCTGAGAACACGCGCCGTGCTTTCAAGGGCCGCCCGCCACTCGCGACTCGAGTGGGGCTATGATTTTCAAATAAAGTTTTCTTCTGGAGACCGCAGTGCAGTATCCGTGCATAAGGGGCTCTGAGACCCTCTGCAGCGCGGCAGTGCTTTCCCCACCTTGTATCTTTGTGGCGTGACGAGTCTGGCCGCTGGAGTTCAGAAGTCCTGGTCGGCCAGCGCTCCTTCTTCCTCCCGTCTCTATCCACATTCTTGCTCCATCCCATTCCTTCTTCTTTGGCTTGACATCCTGTCGGAAGCATTCTGTAGATCCAGGCCGGTCGTCGGAAACCCATCAGAGCAGAGCATCCGTGGGTCTCTTGCACAACACTCGGTTTTCATCAATAGAACAGTACGCAGCACAAAGAATCAAGACAGGTCGTAGGCTCTGGACAGCTCGAGACCGCTCGACATGCTTTCCCAAATCACTTCGCGCGCTGGTCGCGCTATGAACTCGACTGTTCACGTCGATTGGTCTCTGTACGGAGGTGCCGAGTCCACCGCACCGCCTTCCTCTAGCACAAACTCGGCTTCCTGCCGTACCGCCTCCGACTTGGGAGTACCACATTCGTCCACCTCTTCAACGTCATCGTCGAGCCGTAACTCGCGTTCTTCGTCTCCCACCTCTTCGACCATCGGCGACTCCTCTACCTCTTTCACCTCGGACGATGATCAAGGCGGCGCTGATCAGCACTACGGCAAGCGTCTGAAGTCTGGAGAGCAGCATGAGCTGGACGATCAGCCTCTCTCGGCAGTATCTTCCGACAGGCACGCAACGATCCTTTCTACTACTCGCACCCAAACGTCGACCGTCGATGCGGTCGACGGCAAAGCCTGGCTTCCTGCCATCGTGCCCGTTGACGCGTCCACCTCGAACGACTTTTTGTGGATGCACACCGAGGAGCCGCATCGTTCGCGTCGCATGGCCATCCTCAAAGCACATCCCGAGGTCAAGAGATTGATGGGCTACGAGCCGCTCACCAAGTACGTCTCTTTCGGCGTCCTTGCTCTGCAATTTGCGGTCGCCATCGGTCTATCAAAGTACACTACTCTCCATCCGTTCTCTTGGCAGTTTCTGCTCATCGCCTATGCCATCGGAGGTACAGCCAACCAAAACACCTTCCTGGCCATCCACGAGATCACTCACAATCTCGCCTTCCGGGGTCTGCGTGCCAATAGACTGTGGGCCATCCTCGTCAACGCTGCCATCGGCGTCCCCTATGCCATGGCTTTCAAGCCATACCACCTCGAGCATCACAAGTATCTCGGCGAGGATGGAACCGACACGGATCTGCCTACCAAATTCGAGAGCGTGGTCCTACGCAACGTGCTCGGCAAGGCCTTCTTTGCCACCTTCCAGATCTTCTTTTACGCTCTGCGACCCGGATTCGTTCGAGCTCAACGTCCAACCTTCTGGCATTTCCTCAATATCGCCTTCATCCTCTGCTTCGATGCGCTTCTTGTCCGCGCTTTCGGCTGGATCCCTCTGATCTACCTCATCGAATCGTCCTTTTTTGCCGGTTCGCTTCATCCTTGCGCTGCCCACTTTATCGCAGAACACTACATGTTTGCGGGCGTGCAGCAAGAAACGTGGTCTTACTATGGTCCACTCAACGTGCTTGCTTACAACGTTGGCTATCATAACGAGCATCACGATTTCCCGAGCGTTCCATGGACAAGGCTGCCCGAGTTGAGGAAGATGGCTCCGGAGTTTTACGATTGCCTGCCTCGACACGAGAGCTGGCCGATGGTGACGGTGAGGTTCATCTTTGGCGGGGACAGCGGGTTGTGGGCGAGGATCAAGAGGCCGAACAGGGACGCGATCAGGGCGCAGAACAAGAGTCGATGACTCCTGGCATAGCTTTCAATGCACCTCTTCCTTGCACTTTGACCCTCTATCTATCTCTTGACTTGCCTCAATGAGGCATCTGACTGTGGCCTGCAAAATCTCTGATATGTTCGTGATTATATCAACCCGAATGCTGCTTCACATCGTGGGTATCGTTTTGCTTTCTGCTTTGCCTTTTCATCGATCAGCTCCCTACCTCTTCCTTTAGCTTCTGCTCCTTGTCCAGCTCCTCCTGAACCAACCGTTCGACGTCTTCGCTCCAGTCTTCCTCTATTGGGCCGTCCTGTTCCAGTCGTGCCTCTTTCTGCTTCCATTCGATCCAGTCCGATTCGCAGCCACGCCGCAAGGCCAGCACCTTGTCGTACCACAGCCTTCCCTTCTTACCCCACTCTCCCGACGTCGACGGTCGGAATTCGGCGTACAGATCGTACCCACGCGAGTTGAGAAACTCCGCGCCGTACTGAACCGCTTCACCATCGCCATCTTCCTCTTTCGTCTCGATCGGCTCCATGAAGCTATCAGCCAACAAGATTAGCGCACCCACCACACTAGACAGCGTCTGAGCCATCGACCTCCTCATGTAGTTGAAAGCTTTCTCCGGACCCACCACGTCTCCAGCACTGATACCCCGGTACGAGCCATCTTGCATCTGCATGACGGGGATCTTGACGCCCATCAGTTCGAAATGCGGTTGGTTGGGTCCGACGATGTGTACCGTGCGTTCCTTTTCCGCTGCGGGGATGATACCGAGGCTGATACCGCGCATGGTGCTTGTGTAGTTGACGTAGCAGTGTGCTAGGCTGAGTGCTTCTGGGCGAGAGAAGTTGAGTTTTTCGAGCAGTATGGTGGCCCAGACGGTCATGACGGGTGCACGGTTGACGACGGCGTATCTACCGCTCAAGAGGGATTGGTCCAGGATCTCGTTGAACGTGTATTCGGTTTCCAGTTTGGGTCGACGAGACGAGCCAGGACGCTCGTCTGGTGGTGCAGTGATATTTCCGTATTCTCGACTGAGTGTTTCGTCGTCATCTGCCATACGACGGCGTTTGCGGTACGCGCCAAAATCGGGAGCTAGCCCAGCTGCGCTTGTTCCTCCTGCACCGGCGGAAGTGGGTATGATCCCAGCGGCTTTTTTCCCTTTGAATGCAAGAACAGTACGTTTGCGATGCTCTTCAGACTCTACACCGATGTCTTGTAGCATGATGAGCGACACATGTGCCAGCGCTGACGGGGTATTAGCTCGAGCGTTGATGAGCTTGCCTGCAACCGCCATGGCATCTCGCATGGGAAGACCACCTTTGGAAGAGAGCGTCTTGAGCAGGTCTGGTAGCGGCATGGCCGTTTCGCTCGTCGAGCTTGATGATTCTGACAGCGATGATTTCGGCGCTGCGCTCGTGGTCAATGTGGTGTGAGGTTTGGTGGGAGACGGCGTGGAGCTGGATCGAGCGTGTGCGGCGGGGGAAGAAGAGGCTTGTGCTCGCGCCTTGGAAAGCAAGGCCGCGGCTCGGCTGGCATGGCTCGCTTTCGAGGGCGACGAGCCTCCAGCTGATGCCTTCTTCGGCGGCATACTGATGCGTCCAAGCAGTGAAGTGAGGTAACGGTATCCAGGCAAGGACAGTGTCGGAAGGATGCATACCACGCATACACTGCACGTTGAGCTTGTGGAGGCATGTCCTGGCTGAGCCAAAAAGTAAAGTGCGGATTGCAAAGCCGAAAGCCGAAGTTGAAACAGCTCGCCGGCGTTTGGCGGGGGATTAACACCCAAGCAGCTTCCGAATCTGGAGCACCGGCCACGTCGAACGAGACACCGAAGAACAACACGCGCACGCCTGCACCACGCACATTCTCCCTTTCCCCCTCTCTCCCTTCCCCTCCCACCTACCCTTGACACACGTCGATCATCGCTTCAATAGTTTGAAGTACATCGGACGATGGTTCTGGATCGCCAGTCGGCCGCAGTGGCCAATTCGGTACACTCGCCGCGTAAGAAGTTGCGCATCGGCTTTGTTCACCCGGATCTTGGCATTGGCGGAGCAGAGAAGCTCATCGTCGACGCCGCGCTCTCGCTCCAGCAACTCGGACACGAGGTCGTCATCTTCACCTCGCATCACGATCCTCGCCACTGCTTCGAAGCGACGCGCGATGGGACGCTCAAAGTACAGGTGATGCGCACCGCGATACCACGATCTTTCCTAGGCGGCTTCCATCTACCTTGCGCCATCTTGCAGCAGATGAGCCTGGTCTTCCAGCTCATTCTTTCCATCACATTGTTCAACTACCCCGGAACCATGCCTCGCTTCCTGTCAAGATGCTTGACCTCTTCGCCCCCTATTCCTGCTTTCGACCTGTTCTTCTTTGATCAGCTGCCAGCAGGAATCCCCTGGCTCAAGATCCTACTCGCCACGCGTGTGGTATACTACTGCCACTTTCCCGACAAGGACATCAGCAATTCGATCGCGATGCAAAAAGCACATGCAAGAGGCGAGTCAGGGCCTTCTGTCTTCCGCAAATTGTACCGTTTGCCTTTTGACCTGTACGAGGAAGGCACCACCGACTACGCAGACAAGATCCTGGTCAACTCGGAGTTCACCTCGGCTCAATTCGTCAAGTCGTTCTTTCGGCTCAGAAGGCTGCCAAGGGTTTGCTATCCAGGCGTCGAGGCGGAGCAGTTCCGTCCCGATAGGGTGGAGCAGGCGGTCAAGAAGCTCGAGCAAGAGGCGAAAGAGGCAGGCGACCCGATCAGACCGTCCATCGCAAAGTTCTGCGAGGATGAAAGCAAGACGACGCTGCTGTCCATCAATCGGTTCGAGGCAAAGAAGAATGTAGCTTTGGCTTTGGAAGCCTTTGCCATCGCACAGAAAGAGCTCGCAGCTACTTCCACCAACAACGACGGGATTGGTCCGCTGAGACTGGTGCTGGTGGGCGGGTACGACAAGCGTGTCGGTGACAATGTTGCGACGCTCAAGGAGCTTCAGACGCAAGCTCAGGAGCTTGGTCTGTCATCCGTGACGCTCAGCTACCACCGTCAGGCATTCCAGACGCCTACCACGGCGCCCGCTGCCGACGAGCTCGCCAAAGCGTCCGTCATCTTCCTGCCTTCTCTGCCGATGGCGCTCATCCACACGTTGCTGCTCAATCCGACCACCAAGGCGCTCCTGTACACGCCGACGGACGAGCATTTCGGCATCGTACCGCTCGAGGCTATGGCATGCGGACTTCCCGTCCTGGCATGCAACACCGGCGGACCCGTCGAGACCGTTGTCGACCTGGCGCTATCCGCTGATGGCGAACCCACCAACCTTTCTGCTGGTACGGGTCTTCTCCGCCATCCCTCAGCTTCTATCTGGGCCGTCTCGATCACCGCTCTGCTTCGACTGTCTCCTTCGCACCGAGACCAGATCGCCACCGCAGCCAAGCAGCGGATCCGAGACAAGTTCAGTACAGAGGTGCTCTCGTTGGCGCTGGAAAAGGCATGCTACGATGCTTACGAGCTGGGACGCGTGCGCGGTGACGAAGGACTGTATCAGTGGGGATCGTCGCTGGCGGTCCTGCTGGTCATGTCGATCCTGTTTTGGGTCAATGTGTACTTTAGCCACGACAAGTTCTTGGCGTTCCAAGCGGCAAAGTTGGCAAAGGAGAAGGACAAGTGGATGGCAGAGCTGCGATCATTGGGTGGTGCGGGAGGTGTGGCCGACGGGCTGAACCCGACTGCCGACCACGTCGCGCAGGCTCCTCCACCCACGCCCATGTAGGTTGGTTCTCTCAAATGAAAAAGAGAAAGAGAACGAAATCCAAGGACCGAGCCTCGCTGCAAGAGGGAGAGGAATCCAGCGTTCTCACTGTCAGAGAACAGCGCTTGAGGTCGGAGAAGCGATTGTTCGACGCTGACACACATGTCGATCACACAGTTGGCAGAAACTAAACAAACGGGTCCAGGAGCTCTTCCGACAACAGTGTTGTAGACATGCTCTAGCCCCTCGTACAGTATTTCTTGTTGCACACAGCAAGCATGCAGTCATTGCACGACTGAAGCGTATCATGCAGAACGACGGTGTGCGTGAAAAGCCTCTCGTGCCGCTGTGCCTTGTTCGCTTGGCTGTGTTTGAATTCTGGGCGTAAAACCAAGCAGAGAAAAGGGCGGTTTTCCTGCAGCTGCACGATGGAAATCATTTCGAGCAAACTGCAAATGCTAGATGGTCAGTTAGAGAGGGGAAATTGCGGGGAATTTTCTCCTGTCTGTTTTCGGCAGCTACTGTGCGGACAAGGCATTTGCAGGCTCGCGTGCAGCGCCCTAAGCCTCACTTTAGAGATCAGCAGCAGCCCCGCCATCCGCCTGCTCCTTGTCGTCCATCTACTCCATCGTCCTGAGCTCATCTCTTCGACTCCTACCCACCCTCTGTACATATCGACATACACACATCGACCACCTTGAACGTCTTCGACTGCTTCTTCGATCCCACGGCATCTCAACAGCACTTTCGAGAAGGCCACTCTCTCATCTTTATCTGCGATCCTCCGTTCCATCTGCTACTTCCTGACTCACACAAGAATCTTCAAGACTCGTTGTCAGTGGCCAGTCCGACACCAAGGAGTACAATATGAAGTCGTTCTTCTCAGCACCCTCTGCGTCTTTGGCGTTGACTTTGGCAATCGCCGCAGCGTTGGTCCCACGAGTCGTTGAGGCACAAACGGCCGGTGTCCCTGCGTCCATTAATGGTAAGCCTCAATCCTTTCGCGACGTGTGCCAAGCGCTCAAGCCCATGTCCACTGACGCCCTTCTTATCGTATTTGTTCACGGATGTGCTCGCTCGACTTCTTCTTCTTCCTCCTTCAAAAGTGGGCAATGGTCAATCGGTCGCCACGTTCCCCGCGGGCCTTGGTGGCCTGTCAACCGGTTCTACCGTCGCCTTCACTCCGGGCGCAGCCAGCTCTGGCACGCAATCTCCTTACTATGTCGCGACCAACGCCGAACAGTCGTCAACCCTTGCTTCGCTCAACACTCATTACTCACAGGCCATCACCGCAGCCACGCCCACCACAGGCCCTCCCAACGGCATCAGCACAGGCGTACCTGGCGGTTTCACGGGCTCAAATACCCTTTCGATTCTGGACGGAAGCATCACTACCATTCCCAATGCCGCAACCACGTACACTGGGCCGAGATCATCAACAAGCGGCAGCTCCGCGGGTCAGAGCTCGGGCGCCCAGTATGGGAGCACTGTCGATGCGCAAAGGGTGGCTGTGATCGGCGCGGTGGTCCTGGCGGTCGTCGGCGGTGGTGCTTGGGTGCTGTGAAGCAGGTTGTTAGCGCATACCGACATTCTTGCGGACAATCTGCCGATATTGCTTCCCCTCAACCGCTGTGTGCGGTTGCGACACGCTCTTTTTGATAACGGATAACGGACTCGCCTTTGATTCTCTTGACGCTTTCGACTATACTCTCTCCTCTCTTCAACGCCCGACCATACCATTTGTGCGGGCTCAAGATCAACTGCGCCCTCGCTGCTACAGTAGATTCTACTATTTACCCACCTCACAGCCGTGCTCTAGCCACTTCACGGCCGTGCTCGACCTTCTTAAGCAATGGCCCCTTCCATCTTTCGTAATCCAGATCTCTCTTATACCATCTCATTTGACATTCTGCCTTCTAATCCTCTCTCGCTATCGTCTGACGGTGACGCGACTCAAAACTTGCATCCTACTAGCTCAGAGAAGCCTCGATTGGCCTCGATCTGTGCTGAGCAAGAATTGACTCGACACAGTCTCGCTGGAGCGAAGAGATGGTACAAAAAACAATAGCCATCTGTAACGCACTAAAAGTATGGTCGACATCTGCGGCCACAGGAAGTTGAAAACACCGCATCCCGTCCGATCTGCGAAGTTAAGCAACTTACCGCCTAGTCAGTACTGCGGTGGGGGACCACGCGGGAATCCTAGGTGCTGCAGTTCTCTTTTTTTTAATAAGACTTTTTGGACTTTCTTCTTTCTCAGTGGCCTGCTCGAGTCGAAAATGAGCTCAGCCCTGACCATGAATCATGTTGCTGCTCAGTTCTTCTTCTCGTCACACTCCATCTTCGCCATCATTTCATCACTCCGTCTCGGTTCTCAGCGGCGATCATGGGTGCCTCTCAGTCCTCGCACAAGCCAGGTGCGGCTGGTGGAGGCACCGCCAACGACGCCAATGGTGAACCTGCCTTTGTCGACTACTACGAGCTCCTCCACATAGAGCAGACGGCCACCACAGACGAGATTCGTAAAGCATATCGAAAGCTCGCTCTCAAGCACCATCCCGACAAGAACCCGGACAACGTAGAGCAAGCCAACAAAATCTTTCACAAGCTGCAAGAGGCCTACGAAATCCTATCGGACGACACTGAAAGGGCGTGGTACGATCAGAATCGAGAGCGCTTGCTGAATGGCGAAGGGCCGGATCTGGACGATGAGGAGGTCTTCGAGGCGTTCCGAACAGGAGCAGCCGAAGCGCCGCAGCCGACGAGCTCTTCGCGTGGGCTGACAGCAAAGGCGCTGCTTCGCTTCTTCGATCCTAGCTTGGCAAAGGACTTTACCGACGGCGACAATGGCTTCTATGCTACCTACCGTCGACTGTTCGAGCGTCTTGCACAGGAAGAGCGTATAGCAGCTCCATATCCTGGTGAAGAGAAGGACAATACCATCCCTCCCGCTGATGCGTTCCCATCGTTTGGGTACAGTCACACTCCCTACTCGACTGCCAAAGGTAAGGAGGCAGCAGTGCACCAAACACCGGCCAAGGACTTTTACAATGTGTTTATGAACTTTCAGTCACGCAAGAGCTTCGGCTGGTTCGACAAGTACGATCTTCGCGACGCACCAGATCGAAGAGTCAAACGTCTTGTGGAGAAGGAGAACAAGCGCGCAAGGGACGCCGCCAGACGCGAGTACAACGACGCCGTCCGCTCTCTGGCTGCCTTTGTTCGCAAGCGAGATCCGCGATACAAAAAGTTCCAAGCTGAACTTAACTCGACGGGTCCTGGATCGACTGCGGATCTTGCCAGAAGGAAAGCTGAGGCCGAGAAGATTAGACTCGAGAGGGAAGCACGTGCGCAGTCGTACCAAGCGCAGAGCTGGCAACAGCCCGACTACCGTTTCTCTGACGAGGATGAGGACACGGATGAGGATCAAGACGAAGACGGCGAAACTGATGATGATAGCAACGAGGATGGCGGAAGTGGGGGCCTGTCAGGGTCAAATGCTGCAATCGACCCGCTCGAGGATCCATCGTACTCTGGCTGGGACTGCGTGGCTTGCGACAAATTCTTCCAGTCCGAAGCTGCCTTCCGCAATCACGAGCGCAGCGCCAAGCACAAAAAGGCCGTCCAAAAACTCCAACGTGAGATGCAGGACGAAGAGGACGAGCTTTGTCTCGGCCTGGATGCCGATGACATCGCCATCGACGCCTCTTTGGCAGACATGCATCTCGACGGCAACAAGGCAGACACTAACGTCTCGGCCGGCTTCTCGATACCTACGCTTGCCGCGGACGCATCAGCAGGCAAGAGTAAAAAGCAAAAGAAGCAGGCTAAGAAGCGCAGACAGATGGAGCAAGTTGCGGGACGGACACTAGATGAAGATGGATTCGTTGTGCAGGACTTGAATCGCAAGCAGACAAAACCTCAGGCGAACAAACAGAACTCCGTTGCTGATGGCGCCTCTGAGACTCAGGAGGCCAAAGGAAGCGCTCCAGCGGTACACGTGGTGGTTGACGAAGATGAAGTCGACGACGATGCCGGGACGGATATTTCCGACGAAGTTGGCGCAGGCGCCGAGGAAAGCGCACCGCTCAAAGCATCGGAAGGCCATCGCGATCAAGAGGTAACGCCGAAGACTGGCGGAAAGAAGCTGCAAGCAACGGCCAAGTCAACGTCCGCCGGCAACGACGATGATCCATGGGCGGGCCTGGAAGATCCCTTTATCCCTGCATCTGCTTTTTCTTCAACGATCCCTCCACCCTTGCCTGCGCTCACACGTCCCGCCGGATCGTTCGACATCTTTGGGTATGGAAGTCTCATCTTCAAGCCGCCGCCGTACGTGATTGCTGCAACGCCGTGCTACATCAAAGGCTTTGTCCGACGTTTCGCGCAGCATTCGATCGACCATCGCGGCACCCGGGAGCGACCAGGACGAGTTGTCACCTTGGTCAAAGCGTCCGACTGGCACCCTTTGCGCAGAGCTGCCAAAGTGGACGAGCCCAAGTCGCCGGAAGGAGACATCGTGTGGGGTGTCTCGTTCACCATCGACCCCGAGCACGCGCGGGTGGTCAGGCAGTATCTCGACTATCGAGAAAAGAATGGGTATAGTGCGATGCACGTTCCGCTCTACACAAAGCTACCCGAGGAGCAAGGTGGAGAGGAAGAGGTGGTGTTGAAAAACGCACTTGTCTATGTGGGTTTGCCATCGAATCCCGCGTTCGTCGGACCGCAGTCGCTCGATGCGCTCGCACAGCGGATCTATACATGTGCTGGACCATCCGGACCCAATCCAGAGTACCTGCTCAATCTAGCAAAAGCCGTAAGAGAGCTTGCTCCGCAATCGGTCGATCAGCATCTTTTCAGCCTGGAGAAGCGCCTGCTGCTGCTGCAGGAGCAGAAGATCGATCCAGCTGTGCTCATCGCCCAGGAATCAAAACAGCAGTCCTCCCAAAAAGCATCTAAGGACGCAGTCGAAGACGACGAGGAGGATTCAGACGGAGGCAAGGGAGGGAAGGGAAAAAAAGGAGGCAAGTCGAAACCGACTGGAAAGAGCAAGGAGTGGTGCAACGTGTGCAAGGCAGGCTTTGAGAGTAGGAGCAAGCTGTTCAACCATATCAGGGAGACGGGGCACGCTTTGGCTGGCGAGCAGAACAGTTCGGGCAAGAAGGGAAGGCGCAAGTAGCAACCCGATGTAATTACCGAGCAGTGACCGCTCATGCATAGACCAAATCCCGATAGAAAAGCATCCTGTGGGGTTGAGATACATGAGCGACCGTTCATGTCATATCAAAAAGTTGAACACTGGAAATCTGGCGGGTTGCGGTTAGCGGTCACTCCTAGGGGATCCGACGGAACGGCTCAAGCGCTGAGGTGTGAACGTGCAGCCAGAGGTGCATTAGGCCCGATCGTCAGGCACTCGTGCCTCAGCATGGAAGTGGAAGCTCTTTTCCCACGACGGAAGAGACCTCCGGTCAGAGCCAAGGAAAATTAAGGTTTGCCGAGCAAAGAAGCCGGCTCCAGAACGCGCAAATGCGACGAAAGAAGAATCAAGGAGTGGGCTTCTCCCACCCCTGCACCTACGACTTTGTGCAACTCCGCTAGAAGCGAGAGACAGCTACAACACATAGCGAAGCCGCTCGATCTTGTTGCACAAAGCGTGAGAAAGAGTTGAAAGGGAAGTGGACAGGGTCGATGCTCCGAAACGCTCTTCGAGATCGGCGGTGCGGAGAGCGCTTAAGTGGCCATGCACGTGAACCGCTAGTGAAGTACGCGAGTAGCATGGCGCCGGAAAACGAACCGGATGCTTCTAGAATTGACCTGTCAGGAGGGAAAGGACAAGAAGTGGCGGATAAACCGTGTGAAACAGTGCTTTCTTACCATGAGCTGATTTTATTTTGCCGAGGTCGGGGGACCTTGGCCTGGCGCTCAGGAGCAAATATAAATATGGTCCTCAGCTTCCGAGGGGCTCCTCACGGACCCGACCACTCCCCTTCGAACATCAATCCATACTCCACACTGGACGTCGTCGTCGCCTTGAACAAAGATGTCGACAACGACAACGAAAATGGCTCGAGGCGTCTCGGGTGTGGTCGGGCTGTACCTGGCAGCCATGGTCCTCATCTGCGCTTCCTTCGTCTGGGCCGTTCCTGCCCCCCTCGAGTCCCGCCAGGCTCCCAACCAGGCCGCCATCGACAATCCCACCGACCAGACCGCCTCGCTCAACGTGACCATGTTCATCCTTCCCATCCCCCTCTCCGAAGCTGCCTCCATCGCCTCTCCCTATAAGCTTCTTCCAGACCATGGTCTGCCCGCCTCGGTGATTCCGGACGGGTACTTTCCGATCCAAGTTCGGGCGAATTACTTCTACGACATCCGTCAGAAGGCGCTGGGTATTCCCCTTCAGGTGCCACAGCTGACGTCACTCGCCCTGTACCTGCCCTTCATCGACGTCTTGGGTGACGGCAAGACGGCGTTCAAACGCAGTGCGATCCAGTACTTTGATCAGATCCTCCCTACGCTTGTCGGCGGCTTAACTCAGTTCCAAAATGGTCAAGTGGCGTTCTTCGATCCCGCCCATGCGGCGTATAAGCCTTCTGGAGGCAACACGCTGAGCTTCACAGCTGCTCAAGGCATCAGTAATCCTATCGACGGTCCAGGTATAGTCAACCCCATCTTCCAAGCCGTGTTCCAACGAACTTCGTCTTCACCCATCAGCGAGGCGAAGCACCGCTCGATCCTCGCCCAGCCGTTGTACACCACCCCGGGTACAGGTTGCAACATGGAGACGATCCTGTTCAACTACACAAACGCAAACCCGAGCTTTGTCACTGGTGACGTTCAGATTTTTACTCCCTTCACAAAGGAGAACAACGACTACAAGACCGCTTATGGTTATACGGCTGCTACGTGAGTGTCTCTCAAGCCACTGTTGAAACGTTCTACTGTGTCCGAAAAAAGGGGACAGGAACGATGACTGACGTTTACTTTTGTTTCATTCTGTGAATGGCGATGATGATGCTGGCAGGCAATGGATCTTGCCCTCTACGACCAAGGATTGCAGGTCGTTTGCTTGAGGGTCACTGCTGAATATCCCCGGCCATGCTGCCGCTGTGGACTGTCTGCCCCTCATGGAATTGATTCCGCTTTACCAGAATGCTTGTTCACCCCTACATTGTCCGTTTGAGAGGCTTACGGTGACCGATTACAATGTGGTCGGCGGTCAAAGGCCCTGAAACAGGCTCTCTTGTAACCTTCGAACCTTCGTGAGACGTGCGTAGGGTCGAAGATCAGCGCACCAACCTGTTCCCTGAACCAGCCTGATCTTCTTGAGCGAATCCGGTCGGATCGAATTGGTCTGCACGTATGGTGAGCCTGTCGCGTAAAGCCGTTTGGCGCGAGGTGTTATATGAGATCGCGCTGCAGGGTCCAAATTTTCTCAACAGCCACGATTCCCGGCTCGTGTTTGAGTCGAACGTCGACCAACCCTGTCTTCATCGTGCGACACCCACCTCAATTTCATCTCGCATCCACAGACGCCACTTCCGATCGACACAGTCACAACATGGCCAAGCGACGATCAAGATCATAGATTCGCACGAAGCAGGCTTCAACAACGATGATGACGGTTTCCGTGCAACAGTGTTGGGTTGCATTTTCAAGAACGACATCGGCGTAGGAAAGGCAGGACAAGGTACCACAGATGCCGCGCGTACAGCATGGCGCTCCTGCGCAGCGGTGCCACAATGCCTTTGGACATCGAGATGTTGGCTCGGGTAGCGAAGCGGTGCAGAAGCAGCGTCGTATGATCCAGATTGGTTCTTCACCTCCGGCCTTTACCACAGCAGCGCACCATCTCGCAGCGAAAGCGAGAACGTATCGGCATGACGAGCCACAAGCGCCGCCTGCTGATGCCTTTGCATCACCGAAAGCGTCAAGGAAGAGACGTATCGTTCTTGTTCAACGGAAGAATCCGCTCGACCTGCGCTCTTCATCGCCCGCTTCGCCTGACTTGCGACTGCAAACAATGGGGCTGCTTCCCGCACCCGATCCGGCGGCGGCTCGAAGCGTCAGTGTGCGGACTGCCGGCAATGCGAGCCGTAATGAAGCACGACAATTGTTGCAGCTGGAACGCAATGATACCAGCTCGCCGATCGGAACTTTTGGAGGCCAGAACCTCGGTCGATCTAGTCGCGGACTTCGCTCAGGATCTTCGGAACAAGCAGTCAGACTTTCGAATGGGAAGACGGTAGGCCTTCCAACGCTCAAACGAAGCTGTCGTCTGCGTGCAGGTACCCGAGAGAGACGCGTTCCGACATCGGACTCCGGTGCCCCGCACAACGAGAATGTCGATGCATACCAAGCGCAAGACCATGCCAAGAGCAAAACCGCGAAACGCGATGCAGAAGAGGCGCTCGTCAGACCAAGACGTCGTCGAGCAAAGATTCAGCGGGTCGAGCTGGGAGGTGGTTTGCCTTCATCCTCTGCGGATCAACCGCTCAGTGATGCTGACCACCATCTCAACTCTCAACCGGATGCAGATCATTGCGCTGCCGACGAATCCGAGATCAGCTACTTTCCCACCCTTCGTCCCGCGCGTTCTTCCGACGCCAGGACGCGACACACTTCCAGTGATGAAAGAAACGACGTTTCACCGTTTCCACAGCAGGACGCCGCGAAACATCCGATTCTCTTCACCGGTCAAGGCACTTGGCCCACGCTCGCGTCTCACCACACGAGGTCAGAGGTGCCAGTACCGCAGCACGAAATTGCGGTCGGATGTGCCGCGGAGCGCCCGGAAGAAGCCGATTTGAGCGTGGGACTTTTCGAGGTGCTCTCGCAGAGCGCACTGCGCAAGGTGGATGGGGCGCAGTCGGGGCAAGCCGCCTCTGTGCCGCAGGTGACCTTTGCAAGTGCCGAGGTGCGGAGCGAGTCTGTGGCGTCTGCCGAGGCTCAGCACCACATTGAGGTCGAGTACGATCCATCTCGCGCTTCACGGCATCAGGCGCAGTACATCGCGATGTCGCTGGTCGAACGCACGGTTGATCTTCAAAAGTGGTCCGCGGTCCACCCTGACTCGATCCATGAGCGTCTGACATCAAGGATGCGCTCATCGGAATCGGGCAGGATGCTACAGGCTGCTTTCCGACCGCCATCGGCAGCGGTCGTGTCTCGCGACATTGGGCTCTCGTCGAGCCAGATGCAGAAGAAGCCCCTTGAAGAGGAAATCGAGTTCGTTCATCATTGCAGTACACATGCGGTGCAGAGTGCATCTGGAGATGACGACGACCGTCTCAAGCCATTTGAGCATCGACTTCGCTACGCCGGATACCATCAGTGCTGCTCGAACAGCTCAGTCTACAACGTCAGGACGATTGGGTGTCTCCGGCCTTTCGACGAATCCGCTTTCTCCAAACGAATCCAATTGCCGCGAAAGGAAGTGGTCAAGGTCATCATACCCTTTTCCGAGCCTTCGTTCTCCAACCATGCAACTCGAGCTCGTTTCCTCACCCCGCACGCCACCTCAACCTCCCACCCACCTCATCCGCGCCATTCGCCATCCGACGACAACAAGCCCTTGCTCGTATGGATGCAATCCACAGCACAAACGTTCTTCCGCGCGCTGGAAAGCATGATCCACACAAACTCGTCACCACACACGCACGACAGCAGCGTGTCGCGGTCGGATCTGTACCCCTGTCCTATATTGAGTTATGCGGCTCATGCGGATGCTGGTGAAGGAGCTTCTCATGTGGCGCTGTACGTGCATCTGGATCGGTTGGAAGAAGCGAGGCAGAGGTTGGCGGATGTCGAGCTAAGCACGGGTGGAGGGAGCAGTTGCAGACCATTTGCAGATGGAGACGTGAGGCTATTTGTTACGAGTCTGAGGGGCAAGCCACTTTGCTTGATCTGAGGTGGAAGAGGGGGGGACGGGAGGGGCGGTGTAGACCGTGGTAGACTATACCCTTGCAATGCTTTAACTACGATCATCTACTCATCACAGCGATCAATGTGGCGTCGGGCGAAAGTGTTCACAAGCGAATGACTTTGTTAGGACGATGAGCTTCAATGAGAAGTTTGGACAGGATGGGAAAGAGATCCCGTCAAGCCTCGATTGACAAGACGTCAAAGTTGAAATGAGTGAATGCCGAGCCTTTGCCGACCTTCACCCGATCCTTGCGAGAAGTTTTCACCTGCGAGCTATCCACCTCTCTCCTCTCCTCCTCCTCGACCTTCACCGCACCTGCTACCGTGCTTCTGGGAACGACGGTTTCTGGCAGAGATACGACTCCCGGCACCACACCTTGCGGCAGCGATAGAAGCTCCAAGAGTCTGTTCGCGATTCGATCGGCTGAATCCCTCATGCCGCCCAAATTGCCGGCTGCAGGACCGATCTGTAGACCTGCATAAGCTCCCGTGACGAAGAGAGGAACATCGCGTCGATACTCGAGATCGGCTGTCAGAACTGGCAATCCTCCAGCCAGTCGGATCGGGTGGGTGGTCTGAAGGTGTCGGAGGAAGGGGAGTGCGCCAAAGTCGATTTTGGCACCTGTGGCCAGGAGCAGGTAGTCCGAAGTCATGGAGGTGAGTTTCCCACCGTCTGTGCTGGTGCGCAATGTTAGTGACCATCGCTTGTCACCAGCGGCGTTGTCTCTGTTGTCAGTGTCTGCTGTGGATGCGCTTCCATAGTCGGCCGAAGCAATGGTCGTGTGTGTCCAGATCTCCACCTTTCCGAGCGCCTGAAGTCTAGCCAGCAGCTTTGCATACGTCGGTGTGACGCTGCCTCCATTCCTCGCTGCACGAAGCATATTGAGACGCTCCTGAACATCATCGTTCTGCCAGAATTGCATCTTGAGAAAGTTGCTGTAGCGTCCCACCCAGCCGAGGTCGACGTCGAAGGGCTTGCTCTTCAAGTGACCGCGGGTCAAGAGAATTACCTTGTCGTAGCCATTTTCAAGTGCACGTACGACGATCTGAGCTGATGTCAGCCCACCTCCCACGACGACCATTCTGCGCTGATGGGCAGGTGAAGATGATGGAGGGACAGGGAAGGGAAGGTTGGCGAGGCAGCTGGAATGCATCCATCCAGGACCACACGCTGGAGGTGGGGGTGCCGAGATCGAGTGCGATGGGGTAGCTGTCAAGTACGATGGTAGCATGGGCACGCCACCGAACGCAACAGCGCTGACGACGGCTTTGGCAGAGATGATTGTTCTGCTGCTCTGAGGCTCAGGACTGTCAGCGAGGCTGAGGAGGAATCCAGGACTGTGATTACCAAAGTCATCCTGGATTGTCTCTTTTGATCCATCGAACCAAACGAGGTCTTGTACGATTCCTTTTAACGTCGTCACCGGACTGTCTTCCGGTCCAGCGCTCTCTTCACCAGAGCTCTCACTCGGTTCGATGTCACCGTCAACACCGTGCTCGAAGAATTGTGAGACTCTCGGCCAAGTCTCCGCCAAACAGCCTTCGTTCGATTGGACGCGATATCTTCGTTCCAGCTGGTGCGTAAAAGAATCAAAGAGAGCAGAGCTCGGCGTGAAGTAATCACGACGGTCTCGTTCATTGACATGCACTTTGGTGTTTGTGGCGGCAGCAGCGCCGGCATTATGCATTTGTTTGCGCTTGTGCTTTGACTTCTCCTTTCCAACCACTCCGAGGATCTCGATGAGATCTGGAAGTCGGGACTCTTGTGTTTCGCATTTGTGGGCCGAAGCGACATCAGGCGCTTCGACAAGCGAGGGAGAACGTTGATCCTTTGATCGTCTGCGACAACTTCTTCCTTTCGCTGTGTTCGGCTTACCACCAGCTGCAAGGCGTCCTTCGATCATTCCGATCACCTGATCCGGCGTTCCTTCTCCAGCCTGTCCTTGCTGGTTCGCGTACGCGATCAGAGCATCAAAGTCGCTTGCGTCCGGATGGAAAAACATAGGCGACCTCAGGTGTGTGATGCCCAAAGCACTGAAGTTTCTCCTCCACAGTCCCATAAATCCTTCGCCCAGCTTGTCGATGACAAGGATCTTGATCCTACCATCACAGCCGCAGAGGTCACCATCGTCGCTCTTGAGGTTCCACAGTCCTTTGCCTGTCTTCTGTTCTCTTCGGCGGGTGTCATCCTGCAACGTTTTAGAGATGGTCCTGTTCGACGATGTGGACGTCTTGGCTACTTTAGAGGGTAAGAGCGCTGGTTTGCGTCGATGGGTGAAATGGAGATGACGGTGCTCATCTTCGGTATAGAGTGCGGCTGGACGCGATTCGAGGATGCGAGAGACGACGGCTAGGGCTGCTGGGCCTGCGCCAATTATGACCAGGTCGAAGTGGGCTGTTGCGTCGGTGTCAGGCTCTAAGAGTCTGCTGGTCGGGGCGGCTGCGGAATCGCAAGAGGAGGTGCAGGAACTTTCCGCTTCAAAATCTTCTGGCATGATCAGCGTGTCCGGAGTCTTTCGGTGCGGCGGCAGCATGATGGACGTCTGCAAGAAGATCTTCGTAGATACCGCTCACGATTCCATCAGGAAGGACTGATGACATCTTTATACTGATTCGCAGTCGTCGAAAGCACCAAGCTCGAATCACAGTGCAATTCGGCACCTTTCCGGTCACCGAATGTGCGATCTTTGCACGAAGTCCAACGACACATAACAGTTCAACCGACCACATAGAGCAACAGCGCGAAGACCGAGCGTAGGACAGCGTCATGGCAGCCCCGTCCAGGTGTTCGGCGCTGTCACGTTGCGCGGATTGATCTTATCAGGGTCACGACTGGCAAGGTCGTCGCCAGCACCTTGACGGTCAAAGTGGGTGATCTAAAAGGGGCCCGATCATTGCTATCGGGGAAGACACAGTATCGCGATAGCCGCTGACCTGCCGCCCGATACAGTTCTGTACAAGCAACAGGATGAACATACGGATACGGGCCGTTTTTGCAGAGAGCCTGCAAATGGTGTCATGTACCCGACCAACTGATATTACAGCTTGAATGATTAATTGCGGGCAGCGCATCAAAGCGTGGATGGCGTCAGTGCGGAGCAGCCGACGTGATCTCGATTTAGCACGGATTCCGTGATTTGAGCGTCTTCAGCACGCCAGTAAATTGTTTTTAATTTTATTTTATAATATATCTTCTCCTTGGTCTCGGCAATACTGTCAATCTTGGACAGCTGTCCTCTTGAGTAAATGCCATGGAGGCAACTGCGGAGATGGTGCAATCTGTCCACCCCACGTTCCGCTCTTCTCCTCTCCGCGTCGTGGCAGGATGGTGGTGCTGCTGTCTGATGTGTCGTATGCGAGTTGCTCACGTACGTGATGTCGAGGATGATGCGAGAATCACAATGGTCCAGTCCGTCCGGGCGCTTCGCGGACATCGAACCTCACGACCCTGGTCCGAAGCAGCCTTCAGCATGACACATCGAATAGCAGCTCGCCATATGTGGGCCAACTTGTGAATCTTTCCCTATCTCGCATAGCGTGAAAGCTGTCCTATGAATTGGATCCTCTTATATCCATTCTCTTTGTCAAGCCTTGCCCGGTGTCTGCTATCACAACCCTGTTAAACATCATTGCAACTTGGTGAACGAGAACCTTTTCTCCCTCCAATGTTTAGCGAACGGCACTTCTCCGGTCGTCTTGCAGACGACCAAACATTCCTGATTGTACCATACTCGGTCGGAGTCTTCCCATCGATCCCGCGCAGGGTCTTAGCCCTCCTCCCTTCCGCCGACGTGCTCGGCTGAGAAACTGTGCCGCTTCAGTGGATACCATATCGATTGACACTGAGCGCGGATGTTTTCCCGTGTGACATGAGGCCGCGCATGGTGCTCGTTTTGCATGAGATCTCAGTAGGAAGAAGCAGGTACCAATCACGAAATGAGCGCCCTGCGTCAAATCGGCTTTCGAAGAAGGAAGAGGGCTCTTACAAGCGATTGTCCTAAGGCACGCCTCAGGGACAGACACCGGTACGCCCAATCTGGAAGAAGTATGGTCACTCGCAATCAAACAGCGAAGAGTACTTAAGAACCGGCCACTTATCAGGTCGCTCAACTGTTCCGTCCCCCATTCCCTACTTGCTTCTGCCCAATCGCCTTTGCCCCCTTGTTCCCTTAGACGTCTGCTCACATACGGCCACGGTTCAGGAGACTGACTTCACGATGGCGTCCACTCCTCCCCTTTCTCAGGGCGTTGGCTATGGCGTAGTCATTGGCTTGGGTGCCCTCTTCGCTATCGTCGTGGTGGGTATTTCGCGCTCACTTGTCCGCTACGCCGGCATTTCCCGTGATGCCGAAGAATTCAGTGTTGCTCGACGATCTCTGGGCACCGGTCTTGTTGCTGCCGCCGTCATCAGCTCATGGACGTGGTCAACGACCCTCCTCTCTTCCGTCTCCACCGCTTACAACTACGGCGTCGCTGGGGCCATGCTGTACGCTTCAGGAAACTGCACCCAGATCGTGCTTTTCTCGACCCTCGCAATTCAACTCAAGCGCCGTGCTCCGTCGGTCCACACCTACCTTGAGCTCGTCCGCATCCGCTTCGGAACCCTTCCACACTTGACCTACATCTTCTTCGCCCTTGCGACCAACATTCTGGTCTGCGCCTCGGTACTCCTAGGAGGTGCGGCTGCCATCAACTCCATCACCGGTATGAACACCTACGCCGCGCTCTTCCTGCTTCCCACCAGCGTCGTCGCGTATACTCTCCGAGGTGGTCTTCGAAGCACGATCCTGGCCGACTATTTGCACACCGTCATCATCTTTGTCATTCTCTTCGTCTTTTGGCTCCGCGCCTACGCCACCTTCCCGAGCATTGGCAGCCCGGCTGCCATGTACGATCTGCTCGTCAACGCATCCAAGAACATCGACATCTCTGGCAACTACGAAGGAAGCCCCCTCACGCTCAAGACGGAAGGAGGACAATACTTTGCCTGGCTTTCAGCTTTCGAATACACGGGTGTCGTCTTCTTGGATGCCAGTTTCCACCAGAAAGGTGTCGCCGCTATGCCGGAAGCTGCTTTCCCAGGATACCTCATCGGAGGTCTGGCTTGGTTCTCGATCCCATTCTGTCTTGCAACCACTGCGGGTCTTTCGGCACTTGCACTCGAGACCACATACCCTGGCTTCCCTACCTACCCGAATCGTATCCCCAAAGCTGACGTCTCTGCCGGCTTGGTCCTTCCTTACGCCGCCCAAGCTCTGTTGGGCAAAGGTGGCTCTGCGGCTGTTTTGCTCCTCATGTTCATGAGCTGCACCTCTGCTGTTTCAGCCCAGCTGGTCGGTGTCTCCACCGTGATTTCTTACGACGTCTTCAAGACTTACTTCAAGCCCACCATTTCTGCCGACAAACTCCTTCGCGTGAATCAATACGTCGTCATCGGATTCGGGCTCTTCACCGCCGCCTTTAGCTCCCTGCTCCATGGAATCGGTCTTGACCTCGGAATCATTTACAATCTGACCGGAATCTTCACCTGTGCTGGTCTTTCTCCCCTCATCTTCACCTTCTTCGACACCCGACTTCACCCTGCGGTCGTTTTCCCGGGTATTTGGATCAACTTTGCCAGTGGCGTTGCGGTCTGGCTCTCGGTCGCGTGGCACACTTCGGGCGTGGTCAACCTCGCCAGTGTCGGAGGAGTCGTCCCCTGCTTGGCAGGAGCCGGAACAGGTGTAGGAGTGGGATTGGTGCTTTCAACCGTATCGGTGCTCTTCTTCCCTCGCGACTTCGCTTGGAGTCGAATTCCTGAGATTCTCGAACAGCAGCACAAGGAGCAAGTCGAACGCATCACCAAGCATCACCAATCGCTTCCGTCTTCCACCGGTGACGCTTCTCCTTCTGAGAAGCCTGGAAGCATCGATTCAACCGATCCACGCCTTCAGCTCGAGATCATCGAGAACGACCCCTCGTACAACCGGGCTCGTCTCGACCGCACCTTCCGTATCGCTGTCGCCTCGTCTCTCACAATCTTTGTGGTGATCACCATCATTTGGCCCTTCTCTCTGTACAGAGACTACATTTTCACACGAACCTTCTTCCAAGGCTGGGTGATCGTTTCATTCATCTGGGCCATCTTTGCCTTTGTCGGTGTGGGACTGTTCCCCTTGGTGCAAGGTATTCCGGTTGCCAAGGTGATCCTGTCCAACATCAGGAATGGCGCTTCGACAGCAGCGGCCAAGCTCGGCTCCAAAGACGGTGGCGTGAATGGAGAGGAGAGACGAGGATCGGATGGTACAACGACGACCAGTGGCTCTCAAGAAAAGCCGGTGCAATCGCACTCATCGTCGGCTTTCGCTGCTTAGATCTTTCTCAAAATGCTTTCTATCTGTCTTCCCTTCGTGGGTCTTGTCCAGTTCTGCCCCACCTTTGGACCCAGTCACCACCCTTTGTATACAATCCCATTGCACATCCTGCGAATCAAAATGCTATCTGAAACCCGCTCACTCCGCACGCCTCCTCCCCGCCTGAAGTCCCAACCCACACCTGCTCCGGCCTCCTCCCATGATCGCACAAACTCAACCCTCACAGACACCCTATACACGCTGGTGCGTCTCTATTCACGATCACAATGTGCATTTCAACCTAGCCCACGTCACCCCTTCCAACTGCCCCTGAACAAATGAACCAACCTGCTGACACCTTCCTTCCTTCTCCCCTTGGGATTGAACCCGTCGCTGGGCACCACGACCACGTCCCTAATCTTGACCGGATGTTGCAAACCCGATAGATCCTCCGGTCTCACCCCGGCCGTGGCATACAGGTAGCTCACCACCGCATCCGTAAACACCGCAGGACCCGTCCACTCCTCGACACTCAGCACGTCCCAGCCCCACCGCCAATGCCCTGCTTGCCACTTCCACGTCATCGACGTGCCGTCCCAGGGATGCGTCGTGTGCGACTCTCTCCCCTTCGCCTGCGCTTTCGCCTCTTCCACGCTCTTCTCGTCCCACCCCCATCCATCGCTGTTCGCATCGCGTTGCTGTTCGATCTCGTACCCGCGATACACCTCGCTCGCTTCCAGGATACGTCGCAGCACATCGAGCATGATCGGATGATCACGAGCAGAGTGCAACGTCCACTGAACAAACTGCAACGGTCGATGACGTTTCAACGGCAGCAGACGCAGTCGCTCGAAAAAGTTGCGCGGGTCGTGGTTCTCGTTGGGATCGTTCTCGATTCCAATCACGGCACGGACCGGTTCGTCCTGCGCCAGAGCTGCCGAATCCCGACGAGCCTGTTCGGCCAAATCGAGTCGCGACCTGCCGAAGATACCCTTGTCCTCGGGAAGGATGGACGAAAGTGGGATCGCATCCTTGGTCCAATTTGTGCGGTGCATGAGCGGGACGGTATCCATATCGCTCCACGTACCGCCTTCCTGCAACATGAGGAGATAGCGCAGCAGATCGGCCTTGAGAATGAATCGTGGCATCGAGTCCCACATGTGCTGGATCGAAGAGTTGTCGAAGTGAGACTTGATCCACGCTTCGGCGCCAGCATCGTCGAGGAACTTGGGCTCGAAGCCCATCTGCGACCACTTTGCAAACCATGCGCTAGGTGCAGGTTTGCCGTCGGAGGACCAGATGGTGGCCGGTACGATTGATGCTGGCATCGCATGAGAGGCGGACGGCTGCTGTCTGCCGTCAGTCTGTGCTGAGCTTGCTGGTTTCGAGCTCGGGTCAGGATGTTCAATCCTGGAGAGGTGGTCGCCGAGCGCCTGGCGTGCCGCTTGAGATGGAATGTGCCGCGTCAGAGTATCTCTGAGGATTCCAACGTACTTTTCTGGCGGAAGGACGATGTAACTTGGCGGCCGGAATGTGACGTAACAGAAAGTATAGAGGCAAGGTAGCACGATGAGTGCAAAGAGAATGAGCTTACATCTCCGTGACGTGCTCCTGGCGCGTCGGTGAGTCTTGCCGATCCAGGCTGAGTAGTAGGAAGGCTGCTTATAGTAGCCTGGCGGAGGCGAGGAAGACTCTGCGTAGCAATCAAGAGAGGATGCCGAGTCGCGCGAAGGTGAAAGGGCGAGCGGGATGTCGACGGCTGTCTCTGTGGATGAAGTGAGTGCAGAGTAAGCGCATTCGCTGTTGGGGGTGTTGCTCGTACTGCCGAACTTGAAGGGACCCAGCTTGAAGTCGTTGAGGGCAAGGGGGCGGTCTTCGCGTCGCTTGCCCTTGCCAGATCCAAACAAGGAGAGCATGGTGGTGTTTGCTCGAGACGGTGCGAACGGCGGCGATGCGTGCTGTCGAAACGAGGACAGTGAAATGGAAGGACAGTTTGATGTGCTGCGCGCCGGATTGTGGTTTGTGCTTCGGGCCTATAGGCCGCTGTAAGTGCTTTACGTGCGCTGCCTACGTTCTGGCTAAGCCGATCGACTGAACAGTGAGGAGGCAATGAAGCTATTGCGCCAGCCAGACAGAGGCGAGCGAGGCAGCTGTGCCCGTCACAATTGCGATGATCGCTCTATAGATACTTGAGGAGATGCATGTGAGGTGTGGGTGAGAGAGCGCGTGTTGGATGGACAAGCTGCGAGCTGAAAGTGGGAGCTGAAGTCGAAGACGAAGTGTGCGGAAGCAATGTGGAAGTCTGCGCAGCAAGACGAACCTGCGTGTTGTCGATCAGATCTTCTCACTTGAAGGAGCCAGGAAGGTGGGCGAAGAGTCGATGTGCGCCGAACACGATATGAAAGACTCGGCGGCAAAGAGGTTGTCGGATCCGGCGACTGCAATGGCCTTCTCCAGCGAACCGAACGAACGAAAGAGTGTGCGCTGTGTTGGACGCAGAGATGGAACGAGTGTGGTAGGATAGAGCGCGAAAGGAAAGACTTTTCAAGGTTGCGTGCAGATCAGCAGGAGGCGGTTTGTTTGAGCCAAGACCAAAGATACACAGCACACAACGCCAAGCTGCGAATTGCGTAGAGCGCAGCAGTGTCGGAACGCAGGCAGATCACCACACTGGGTGAACTTTAAAGAAACGTATACTTAAAATAACTTAGACCGGCGCAGCGGATTCGATTTCCAACACGAAGATGCAAGCGCAGCAGTAGCAGGCAGCGGGAGTGAATTGCTTGATTTTGTTGGCTACTTCTGCTTTCCAGTTCCCTCGGCTGGACCTGATTGAAGTCTTGAGCACATGGTTCTTTTTTCGGCGCCTCGACTCGACTGTGACGTGCTGTCTCGGCCACGGGAACACGTTGGCTGGTTCGGCATGTTATCGGCTCCACAGAACCCTCTCACGATAGCCTGAAGAAACACGTTCTGCCTAGCGAGTTTCGGCAACAAGCTATCGACCCGGAACGAGTAACTCGCTGCTTGTCCGTCTGCTTGTTGGCAGCGAACGTTGACCGGTGTCGGTACAACAATGGACGAAGACGCGCTATTGTTGGTCGGACCTTCTGCGTGGGGCGGAAACAGCGTCATTTCTACCGGATCGCCGTCTCCCGTCCCCCACCTGTAAAAATCATCAACGCCACGCCGAGCAATCGCCTCTTCGATGCTATCCGTCCCCTTCCTGCGTAAGGGCATTGCGAGTGAGAGCGAACATGCTCTATATTCGAAACACAACACACAGACAGCCTCAACTTTTCGCATCTGTCGCGAATAGATTGAACAGCCGCTACACTAAGCGAAGCGGCACATGTGTCTGGGATTCAAATTTCGCTTGCACTGGTGTTATTTCCTTCGGAATGCAAACGTCACTCCATCCTCGCTATCACCCAGCAAAGCAAGATCGGGGAGAGCTCCCTTCATAACCTTGTCCGAGAGCGCTAGCTTATGGCGTGGTCGTCAGCGTGAACCACGTCCACCGCCGCCGCCAGTGAGGATGAGCTTTTTCTTGACACGTTTCGATTTCGCACCAGCTGCCGCATCGGAGCTCGCTGCGTCGGTAGAAGCCGTCGACACTGCGACCTCCCTGGTCGCTTCTTGTCCAGCCTCTTTGGAGCCAGCGTTGTTTCCCCATGCAGTTGGCCCCTTGGCAACAACTCCGCCGCCGCCGGCAGTACCATTGCTGGAACGACCCTGTCTATTGAGTCCGCGGCCTTCCCTCACAGCACCTGTAGGTCTTCGACCAGATCCAGTGGATCCGAGAATGTAGTCCTCTTCCAGCTCGTGCCATGCGTCTTCCATATCGTCGTCCCAGATGCCATGAGCGTCAGAACCGCGTCCCTGGATTGCGTTGGAAAAGCTCGCCTTGGTGGCAGGTGTGCCCCACACCGTCTTTTTCACAGGTGCCGCTCCTCGCGCAGGCATTCTCTGACTGCTCTGCTCGACCCGTCGCTCCGCTTGATCGTCAGAAGAGATCGAGACCCGTTCCAAGCCATCACGTGTGCCACGCAACGAGTCTGGGAAGTCTTCCGTCTCGGCGGTACCGCGATGCAGCGGGAACTCGCGCTCGGCGCCAAACATGGCCGATTCGCGGAAGCTTGGCGACGATCCAGAGGCATATCCGCCCTCGACGGCGCTCCCGGCTCCACCGCCAGTACGACCGTTCTCAAAGCTGCGCGACAGTCCATCCGATGGAAAGTTCGCCTCGCTCGTGAAGGCGGCGAGCTGCTCCTGCTGTCTTCGATATGCGGCAGCTGCGGCCGGTCCGCCTTGGTTCGAGACGAGCTCCGCCTCCTCTGCCCGTGTTTTGGCTCGATCTTCGCGACGCTCCTTGTCTCGCCTTCGGTTGCGACGTTGACGCAAGGCTTGTTCGTACGGGCGTAACGTTGCCTTGCTGATCAGATTCATGCTCTCCCAGTCCACCTCGATGAATACGATGTCAGCGGCCATCGGAAGATGAGTCAGGTACTTGCACCTCCTTCTCAGCTCTTCGTTCATGCTACCCTCATCTGCCCCGGAAACCTTGACCGCAAGGTTCCGCGGAAGGTTGGCGTATGCTCCGTAATGCGACAGCAGAATCTTGGTGTCGAGAGGGTGCAAAAAGATGCTCTGGCCGGACGCTGCTTGGAAGAACACGTACGAGGACGACTCAGGCTGCGGCGGATTAACGTTCTTGCGTGCTTTGGGCTGGCGAGCCGGTCCTGTCTTGTGAGCGGTGTCGATCGTTCCTTGCGATGCCGCGTCGTCCTTGTTTGCTTTCGCTCCGCCGTCCGACGAAGCACGGCCCATGAACCCACCTTGCGTCTGCGTCCGAAGCGCCAAAAACTCTTCTGCTCCCAATGCAGCCTCGGGTGTGCCGTCATGAACTGCACTGATGTCGCCTCTGCTGACAGAAGCCGTCGACTCTGGCTCTTCGTCGGTTTGCGAACGCTCCATGCGCTTACGCTGACGTCGGCTGAGGTCCGTGCGCTGCAGCTGCCCTGACAATGCCGCTTGGTGTTCCTTCAGGTCGTTCCGCGCCTGTCCAATGGAGCTGCGGACGATCGGCAGATCCAGCTCGTCTCGCACCTTCTGCATCTGTTCTTTGACCTTCCTCTGCGCCAGCGCCACGAATTGAAGCCCGCTCGCGTCTGTACCGAAGCTCTTCAATACGCCGATCTCTTCGTCCAACTCCTGTAGATCCTTCTCGAGTGATTCGATGAGCAGATCGGGCGTGGCCAGCATGAATTTGGCAAAGCCCATCACGTCGGGCTGAAAATGCCACGGCGCCGAGTGGACTGCAATCAGCGGATGGTCGAGCTCGGAAGCGGGCCATGTCACTGACTGGGGTAATGCCAGCGTGGTCACGTTGGGCCGCTCTACGAGACGCAGTGCAAGCATGTCTGGATGATGATGGGTCAGGCTTGGTGCATTGTCGTCGCTCAGAACGACACCTGACGCATCATGGCCGTCTTCGTCGAGCTCGCTGATGCGCCGAGCTCGTTCGAGATCGTGTTGCTCTTGCAGCTTGTTCTCGTGCTCACGAGCCGCGGCCTTTGCGTCCCACCAGCGCACTGCCTTGAGATCGCGCGCATACACCGCATCCCAGCAAATGGGGCATCGTCGCCACTTTTGCGTCGGCTGCTGCAGGGCCGGGGCGGTCGGTCTGCTGTTATTCTCCTCCTTGATCGTTAGATAGTGAAGGATGCAGGGGTAGCAAAAGACGTGCCCGCACTTGGTCATGCGGGGCGCGGTAGGTGGCGAAAGGCAGATTGGACATGCGGCTCCTTCATGCGCCGGCTCGAGGGGTTGATCTGAAATAGGTGCAGATGAAGCAACACCAGCAAGAGCGGAAGACGTCGGGATGACCACCTGGAGGATGTCGGCCCAGTTGAGGTAGATATCCGGGTCGGCGAAGTAGGCTGTATAGTCGCCTGTTGGCTTGACGAGGAAGCGATACTGCGCATTGACGTAGCGCTCCTTGTTGAAAGGCGTGTATGCGGCACCTCTACGCGATCGGCGAGCAGGTCCGGCGAGCGGTGGGCGACTTCGAGGTGGTAGGGTGAAGGAGAGCAAATGGTTCATGCTCTGTCCACCGCGCTTTGGCTGCTGGTGGACGCTGACATCGTTGCGAGCGTGATGCATGTTGCCACGCCCGGCATTTCGACGCTTCGGGGCGTGGTCGGCTGTATCGAAGTGTTGTGGCTTCACACTTCCCTCTGTGGATGTAGACTTGGACGTAGGCCTCAAGGTGTTCATGGAGGCAGGGAAAAAGCTGATACTGAGAAGAATCCTCCTGTGAGCGAGCGGCAGTCGAATGCTCTGGGGCGCAGCCGAGCCTCTAGTGACTCGATCGGTCGCAAAGTACGATGGACGATAGGCGGTCGACGCGTTTCGTGGCTAGCTTGAGCCCTTCCACACGTGGGAGGCGAGCAGCTGCAATCGCCACGTAGCTGGTCGAGGCGGTGCTGTAGCTTTGTCTGAGCACGATCGCAGCGTCGCGTTGCGGCGGTTTGGAGGGCTGATGGCTGTATGTGGATGTCGAAGTCAAGCAAGCATCCTCGAATGGAAGCCGCGATGCCGTGGTCCCCTTGATTCACACGTGCAGGAGGCCGCATTTTTTGCTGCCACGGCTCAGCCAGTATCACGGTCGAGGAACGGGTTTCGGATCTTCCGATTCGTCAGCAGCCCAACGCGTACGGAGTCTTGATTTTGTGACTTTTGCGCTGCAGCCTTGTGGAGGAATTCGAGCGCCGAGCAGACGCGAGTTCGCACGGTCTTCGGAACGCTTCTTATTGCCGAGCCCGACATCGAAGTGCCACCTTGCTCTCATTCAGCTATGGTGTGCGGACCATAATGTCAACAAGGACAATCCACCAGCTCGTGATGCGGTGTGTAGGGCTGAAAGCTGATCTGACATTGCGAAGCTGAAAGTAGGCTTGAGCACGCACTCGGGTCTGTGAGTGAGCGCCCAGGTTGTCCTAACTCCTCTGCCGCCGCATTCCATGTTGCTCCTGCTCTTGTTGACCCCCGGGCTCGAAAACTGCATTTCCTACCCCACTGCGTCCATCTCTGACCGCTCTACCCCGCGTCCCTTCCGTCGTCGCTTTCGCGAACATGTCCGACCAAAGCAGCGCCAGAATGGATACAGTCGAAGTGCTGTACTTTGATGTCTTTGGAACAGTCGTCGACTACGTAGACACAATCACAGAAGCACTTCGTCAGGAGATTGCTCACACCAGCATAGCCGATACCAATGTCTTGCAAGCATTGCAACAAAGCTATGACTGGCGCCACTTCACCCTCATGTGGCGGCAACAATACAAACTCGAGACGAAGCGGCTAGCAGATATCGGTAATCCCGACAAGATCACAGTCGACCAGATGCACATGCTCGCTCTCAATCGGCTCATCTCCGACCTTCCCCTTCCACCTGACGCACAAGCTTCGCGCTTTGTCGGAGGATACGCGATCGAGAAGCTCTCAGAAGCGCTCGATCGTGCTTGGTCGCAGGAAGTGCGTGATCGTCTCAACTTCGCTTGGCACCTGCTCGAGCCCTGGCCCGACTCGGTCGATGGACTCGAAGCTCTGAGATCGCGTTTCAAGATCGGAACGCTGACGAACGGAAATGCGAATCTGATGGTAGATATGGCGAAGCACGCCAAGCTGCCTTGGGACTTTTTGCTGACAGCCGATCTCATGGGCAGCTTCAAGCCGGATCCGGAAATGTATCGAAGGGCAATGCAGCTCTTCGACATCCAGCCGGATTTCGATGGCCACCGAGCTTGCATGGTCGCCGCACACGTGAGTCGCTCATCGTAAAAGAAGTCGTTCTTCGGGCAGGGTAATGCTGACATAGCTTTTTGTCATCCCACAGCTGTACGATCTCGAAGCTGCCAAAGCTTGCGGTATGACTACCGTGTTCGTCTCGTCAAGGGCAACTGAAGACCGACTCCCCGCCTCAGGCAAACCGGACTTTGTCGATGTGGTCGTATCAGACCTGCTGGAGCTGGCCCGACTCGTCACGCGAAAGGAGGCGTCAGCACACTGATGCAAGTCATTCTGAAGCTGATACACAGGAATCTGAATTACGTTTCAAAGTTCGTTAGGCTCAGATCCTTTCTAAGGTTTGTAGCCGGCCTCGGCAAGCGCCTCCTTGATGCTGGTGAGCAGGTACTCGATGTCGCCACGCTCCTTATCGTTGACGACTGTGACGCCCATGTGGCCGATGCGGAAGTATTCATCTTTGACCTGCTTGTGCAGGCCGGCGGCCACGACGATGTTCTTGGCCACAAGCTTGGGCAGCAAGTCGGTGGCCTTGAGGCCCTCTGGGTAGCGCACCGCCGTCATGCCGTGTGCGCCGTCCTTCTTGCCGTCAGCAGCGAGCTGCTTGAGTCCGAGCTGCGAGACGAAGTCCTTGACGCGGTCCGAAGCAGCCACGTGCTGCTTGAAGCGGTCCTCGAGCGAAGGCGACGACTTGGTGATCGTAGTCAAGCTTTGGTGGAGTGCGTAGATGAGGTTGGTGGGCGGGGTGGCAAAGTAGGCTCCTGTACCGGCCTCGTACGCCTTCATGACAGGCAACCACCTCGTCCAAGAGGCAAAATAGCTGTTGGGAGGCACCGTGCGCTTCTCATACGCGGCGATAGCCTTCTTGCTGGCAGCGAGCACCATGAGACCGGGAGGGCAGCCGAGACCCTTTTGAGTAGCGGTAAGGACAACGTCGATGCCCCATTCCTCCATGCGGATCTCTTCGCTGCCCACGCTGCAAACACCGTCGAGCACCAGGATGGTCTCGGGGCTGACGCGCTTGACGAGCTCGCCGAGGCCCTTGGCATCGCTCAACACACCAGTCGAGGTGTCGACATGGGTGAAAGTGAGCACCTTGTACTGCTTCTTCTTGAGAGCCTCTTCGACTTCGGCGAGCGAAGGCTTGGCACCGATGGGCGCCTTGATCTGGTCTACCTTGGCGCCGTAGGTCTCGAGGCATTCAGCGAAGCTGTCGCCAAAGTAGCCCGAGTTGAGCACCAGCGCATCCTCGCCAGGCTGAATCACGTTGGCGGCGACGTGGTCCCAACCGAGCGTGCCCGAACCGGCGGTGAGGACGGGCTGCGAGTTGGGTGCAAAGAGCACTTCACGGAGCATGCGAATGCAGTCACCGAAGACGGGGATGAAGTCCGGCGATACGTGCGACATGGCCGGGTGAGCGTTGGCCAAGAGCACGTCGTCGGCGACCTCGATGGGTCCCGGGATGACCAGCAGCTTGTGCGCTGCCTGCTTGAACTCTTGCGTCGACATGTCTTTTCGTAGTGTGGAGGGAAGTTTGTTGGAGATGTGTTGTGTTACTTGATGGATTCGCGTCCGTGCTACTGTGATGGTGTCGCGGGGCGTCGCGAAATTTGAGGATGTCGAAGGTTGCCGTGATCGGGTGTGTTCGGTATTGTCGACGGCCATAGGACCGGAGAGGGACAAGCGGCGTGCAGGCATTATACGTGGTGAGGACCCGGTCAGCGCAGTGAAGACAATGAAGAGCAGAGACGGAGCAGAGACGTTGAGGTGACGTTGGAGGTTGCGGGTGATCGTGTCGAGGGTTGCGTGTGATCGTGGAGGAGTAGCGAGTGCAAGTTGCAGCAAGGACGGGCAAGAGACAGAAGAGAGTGCGGACGAGAAGAACGAGGGCGGGCAGAGAGGACGGCGAATGCGCGGCAGCCGAGATCAGCAAGAAGCGAGCGACATTTGACAAGTGACAGGACCGAGAAGAATCAGCGTCGAGCATTAGTTCGAGTCAGGTGCGGCCGGCGTTCGTTCGTGCGGGGAGAAGAATGGAAAAAGCGGAGCGGGTAAAGTGAGTATGCAAGGCAACGAGCCAAGCCAAGCCAGACCAGGCGCAGAGCGAGCCAATTTTCGCGAATATCGACCGAAAATCCGAAATAGAAAGGGAAAGAGCGCGAATAATTGACCGTTGGCACGGCGAAATGGAAATAAGGCAGCGTGCGCGAGCGAGAGAGAAGGAGAAGAGAGAGAGAAAAGGCGAATGAGCGGGACAGAGACGATGGTGTGTCCAATCAGCATCAGCAAGCGAACGGCCAAGCAAGTATCCAGCCGAAGAACAGCCGGAAGCGACGCAGAGGAGCGCGCGATTACCACGATTGCCATGGTGGATTCAGCAACCAGATCATTGTGCGTCAAGTCGGAGCGAACAGCATGCCAGCCGGGGTCCAGATCAGCATCCCGATTTTCCCGATTCGAATCAAGCAAAAGCCCCGGTTTGGATCCACGGTTCGCCCGAGAATCCGGGAATCAAGCATACCATTGGGATAGCAGCATGAACGATGTTCCGAACCGTCGTATCAGCGGAGGCAGCGGAGGCGATCATGATGGTCGCAATCAGCCGCAGAGAAGGCCCACAATAAAACCGCGGTCGAGAGTGTCGAGGCATTGTCGTTGCAAACCGAGTGTGCCGAGATGAGCACGGTTGCGGTCGAAGTAGGCCGTATTGGCGATCCCCAGCATGAACGAGACAAAGGGGACGACATCGAGGTGCCAAGATGACGCAAATACCGACAAAGAGCGGATTCAGGTTTGAACATACCAACGTCATATGTTTGGTATCATAGTCCCGTACGGTTCGTGAAGATCCATCCGATGCAAACGGGATCGAAGGAGCATGTCGAGGCAAGCCGAATGAGCGTTTCACCCAGGACAAGGGCAGATCGCAGCACGTATGAGCGGTGTTTGGGAGTCGTGACGGGTTCACGAGGGGTGGAGAAAGGTAGGTTTTGATAATAACGATCGTCAGTGTGTCTGTATCGAGGCATGGTGCATTGCTGCCATAGAGGCACGTGTGAATTTGAGAGGCAATGCTTACGTTCAATACTGTTTTCAGTATAGTGTCTTTCGGCGTGGAATCGATGATGGAGGATGGAGAATGTAGATCAAGAAGGATGCGAAGAGCTGAAAGATACACAGTAAGTTAATCGGCGTGAATGGGCCAACGTGTGGAGAAGCCGCACCTTTTCTCCGCCTTTCAAACGGACCAAGCGGAGTGTCCGGCTGAATCGGTGGATTCCAAGACGCTCAGGCCGGACATGACCGCGCGCATGCGGCATCGGGAGCTGCTATTACAGCATCGGTGATGCGATCGGCTTCTCCGCATTCGTCATTGGCTGGCTCGATTAGGCCCAGAGACGCGTTGAGTCTCAATCTGCACGGTGAAGGCTTGTGTTCCAACACAGAAAACGGAGTCCAGGAGGGAGCACGGCCCCACGTAGGAAGATCTGCGTTCAACCGGCAACTCTTTCTCTCATCGTCCTGTCCTTTGTGCCATCACCCGTGCCTCATCTCTCATCGTCTGTCTTTCGGTTCTCGCGGTCAATTCAAGTATGTACAGCACCTCATTCAGTATCTATTACCTCCTACATCTCTCTCTGACGAAAAGCGTTTCTTCCCCGCACCTTGTTTGCTGCACTTTGCTGTCTTACAGACATGCGGTTCTCCACTCTGATTGCTTCGGCTCTCCTCGCCCTGGTCCCGACCACCTTGGTTGCAGCTCAGGCGCATGACACTCCTGAGCTCAATATCGTCACGACATTCCCAAACAACCCCGGATCCAGTGAGTATTCATCGCCTTATCCTGCATAGTGTGCGGAAAGTTGCTTACCGCGTGCGATGATTTCTCATTCCATCGCCGCTAGTTGTCAAGAATGGCCAGGCCAACACGGTCGTCTTCTCCATCATCGACGCTCCTAAGGAGAAGGATGCAGACCACCGCCTGCTCAACCTTGTCTCGATCACCGGCGCTTTCCTTAACCCCAACAAGGTCGACGGACAACGCGGACGCGTGCTGCGCAACATGACCACGACCTCGTTCAAGTCGCCACGAGCTCTCCGCACCATCTTCGGTCGACCTCCTCACATCCCTTTCGACTTTGTACCCGAATTCAAGCCGCAGGAGCTCGAGGTTGAGTTCAGTCTGTTGGTCAACGACGAGCAGACGAGCAAAAAGCACCGCATCCACGCCTACCGTGGCAAGGTGCAGGTGGTGGAGCCGCCCAAGAACTGGTTCGACCTTCAGCTCATCTCGGTCTACATCATTGCCATCGCCGCCATCGTTGGCGTCGTCTACTTCGTCTACACCAGCTATGTCATTGCCGAGGAGAAGAACGCGGCTGGTCCTAAGAAGTTTGAGAAGCCTGCTCCTGTTCAGCAGTCTGGCGTGCAGGACGAGTGGATCGTAAGTATTTCGCATCTGACGTCCTGTTGTCGCAAGAGTACTGACCCTGTTCGACTTCACTTTTGCATCGATTTCCGCTACAGCCTGGACAACACCTGCGATCGCGAAAGGGCAAGAGCGCAGCTTCCGGTGCTCTCAGCAGCGGAGACGACGAGCCTTCGTCTCCCAAGAAGCGAGGCAAGGGCCGCAAGTAAGCTACCAGAGGTCCTCGACCGGACGAACTCGCTCGCCCGCCGTTCCGCTCAGCTTGGCTTCGACACCTCGCGTCTCATTTGCAAGCGCTCTTCCGGGCATGGCAAAATGGGTCACGAGCTCACCACCCATCGCTCTCCCGCAGAGCATGCCCTTTCACCCATTTGTACATAGTGTATCGACTTAGTCCGCATCGCATCGCGGCAACCAAAGATCATTGGCGAAGGTCAGCAATGCAATCGGAATCTGCATTCACATTGTACACATTGTAATGAGACATCTGTCGCTCTGGATTCAGATTGACCGTTGGGTGGGATCCGAGCAGAAATAGTCAAATGTGAGATCGGCAACCAAGACCACCATTCTTCGCAAAGAAGCCTCCACACGGCTGTCGCTTAACGCGAACCTGGACCTCGATCCGTGAGCTGCAGCTGCTGATCAAGCAACACTGTCAGGGTCCAGCGAGTTCTTCTGATCTGGCAGGTCTGAAGGCTCGTAAGCACCGGTGTTGCACGAGAGCCTGATCGAGACCGACGAGCGGGAACCACATTGCACAGAGACAACCATCACATAGCATTCGTCGGCGAAAATCCGCTACAAGGCACGAAAGAGCAATGATGGCAGAGTCAATATCTGCAGATCGACCACCGTACCTCACCCTTACGATCTCTCAAGCGCTCTCCTTACCTCCTCCGCCGGCACCAGAACCAAAACACCATGTGTCGGTCAACAGCATGCTCGACGAGCGTGCTTATCACATGCCTGATCACCTCGCTGTCGGATTCACCAAACTAACCTCCGGTGGTACATGGACGTGTCAAACCCTGACGTATGCCCACGTCCGCACGCTTTCGCAGCACCTAGCTAGCGAGCTGCAAGCACGACTTCCTAGGAAAGAGCCGAATGCAAAATCGCCGAGTCAGACACCTCTGGTGGCGGTGCTGTCTCCGTCTGGACTCGATCTGTTTGGACACATCGTGGCGTTGTGGAGGTTGGGTTATGGGGTGCTGTGCATCGCGCCCGGGTCGCCGGCTGAGTCGATTGCGAATCTGTTGAGGTTGACGCAGACCAAGGTGGTATTAGCACATGCGACACAGCTTCAAGCTGCTGAGGCTGCGGCTCAGGCGGTCCGGAGTGGAGACGGAGACAGAATCGACGTTCAAGCCTGCGAGATGCTGCCCAGCGTGATCGATCGCGTCGACCAGAAACCACAACAAAGCAGTTCAACAGCATCTCCCAGCGCTGCAGGCCCGGACGACGTACTCGTGACCATGCACACCAGCGGCTCATCCGGTTTGCCCAAACCTATCTACCAACTGCATCGCTTCTGGACCGCTTCCATGCTCTCTGCTCCAGGCCGCGAGCTACCCGCGTTCACCACGACTCCCCTCTTTCACGGTGGAATGTCGGATCTTCTGCGTTCGATCCAAGCCGGCTCTTCGATCTTCTTCCATCCCACAGCGGACCCTGGTGCGTTATCCACCTCTGCCATCTGCCAAGCCATTGCCGCTTGTGAAGTACCCGTCTCGTACTTTCTCTCCGTCCCTTACATCTTGGATATGCTCTTCGCCGAGCGCTCGGATGAAGGGAGACGCATGCTGGCGAGCATGCAGCTGGTCAGCACGGGAGGTGCCCCGCTACCGCAGCAGCTGGGGGACGACATGGTGAAGCAGGGAATCAAGCTCGTGAGCCGGTTGGGTAGCTCGGAATGCGGATTCCTCATGTCATCGTGGCGCGACTTCGAATCGGACAAAGAATGGAATCACCTTCGTATACCTGATCAGCTGGGCCAGAGCATGTTGCGTTTCGAGCCGCACGATCCCACATCGGAAGGCGGCTTATTCGAGTTGATCGTGACGAAGGAATGGCCAACCAAGCTCGTCGCGAACCGGGACGACGGTGGGTACGCCACCTCCGACTTGTATTCGAAGCAAGGGACGAATACGTGGAGATACGATTCGAGATCCGACGATACTATCGTCCTTGTTTCAGGCAAGAAAGCCACTGCTCCCGTGGCGGAGCAGAAGCTCAAAGCGTCTCCGCTGGTCACTGAAGCAATCGCCTTCGGTGCGAACCGAGCCATTCTCGGCGCTCTCGTCTTCATCAGCCCCGAAGCAGGTCCTCAACACTCGGCGTTTGACGACACGCTCAAGATCAGCCTACTCAAACAACTTCAACCTGTTCTCTCCGAGATCAATGCTGCATCGCCACCCCACGCTCAACTCGCTTCCGAGATGATTTGCCTCCTTCCGCCCTCTGAAGCTGCAAACATCCCCAGAGCCAGCAAAGGCACGCTTCAACGTGGACGTGCCTACCAGCACTACACCGAACTAATCGACTCGATCTACCTCGATTTCGAAGAAGGTCGTTCGCTGCGACTGAGCCCTGCCAACGGCACTGCTGGGACGGGGAAAGCGATGCTCAGCGGACAAGAGTTGGTTCAATGGCTGCAGGGCAAGGTCGAAGAGATCAACGGGAAAAACTTGTTGCCAGACATGGATGTGTTTGTAGCTGGGGTGGATTCGATTCAGTCGGCTAGGATTCGAGCTGCTGTACATCAGAATGTGGATTTGGGCGGGAAGAAGTTGGAGAGGAACGTGGTGTATGGGTATCCGACGTTGAGGTTGCTCGCGAAGCATGTCGAGGAGGTGAGGGGTGGGAGTGCGGGGGATGGATCGAAAGACGACCGTCAGCAGCGCGAGATGGAGCTCATGCAGGAGCTGGTGGAAAAGTACTCCGCGGCTCCGTCGAAGCCCACGATGAATGGTTTCGAGGCAAGGAAGCAATTCGAAGCGCAGAGCGGTACGCTCTACATCCTGACCGGAGTGACAGGAGGGTTTGGAGCGCAGATCCTCGATCAAGTGGCCTCGCACCAATTACAGTCGAAAGACTCTGTCCTGTGCTTGGTCCGAGCCGACGACGACGAGCATGCACGCAAGCGCGTTCTCGAATCCATGACGTCTCGTCGCCTCGATGCCACTCGCACTCTCGTGGAGTCATCCGACAGTCCGGTACATTGCCTATCCGCTGACCTGTCCCGCTCCGACTGCGGACTCACTTCCGCTCAACTCTCATTCCTTTCGTCGTCGGGCTACACCCGAGTTGTGACGATCCACTCCGCATGGTCAGTCAACTTTGTCGCCTCGCTTTCGAGCTTTGAACAGGAAAACATCGCCGGGCTCTCCCACCTCCTCTCCCTCCACCAATCCCTCGTCGCCAGCACATCCCCAACCTCGCCGCACTCGTGCTTCACGTTCTGCTCGTCCGTCGCATCCATCCTCGGCAGCCCGTCAAAGACTCTCGATGAAACAGCGTCAACCTCCCCCTCCGACGCTGTTTCGATGGGGTACGCACGCAGCAAATGGGTCGCAGAGCAAATCGTCTCCCGGCGCATATCCAACCAAGGACATCGAATCGTTCGAATCGGTCAGCTGTGTTCCGACACGACCCATGGAGTTTGGAACGAGAGTGAAGCGTGGCCGATCCTGATTCGTCTCAGTTGTCAACTGGGAAGTTTCCCACATCTGTCCGAAAGGCTGGATTGGATCAGTACGGATGTCGCCGCAAAGAGCATCGTCGACATCTCCAACAGCAAAGCTCAAGGCGTTCACAACGTTGCTCAACCAACAACATCCAGCAAGGAAGCACCCACGTGGGAAGACCTCTACAATTGGCTAATAGCCTCAGGTCTCAACCTCACCCTCGTATCCCCACAAGACTGGCTGGACAAATTGCAAAAGTCAAACGCTGATCATCGAGGTTTACTGGCGCTTTGGCAGCGCAACTTCACCTCGGACGCACAACGACCGGAGCAGCAGATTCGCTTCAATTGCGACAAGGCCTTCGACGCCAGCAACGACTTTCGCAATTGGCAGAATCAAGGCGTGACTCCGTCTCTCGTGCAGAAGACGGTTCAGCGGTGGAAAGAGATCGGTTTCCTCCCTTGATCCACGTCAATCTCGTTCGATGCGTAAGTGCACTCGTCTCACTCTCACTTTCGCGTTCGAACAACCGTGAGGATCAGGTGTGTGCGATTGATTGATTACCAGCAAGCCTGTGCAGGTGTGGCAACCGACGTCTGATGATGATGATGTGAATGTGTGTGAAGTCGTCCATCCTCATGCTGTCGAGGACGCAGAGCTTGAGGCGGGCCCAGATTCGGCTGGCGCTGTCTGTCGAGGCGGCGCAGCTCCTCCCGGCCCTTGTGGCCCGCCTTGCGGCGCTTGGCCGCCAAAGTGAGGGCCGGAAGCATACGGCATGCCTGCACCGGGCTGACTCGGATAGTAGCCCAAGTGAGGTGGTTGGCCAGCCTGCGGCGGAGGAGGCTGGCCCTTTTGGTGAAGGTGCGGAGGTGGCGGACGAGGTCCACCGGCTGCACCCGGAGGCGGCATAGGCATGAACTGCTGCTGCCCGGATTGGGGTACGTTGCCCATCTGCGGACTGTACATGTTTTGGGGCGCACTATGCTGGTGCAAGGGCGGAGAGAATGGCATCTGTCCCATAAACTGCTGGGGCACAGCACCGTACGGCATTGGAGCGCCTTGCATGCCAGGCGCCATCTGCATCGGAGGCACCATGCTGGGCTGTCGGCCTTGCGGCATCCCTTGAGGCTGCGGCTGGCCACCAGGGTATTGGTAAGGTCCGCCACCATAAGGCTGGTAGACCATGCCGAACGGCTGCTGCTGTGGACCGGGGCCGGCAGGTCCGGGACCGGGTCCGGTTCCAGGAGTTGACACATGTCCTGTTTGCGCAGCCGAGAAGGGCATTTGTCCTTGATGGATGGGCTGAGGCACCGAATGTGGCGTTTGAGCACCAGGATGCATACCGGGCTGCATCATCCCGGTGTGGGTGGGGACAAACAGGCCGGAGCCGTCGTCCACTGCGCCAGGCGTGGGGACGACAAAGTGCTGGCGGTAAGGCTTGCCGCTGAAAGCCCACATAGGACCGACTGACTTGGCATCGGGCACCTTGGTGACCTTGAACGGATTGAAGTCGTTCCGAACCGACAGACTATCCGAGGCCTTCTTGACGACTCGGTTCCCGAAGAAGGGGTTGGTGGGGGACGCCGCTGTCGTCGAAGCTGGCTGCTGTGTCGCAGAGAGCGAAGGGCGTGCCGAGGAAGCAGGTGTAGCAGCGCTTTGTGCAGGGCTACCTGCAACGGCGGGTGCAGCCGCAGCAGCAGGGACAAAAGTGCTTGACGCGCCGCCAGGGGTGAAAGTGGCGGCGTTCGGGTTGAAAGGTTTGAAGGAGCTCGCCTTTGCGCTCAGCCTGAAGGAGGAGGTGCTGGTCGACGAAGGCATACCGCCTTCTGCCTTTGGTGCAGCAGCACCATCAGCCGCTTCGCCTGCCGCCGCCGCCTGTCGTGCTTTGAACTTGTCGGGGTTGAAAGGCGGGATCTTGGGGATGGTCATCTTTTGCAACATGGCCTTACTTTCAGCGAGCTTCTGAGCGTCTTTGTGTGCAGAGGCAGATCCGGAGCCACCAGCGGGGCTGACCGCATTCGATGCGGATACCTGTGCGGCGCGCGAGGCGGCCGACGATCTGCTGGCGTCTGCCTTGGGGACTGTCGTAGCAGCCGAATGGGCAGGCGTGGGACTGAGACTCTTTTGCAGGCTGGGATAGCGAGGCTTGTCGGAGGCGCCGTCGGCTTTGTCCTTTTGCACCATGTCGGCGACATCCAAGGGCATGGGCGTGTTGAGCTTGAAGGAGCTCGCCCACGACTTGAGATCGGCGAGGCGGGTATCCTTCTCCTTTTTGGCGAGCGCGGCTTTCTTCTTTTCCAGCCGCTCGCGTTCCGAGCTGACAAAGGAGCGGAAGTCGCCCATGAGCGGGTTGTTCGCGTCCACGGAAGACTTCTTGCCAGAAGCATCGCCCGCATGGGGTTCCTGTGGGATGCTGGGACTGGGCACCTTGACGTTGACAATAGGAGGGTTGGTCACCACGGGGGGTGGTGCGGCGGTCGTTGTCTCTGTTGCGGCGGAAGGAGGGGTAGCGGCAGCGGAGGCGGCACTGGGAGGAGCAGCGCCATTCGCTTTGGCTGCAGCTGGAGTGGCGGTTGGCGCGGCCGGTGCGCTCTTCTTGGCGCTGCCGCCGGCGCCGCCTGCAGCTGCTGCAGCCATCTGTTTGCGGAGTGCAGGGGGCACGTAGGCATTGGGGCTGCGAACGACGGCACCGTACTTGTCTTCCTCGTTGACGCCAGAGTCATCGGCCTGACCTCTTTCTTCCGCCATGTGCGGGTTGCTGGTAGCCTGAGCCATGATTTCGCGGGCAATTCGGTCTGCTTCTCGCTCGCGGTTGCGGAAGTCCTTGCCGCTGCGATCGAGCTTGGTGGTGTAGAGGTTCTCTTCGTAGTTGGACTTGATACCGAAGCGTGCTTCGTTGGCCGCAAACTGATCCCAGGGCTTGCCGCTGGAGGACGAGTCTCCGAGGCCGCCGCTGTTGTCACCGGAAGCTGCCCAGGCTGGCGATTTGCTGCCCAAATCGTCGAGGTCGGCCAGATCGGGGTCGTCGGACCACCTTTGGAGGGTTCGACCGCTGCCGAGGGGGTCAAAGGCCTTGGAGATCTCTGTGTCGGTGCGGAAGGCTTCCTTCTCGCGCGCCTCGCGCATCTCTTTGGCTTGATCTTGCAGCCTCACCTCGGCAGCTTGGATGGACTCGAGGTCCTTGTAGTTGATGAGCAGCGATGTCTTGAATTCGCCGAGCTGCGGCCGAGAATCCTTGTCCTTGGCGGGCAAGATCTGTTGCGCCGAAGCGAGGGCGACAGAGAGTTCGCCGCCCTCGGTGTTGGCAGCCGAGAAGATGCCAAAGAAGCTGGTGCTACCCTTGACGGTGACGGTGACCGGGTTGCCTACGAGGGTGACGAGCAGAAACATCATGCGTTCGTGCATGAGCTTCTGCGAATCGTCGTGAGCGGACCCGGCGCCGAGAGATGGGAAGCTGGATGTCTGAGCTGGACTGGGAGTGGACTTGTTGGCGGGTCCGGTGGCAGCGCCGCGCTGGTTGGAAGGTTTGCCGTTGTCCCGCTGAGATGGCGCATTGTTGACGGAAGGGCTGCTGCTGGAAGGAGGACCGTTACCCCATCTCGAGGTGTGCGGGGGCCCTGACGCTCCTCCTCGATTGGCGGTGTTGCCACCGCCACGGCCGCCAGCATGATGATTCTGAGCGCCACGGAAGCCCGAGTTGGAAGCGCCGCGCCCACCTGCGCCTCCCCTTGTGCTGCCGTTGGATGCCATGGTGATCAGCGAGGAATGTAAGCTAGCTGTCGTCGATCAGAGAGCGCCGGAAGGAATGGAAGTCTGTGCTATCAGATCAGCGGGAAGATTCAGCTTCGGCTCCGCCTGTGCCAAAGGAGAAGTTGAAAGAGCCCTTGGAGAGCACGCGTAGAGGCAGGTTTGCTGAAGAAGGAGCGAAGCGAGCCGTGGGCGAAGCTGGATGAATTGCGACGGTCAACCTGGCTTGGAGCCTCTGCGGATTTAGACAGTGATTCAATGAAGAACACTGTGTATCGGCTCTGTGTGGAGCACTCTCCTGACCAGCCAGAGGGCGTGATTGTCCCTGAGTCTGGCTTGTCGAGATGGGTGAAAGGAGGGCGGAAGGGAAAGTTGGGCGGAGCTGTTGGCGAACAGGACGATCTGAAAGATCTAACGGCCACCAGCAAATCGAACGTGGTGACCAGCCCGCGGTCCGAAGGAGGAGGAAGGGAAGGGATGGTTCGGATGAAGGTGCAGGGAAGGAAAGCAAGTCGACGACGACGAGCGAGAAGACGACGGGTGTGCCGACAAGCAGAGACAAGCAAGCATGCCTGAAACCAATCCGCCTGTTTCAGCCAAAACTCAATTCTCTGCATCAGGGCGTGTGAGCTGTGCTCGGTTGCCGCTCTTTCTCAGATTGGCTTCGCACGCTTGCTCGCTCGCTCGCTCTCTCACTTGGCCAGCACGGGAAAAAGTGCAGTCTCTGGGTCTTTGTGTGCGGCACTTTGGAAGAGCGTGTCTCCGCCTGCGGCTGAATTTCAAAGAAACTGTTAGGTTGAGTGCGCAGCCCTGTCTCACAGTTCGATGGGGAGCTTCGAGAAGAGCTCAGTAGGTAAAGGTGGTGGTTTGTGCAATGCGTGATGATCTAGTGTACATACTGTAAGCTTCAAAGTCGAACGAGGCTTTCGCCGCCATCAGAGCTCGCTTCTCACACCGGACGATCCTTGCCAGCGGATCCAGTCGAGCCAACTCGAGACCTTGGTGGCGTTGGGGTCGCCCGCACCGCGAGCTTGTGCGCCCGACGACCACCAGCTTGCCGACGACGCATTGCCTCCGAAGCCGAGAGTGCTTCCGATGGGCACTTTGAGCACCCTCGCGCAAATCCACACGGCTCCTCCGCCGCCAATCACGACGAGTCCAATGTAGCCCCAGAATTGCCATCGATTCGTTCCAAAGCTGAGTGCATTGCGATCGTTGCCGCCCTGCACGGCTCCTTTCGGATCGACAGCGATCGCACAGATGACACCGTACAGGTCCGCCGACTGGCCATCGCGGATGCTGATGTTGAGAGGTCCTGCTCCCAGGCCCGGAATCTTGAGGCCTAGCTTGCGGCAATAGGTATCTGGCTGCACCTCGTGGCGTTGCTGTGCCAGGTCAAGATCAGCCTTGGTAGCGACGAACAGCGACGGCATCGACTGCAACAACGGATACTGCTGGCGCAAGTTGGAAATGTAGCTGAACGAGTTGGTGTCGCTCGAATCGTAGACAAACACGATGACGTCGGCAGCCGACAGCTTGGCCGTGTTGCGCAGCACTTCAGCCTCGTAGCGCGACCCAAACTCCTGCAACACAAGATACCGCTCCGCTCCAGCCTGCTCCACGGTACTCACCACGCTCATCATCTTTTGCGTCGGCTCGTACCCATTTGCGAAGCGCTTGCCGACCATGTTGCGCAGGATGGCTGTTTTGCCGCTGCCCGCTGCGCCAAGCACAAAGCCGAGGAATACGCTCCTCTGGATCGCGCCCTTCTTCTTCTTGTCCGTCTTTCTTGGTCGCGTGAGCTTCAACGCTGTGGTCGTGGAAGGCGGACATGGTGTGCGGTTGCGTGAGGGTCGCGAGCCAGGTGGGCCGGTGGGCGTGAGCGGTATTGGCGCCGGGGTGGAAGAGCTGCTAGATGAACCTGCCAGAGGGAACGAGGGATATCCGAGGTAGGCCAGGTAGGCCAATGTGGTACGATGGTCCAGCAACGTAGTCATACTCCACTGCGCAAGCCAGCCTTGCAACGTGACGGCGCCATGCTCGTCGGTGATGGTGGAGGCAGGGAAGCCCGTACCTTGCCAAGGATGGCGGTTGTCTGGTGCAGTGACAAAGAGACTGTCGAGCTCCTCCTCGCTAAGCGCGCCGTCGCGATCCTTGTCGTGCACCTCAAAGATGTCGGTCAAGAACTGGTATCCGTTGGGAGAGAGCTCTACCGAGCATTCCGGCGGCACTGCAAAGGTAGGCTTAACAAACGAATCTTCCAGACTAAGGTCGACGCCGTACCCAAAGGTGCGCAAGACTGTCCAGGTGGTCTCGAGCCGCCCTCGTTGGATGAAGAGCGTGTGAAGGTAGAGGAAACCGGCCATGGTAAGGCTTCCTTCGCGCAGGTGTGGGTGATGTGAGGGGGCATCACCATTGGCGCTCGATCCCGAAGCGGCTACGCTGCCGTTCTCGTGGCTGTAGCGCAGGCCGGCGATGGGTGCTTGGACGACGAGATCTTTGATGCCTTCAAGCTCCTGTGCTTGAAGCGGTGTGTCGAAGCACTTGCGTTGGAAGTCGTTGAGTTCCGCGTCGCTGAGCAGTCCATCCTTGTCCGAGTCGCAGAGTCGAAATATGCGCTTGAGCGCATCGACGCAGGCTGGTTTGAGCACGTGCTCTCGACTGTCGTAAAGCGGTGCTGTCGGATAGAGAACGGCTTTCTGAGCAAAGTAAAAGACCTCACTGACGTTGAGCGGAATGCGCGCTGAGCACTCGACGCAGGTCTCAACCTCCTTGAATTCTGCCATGACGGGCGCCAACTCATCTTCGAGGGCAGCATTGGTCACGTCGCCGGATCTGAGGTCGATCTTGTTGCCCACGAGGATGACGGGAACATTGATGCCTAATGAGCGGATGTAAGGCAGCCAGTAGGTGGGTATACGATCGAAGGAAGAGGGTGCTGAGATCGAGTAAACGATGCAAATGACATTGGCGCGGCGGAGTTCGGCCTCGAGGTTGCCGCGGTGCTCTGGGCTGGAGCTTGTGTCGACGATCTTGGTCACGACGGCCTCCGGTGCGACCTCTGGAGGAAGTGTGATGGGCGGGACGACCTTTTGTACCTTGGCCACGTAGGCTTCTTTAACGAGCGAGGTGATGAGGGTCGACTTGCCAACGTCTGGGTCGCCTGCAAGGACGATGCGGACGTCCTTGCGCATGGTTCCGATCAAACCTCTAGCTCGCTCGCCGAGCGGTTACGCGCTACGAATGAGATGACGACAGCGTTTTGTTGAGCAGTGCTGCTACTGCCGCAATCACCCTTGACAGGATCTCTTCCTGTATCGGCGTGTCACGGAAGGCTGAAACGTTTGCAGATCACGTGGGAGGTACGATTTCGGATCCCAAACTTGTCGATAAGTCGGTGCTTGGAAGAGATGGTTATGGCTGGATGATCCGTCGGTTTCAGAGGATGTTGTCTGGATCGCTCAACTCGAGGTGAGGTGAGGTGAAGCGAATTTGCGAAGCATACGGAGTAAGTTGGTCGTTTCGAGAACTGTACCAGGTCAAATATCAACCAACACCTGCCACCGAGCTTACGGATTTCTTAATATTTCGCTGCCGCCTTTTTTTTGTGCCTCTCCTCGCCGGCGTTTGACTGCGCCCGAGATTGTACGACACAGCGTCGCGGCTCTGACAAATTCCACAACGGCTCGACCCTGAATTCAAAAAAAAATGGAAAAACGTGGTTGAAAACAAGAAGAAAACGACACATTTAAAGCATGCCCTTCCACGCAGATCCTCGCTCGCAGCCGTGTGAATAGCAGAGGAGCAGAGCCGTCGACAGCGCTCTCAGACATCGTCGGAAGTGGTCACTGTGGAAGAAGCATGCCGCCGTAAGATGGGCGCCACAGCATCTTTGGACGGAGCTCTCCGACGGCTACCGACAGCCGAACGCGTTGCCAAGTTGAAAAAGAAGCTTTTCGCCTTCTCCGACCTTGTCTGCCGATCGAACACACGAGGGAATTGTGATCGGGTGAGATCTGCTTTCTACTGTCACATTTTGAGTGATTTGGAAGAAGTCACACTCGACTCAGCTTTTTTCCTTCTTCTTCCGCCAGTGCAGTGCACTATACGCTGCTCACATCCAACTCGTCCTCCCCTTCGCTCCGCCGCCTCATCCACTTCCCCTCTCTTCCCCGGACATGAAGACGTATTCGCCGCCACATTTGTAGAATGGGTCGACTGCGCTCTTGGCTCGGTCATTGCTCTCGGCCTTCGCAAGGGCCATCTTGCCATCGTCTCTGCACGATGCCTCCTCGAACGACGCCTGCCCCGGCTACTGCATTGCGCGTCCTGCGAGACGCAGATGTCTAGCTCAAGGCCTCTGGCGTCGTATGGCGAGGACATACAAGCGAGATCAACAGAGCACCATCGTCAGTCACGCTAGAAGCGGCCCGTGTACAGATCCGACCGTTGCGATCCGATTGCCTCCCCCTTTCTCCTCTCCATATTCAGGTAAGCTCCGTTGTTGTTGTTCAACGTTTTGATGTCCGCCGAATCGAGATGCTGCATTAAGGAACCACAGTCTGTATGACGATCAAGAATCAGGTCCGGCTTCCAGTCCGAAGGCCACCGTTACTCGCCGACAATCTTTTTTGGATCCGTCTTTGTACTGGCTCGCTCTCGGGCGAGCCCATGCGAGTGGGAAGGTCCGCGTACTCCTCCTGCCTTTTTGGTCCATCGGGGCCAAGGCCGGTCTTTGATTTCACGGAGGACCGTGGCGCTCGCTGTGCTGCCTCTGCGGTCTCGCATCGTGAGGCGGCCGGCGACGTTGCGGGCTTCTTCTCGTTACGTCTGCTCTAGCTGGGCGAGTTCAAGCTCAAAAGCGCTGGCCGTCGAATGCAATGCTTTGCGATCGACACAAAGTGCCCACACCAGAAATGATAATCTCGTCAAGCCGTGGTGATTCAGCAACCGACCCTGTTTAATCCCTACCTGCTGTCGTCCGCCATCTGACGGACGTAAACTGTGGACTAAGGCCCCGTCAACGTGTCTCGACCCGCCACGCTCGCAGTCGGCGCTAGAGCAATGCAACCCCAAGACACCACCCTCCACTTAAGCGTGGATCGGGCAAGGAAGAGGGTACATGGTCTCTAGGTCAGCTCTGCGGGTTTGGTACATGTTGTGCGCTTGGGCACCCCAGGTTCGCTTCACGAGCTTGGTGTGAGTCTTCCGTTTGCGTCCGCGTGGTGTTGGATATGTGATGGTATACAAGAGGTGGGACGGTACCCCTCCATGAGGAGCTGCTTCATCCGGCGTAGAGAATGGAACCGGGTCGCCAAAGAAGATCAAGCTTAGACGTGGGCCGTTGGGCCGAAAACAGAACCTGCGGTGTCTTTTGGCGCCGACCGGCTTCCAAAGGTTTGTCGGTCCATGTCACGGTCGTAGACTGCGCCAGCTTTTGCTAGGTCGCATGTTCGGGGTAAGGAGGATGCTCAGCCTCTTCGGAGGTGAAGGCTTGAGTGCAATCGGTGGCGTCTCCTTGCTCTTTCGTCGGAGCGAGGAGCCAACTCGACGCGAGACTACTCTTGGTCTGGAAGCCACCTTGATCTTTTCGTTTTTGGATATCGTTGTGTCTCTCGTTTGCATCTCGATTTCGGCGGCACGATTCCTTCGACCGACGGCTGGAACGTCTTGAAACCTGAAACGATCAATCAGATTCGTCGACTACCTTCATTCGGCGCTTCTCTCTCTTTTTATCGTAGAAGATGGCCGAATGTCGATCACAAGGACGAACACATTCCCTTCACCCTTCCGTCGCCTCACCTCATGCGCCTCTAATGTCAAGAACAAGATTGCAATTCGTAAAGGGAAACCTAATTGTGTGTGTGTAGCAGAGAGGTAGAGACAAAGAAACGAGCTCGGCATATGCTTGGAAGAAAGATGAAATGAGAACGAAAGCTGGTTGAGAGCCACCGGCTGCTCAGTTGCGAATGCGAATACCCTTGTCCTGGACGACGTTGTTGCCGAACCTGCCAGCACGACCCGAACGATCGGTGTGGTCCAGACCCAACGCGTCGTCGGGTTGGAACTTGTGCTCGTACAGCAAGTCGTCGTCTTCCAAGTACGTTGGTTGCTTGTACGTCGACGACTGCACCAATGCGAATCGGAACTTGGCGAACTCCTTTTCGGGCACCTCGAGTCTCTCCTGCAACCTCTTGCGCGTCTCGCGGAACGGCTCGTTGCGCTTCACCACGAACCGGAAGGGTACGCCGTGTGTTCGGACAAGCTCCTTGCTAAAGTGGAAGACGTTGATGATCTTGTCATCCTCCGTGAGTTGCAGCTCGTCCAGCGGCACCTCCTCGGCAAACAGCTCGGCGCTCTCGCCAATGTTGCCGATCATCTCGACGCCGACAAACTCGCGCTGCTGTCGTCCGTTGAGTACGGCTTCGAACAGACGGACCTTGCCGCTTCCGTCCGGCGTAAGCTTGACCTGCTTTGCAAGCTGATCCGTCACGTCCGAGATGCTCGCCGTCTTTGGCAGCAGGAACTGGTGCACCGAGTCCTCCTTGTTGTTGTGTCCGGTCCAGAAGATCTTGAGGTTGCGCTTGGTCTCGAGCTCGATGATGCTGACATCGAGAAGCTCGTAGTACAGCAGCGACGCCTGGCCCTGGATATAGCTGGGCGAAACAATCTCGTTGACCGTCTGGTTGGCCGTGCGCTTGAGCACCGTCTTAGGCGTGCCGTTGGGTCCGTTGCCAGTGGTGAAGCGCAGCTTGAAGGGATCGTGCTTGAGACGCTCGCCCGCCTTGGCCGCCATCATGTCGTATGTCATCTTTTTGCTCAGCGTCAGCTCGACCTCGGCCTTGTAGTCGACGTCCTCGAAGCGTGGCTTGAAGAGCACCTTGATCTGGTTCTGCAAAAAGTCGTAGAATTGGATCGGGTTCGAGTAGAGCGACTGCGATTCATAGTCGTGCGCATCCTTCTCGGAAAGCTCGATCTGGAAGCAGATGACATCGCCGTCCTGGATCTCGCTCTGCGAGAACGTCGCCTTGGGCTTCATCTGCTCGATCATGCCTGGCTTGATCTCTTCGAACAGCTTGACCTGGGTCGTTGGCGGCCAACGCATGAGCTCGTTGATCGTCGGCACCAGGTCGCCCACCTTCATGTGGCGCTGCACATAGACGCGCGAGACACCGAGAAGTGTCTGCCTAGAGGTGTCGAAGTACTTGAGGAAGATCATCATGGACGGATTGGCCTCGGTGTTGGGGAGCTCTCCGTTGACCACCTCGAGGAAGAGGCGCAGGTCGTGCTGACGCGAAGCCATACGGTCGCGCACCGTCTCGAGCGTGAGGTTGGGATCGTTCTCCGGCACTACAGTGTCGGGTCGCACCGTCTTGTTCTGGCGGTTGACGAGCACCCACATGCGGATGAGGTCCTCGGGCAGGTTGTACTGCGCTGCGATGCGTGACTTGAAGTTGAGGTAGAGCTCGTTCTTGAGCACGCGGAACGTTGGCAGATCGGTCGCAGGGAGGTTGCGCTCCTCAAAGGTGGCCAGATCGAAACCCTGGTGGCCACGGAAGGTGTCCTCGGTGATGAGCTTGACGGTGAGGTAGAGGTGCTGCTCCTCGCGCTCGCGCTTGCGTGCCTCCATCTGGAGCCGCTCGTCCTCGAGGCGCTGGCGCAGATGCACGGGCGTATCCTCGGGCGCCATCGGCTTGAGCACCTCGTCGATGTCGCGTTCGCGAACGTAGACGAGCATGTAGGCGTTGGTGAAGCGCTTCATGGCGCGCACGGGCGCACGGGCGCCGATCTGTGCTGCGGGATGGCCGTTGGGGATTTCGCCGCCGAAGTTGTCTTCGAGCACCTCCTTCTCGGTGACGGGCGTGACGCGGTCGTCGTCGAACTTGAACCAGTTGCTATCTCTCTCGGGCTTGAGCAGGGCAAAGTAGTGACCGCCGTGCAGGTCGCCCGAGTGGACGAGGACGCCGTGCAGCCGGTACTTCCAGTCTTCCTTGCTGAGCGGCGACTCCTTGTCGATGTAGTCGGCGAGATCGATCTCGAGCGGGAACTCGTGGCGGTCGTTGATCTTGACCATCGAGTCCTTCTCGATGTCGTACTCGAACCGTTTGAGCTGCAGATGGAGCACCGGTGGGAACTTTTCGAAGATGACACCCTTCTTGGCGTCCTGCAGCCCGTAGCCCTCTGCGTGGTACTTGTTGTCGCCGTCGAGCATCTCGGTCTGAACATAGTCGCGGAACGAGTCGACGAGGTTGTTCATGCCTTTGACGTTGAGCTGGATGTCGTAGAAGTCCTCGGAACGCGAGGACTCGTAGTCGACGTTGACACACTTGAGGTACGACTTCATCTTGCCGACAAACAGACGGGTGATGGCGCCGTCGGCGGCCGTACCCTTCATCTTGGTCTCGAGCTTCTCTTGGAGGACGCGGTTGAACTCCTGGACGTCGTGTTGCAAAAAGCTGTCGAGCGACTTCCAGCCAAAGGACTTTGTGAGCTCGTTGGTGCCGACGGGCTGATCGGATGTCTGGAGCAGGTAGAAGACGCGCTGGAGCGCCAGCGCTACGCTCTCGGACGGAATGTCTCCCTCGGTGGGTATTTGGTAGACGGCTTTGCGGAAGTAGTGTGTGCAGAAGAGGGACTGGAGGAGCGAGTTCATGTAGCAGGTGGCGCCCTGGTTCTTGAGACCGACGTAGCCGGTCTCCTTCTTGGAATCGTAGTTGATGAAGTTGTGCCAGAGCACACCGGTCGGATCCTTGAGCACTCGGACGTAGGCGGTGACGTCGGCGCAGTCGTTCTCGATGATGGGCCGGCTTCGCCCATCGGTGGGGACAGCGAGCTTGCGAAGCTCGTTGAAGCGGGTGAAGCCCCAGTCCATCTCCTCGGCAGTAAAGCGGTGATGCGCCTGGCTGGTGGAGAAGATGGTGGGGTCCTGTGGATTTGAGATGACGAGGGCAAATTGTGCGCAGACGTGCCATCCCTCGGGGCTGCCCTTGGGATCGGCATAATCCAGATAGACCGAGACCATATCATTTGGCTGGCCGTTGGAATTGCCAAAGGGAAAGAGGAGGATGCGCCATCGATGACCACCGCACTCAAACTCTGGACCTGTGAGTCTCTTGTCTAGTGTTCGCCATCCCTTGATCTTCCACGTACACACGGCGAAATCCTGTTCTTCCTGGCCGAGGTCGGCGAGATGCTTCTCTGCAAACGCCTTGCTGTCGTGCACTGATACGGGCTCCTCGACCTCCATGGGCCCTCCATTTTTGTCTGCGTCTGGGTTGACCAGAGCGGTCGTGGGATCGAGATGAGGGTCCATCGTGATGGGTGTGCTGCGTGGAAGAGTACCTCTATGTTCTTGCAAGAGCCGAGGCGACTAGTGTCAGTTGAGCGGATGTCGATGGTGAAGACAACCAATCAACTGAGCCCCGATTGAGCAGTCCGTGCAGTTGGCGTCGGCTGCGCTTCCGATTTCGGACAGGCTTGTGGGTCGAGCGGATAGCACACTGCACGGGCCAGTGCTCGATAGGGCGCTTCCAGAGCAGGCAAGGCACGCTTGGATGGCTATCGCCGAGCGAAACGAGCAGCTGCACCGCCGTGGATCAGCAGACTGCGCCGAATGGATGGTGGTTGATGGCGCAAGAATAGGTCGTGCGCAAAGAGTGTCGACGGTCGCTGTCGAGAAGAATACAGATGAACCGCGTGGAAGCCCACACTTGCAGCTGGTGATGAGTACCGTCGGAGAACTCGGCGCCGCTGTTCCGTTGCAGTAATTGCGACCTGAACGAAGCGATCGAGAAAGGGGGGAGGGATGAGATGGTAAAGACGACGTTGCGGGACGAATGTAAGATGATTTGCGGCTGTGTCTCTCGTCTCTATCGTGCAGTGCTTTTTTTCGGATGTTGGGAGTGCGAAGGCCTCAGGCAGCGCGAACGGACGGACGCACGGAAGGAGCAAAATTCAAGTCTCTGGCTGAGTTAGTTGCGACTGGACGAAAGGAGGATACGTGGAGTGGACTGCCTGAGGATGTGCGATCGAGAGACATCGACAAAAAAGCAGGCCTGGCCGCTGCCGTGACAGTTGAAATTGGCACGAGCGGGAAAATCATCAAGACCCGCGAGCGGAGTGAGAGAATGGGTGAGAGAGACGACACACAGCTGGAGGGCCTGTCTCACAGGCAAAGCAGCCGACGAAATTGTGACTGAGCGTAAAAATCACGGATTCTCTCTCTGGTTTGTGCGCACTCCATTTCAGAAAGGAAATGGTCGCGGCAGCGCAGCACGCGAAAAGCTCGTCTGTCTCGGAGGGACACTCTTCTGACCCTCGTCGACCTGAGCAAGCAGAAATCGCCGCTCCAGCTGCCAAGCACTGGTCGAGCATGGTCTTTGGTGCGACCTTACTCGATAGCTTGCTCGCCTTTCCCTTTGTTGATCTGAGAGCTGTTCGCGACACGCGGTATCGTGTCTTCTGGAAGTCGACCTATCTGACGAAAGGTGCCTGGTAAGGGCTTTGGCGTGTGGCTGATTACGAGCTGGCAATGACTGGTGATCGGCAGTTCAAGAGAGGCCGTGGGGCTATGAAACATCTTACATGTTACACCGATGGTTCACCTGCCTCGGAGAAGAGAACTGTTTCTCCGTGTTCATTTCGTGAATAAATCGCAACCAATTTCACGGCCACGAAAATGGGACGAAAAATCATGCATCGGCTACCCGATCACAACTGGCATCGGCACATGTCCAAAAACCCGGTACGCTTCGTGCAAGCCCCTTACATAGAACACGACAGGCTGATCCTCTCGGCACGCAGCTCACTTGCCCAGCTGCTGCGTTCCGGACAGAAGCAAGCAAACGTCAACAGAACAGAGAGGTCAGCTTTCCAAACAACAAAGCACGTTCGGCACGAGACTGGATCGACACTGTGCAGGAAGGAGGTCGCTTTCGTCAATCTACCGAGCGACAGGAGCACCAGCCCCTTCGCAGCCGTCAGCTGCGACTTCCCATTAGGAGAATCTAGCGGATCGTGCATGGTCCGCGACGCTGTCCAGCGCGGCACTGCCATTCTGGGCAAAATACGCCGACCCTATCGTCCGACAAAGATGCTTCCAGCCTCATCTAGAGGCGCCCGTCTTAGTTCGAAGAGAACAGCAGAGCACCGTTACTCTGAGCGGAAGAGCAGCATCGATGGCTCAAGGAACAGCGGGCACTGAAGAACAGCGGCCTAGCAAGGAGTGGTACAAGATTCGCGCGCTGGGTGCCGCCACATGCAGTCTGCATTTTCGAAACCAACAGTGAACCGCGGACACGCGCCCGACAAGACGGGAGTCAGCGAGGGAGGCCCCATGATCTGCGGGCTGCAGCTCGAAGATGCCAGTGCCTCATAGCTGGCAGGTGAAGGTTGACACGGCGATCAAATCGCAGAAGCTGCCAGAAACATGACGATCTTGCGTTCCAAGTCCAAAGCGAAGCAACCATCCTCTTGCAGCGTAGCAGCTCGTAACATGGAGATCCTCGTCGAGCAGCCTTTCATCGCCGCCCACAACCGCGTGCTTGCCAGCTCATAGACCGGACGGAAGCCCGAATGTCCCCATCGGAGGATCAATGACGTGGGTAGAACAGCAGCGGCCTAGTCCTGTAAAATTATGCGTTCCGGACTCGAGATGCAGGCGACGCCGAGGGCCGAGTTGGACAGCTGGCTGGGCTCCTGTCTGCAAATTCATTTTGGGCAGGCCTCACACGCGTCCGAGCCGCTGCTGCGTGCCGAGGCCCTCGCGGTTCGGAATACGATTTAAGCCGCGTTCTTGTGCCTCTCGTGCCTTTTGTCCCTCGATACAGGATACATCGAGAGAGCCTGGGTTGACCTCGTCGGCAGGGTCCTGTACGTCGCACCCTGGCAGTCTTCACCTCTGAATCGAATACCAGCGTTGCACGACAGGTTCAGGCCAAGGCGTCGAGGTGACAGTGAAGACTCCTGCGAGGCTCGAAGCGCCGCAGGGCTGCGATAACGTGGAGCCTCGGCTCTGGGACGGGAAGGTGAAGCGAAAAAGAAAACGGAGGACATGTGCGCGTGTGTGTGTCTCAGGCTGATGCGGTTGACAGGAAACGAAGCAATCAAATGTATTCCAGCTCGCGTCGACAGCCTTTGCTGCGATTTGCCTTCGCCTAAAAATGCTGGATCAACGTTTCTGTGGCACTTTGCGCATCGCCTCTGTGAACCCTGGCAAACTTGCCTTTTCAGCCCTGGAGGAGGGCAGTTTCCCATGCACGAGTGCATGCCTCTCGGACTCATCGTAGCACCAAAAAAACTCACAAGGCATGGTCCTGCCGCTGTATAGTGCTATCCTGTCCGATGCCTGCGCCTGTGGATCCGGGTAAGCTGCACGTCAGTCGGTGCCAGACTCAATGACCGAAGCTACGGATGGCAGGCCTCGTCCTTGACTGTCCCTGCTCGCCGACACTTTTTGTTTGCAAGTCGCCTCGGTCTACTAGGTGTGACTTCTCCGCTCTCCTTTTGATTCTCCTCCTCTCCGCTCGTCGATCTCTGCATCTCTTTCTCGGTCCCACTTGGTCATCTCCCCATCACCTTGCACCGACCCAGTCAAGCATCAAGGCCCATCGTGCTCCAGTACCCAGCCATCGACCAAGTGCGGCCTCGCTTGCGCCCCTACTCTATACCCTCGCTACAACGCGCCTAACCGACCCGGCCTCGTGTTCGTTCCCTGGCTGCCTTGTCGTCTAGATCTGGCCTCTTCGTCATCATCTTAATTCTCTTCCACCATCTACGTATCTCTCTCTCCCCTCTCCAAACCGTCCCCTCTCCCAACTCTTCTTTCTTCCCACACCCTGAATCCCTGAACCAACTCGATCGCACTCTTTTACAGATCGACATCTCTCTCTTTCGACGCTCATATCAGCTCCAACAAACGACGTTCCTTGTTCAGCTTTTCGCATCGAACCAGCTGACTTGGTCATCGCAACAACTGTCTTTTCTTGCTACCTCCCACGACTTTGATTTCAACAACACTCCTCTGTCCATCTCTACATCTACCGCTCACTCCTGTCGACACGTCGCACTCGTCCAGGATCACACGCGCAACTCTACGGCCTGCTAGCTCCATAACATACATAAGCCATGCGCACATCACAACTCGTCAAGGCGGCAGCCATCGCAGCTCCTGCCGTTCTGCTTGCTGCCACCGCGAATGCCGCCTCCGACTCGTGCATCAGCCTCAAGGGCAGTTCCATGTGCCCTTCGTTCCAGAACAACTTTGTCAAGCCGAGCAACCTGTCCAGCGAGTACAGCTTTTTCGAGACGGTCAACGACGTGGCTTCTTTTGACAGCCTCTTCCAGTACTACCTCACCGCGTAAGTAGACACTATGCCGCGACGACGCACGGCGTTCGGGCTCTTACTGACACGCTCCGTCTCGACTCCTTCCGTTCACCCACTCACACAGTCAAAATGGCTACTACGCCGACAAGATTCAGGACGGTCTCGGATGCAACACGACCCACGCAACCAATGTCACCATCCAATGGCAACAGACCGTCTTTTGCTCGCAGTTCTCCCAGGCTTCCTTCGAGTCCGGATGCACGGCAGAGACACCGCCCACTCTCGTCTGCCAGGAGACTTGCAACCAGTACGCCTCGTCCGAGGAGGACATCGTAGACAACACCGCCTACTGCCGATCCACCGACGAACTCAACCCCTTCCAGCGCAGCGTTCGACAAGACACGCTCTCCAACGACTACTACACCTGCACCGATTACAGCTCGCTCGCCACCACCAATGTCAACTCGTGCGTCTCCGGTATCGAGAACGAGGGCAGCTGTGGTTTCGGCTACTCGATCGACCAGATGTGTGCCTTCTGCGACCCTGCAGGCGGCGTCACTCCTCCGTCGTGCTGCTCTGACTCCCGAACCGATCTCTCGCAGTGCTCGCAGTGGGGTCACCCTCTCGCTGCCACCATCCGTCCCACTACCACCGTCGCTACCAACGTCCCCGGCTCCGCGCAAAGCACCGGTGCTGCTTCCGGTACCGCGGGCACCAACTCTGCCACCGTTACAGGTGCCGCTGCTTCCGCCATTTCTACCGGTGCCAAATCTGGCAACGGCGCCTCGCGATCCAGCACCGCCTCTGGTGCCGGAGCCACCTCGGGCAGCAGCGTCGGTGCCAACATGGCTCCCGATGGTCAGCAGCTCGTCAGCGCTGACGACAAGGTCTTCAGCACAAAGCAGCTCGCCGGTATCATCGCGGGCTGCATCGTTGGCGCTGCGCTTCTCGGTGCCCTGCTCGCTCTGCTCTGCATGCGCCGACGCGGCGAGAACGGTGATGCCGAGAAGAACACGGTCTACGGCAACGCTGCCAACGAGAGCCACGTCGAGCGTCCCTGGATCCAGAGCGAGGAGGCGATGGTCAAGTCGCCCGAGCTCGGTCGACCTTCGACGGATGCCAAGTTCGCCGGCGCCGGTGCAGCTGGTGTCGGAACGCTTGCCGCTGGTGGAGCTGCTATCGCTGCAGCCAAGGGTCGCGACTCGACCGACGAGCGACCCAACAGCGCCATGAGCGGTGAGACCGGCACCGACGGTCGCGGTACCACCATCCCCGCCGTCAAGGACCAGTACTCTTCGCACGACATCTGCCCAGGCGAGACCGTCGTCGCCATCTACCCTTACAACGCAACGCTCAACGACGAGATCACCTTGCAACCGGACGACGTCGTCACCGTCCAGCGTCTCTACGACGACGGCTGGGCGCTCGGACGCACCGAGTCCGGCGGCGAGGGTGCTTTCCCATTGGTCTGTGTCACTTCCACCAAGGGCGGCACCTCGGGGTCCGGTGAGAACCTCAGCGGTGGCGTAACGAGCGGCAACGAGGGCAACGTCACTTCATCAGTAGAAAACGCCGTTACTGCGGAAGAAGCTCATTGATCAAAGAAAGCTCTTCTAGTTCAGTCTCGTTTCGCTTGTTTCTCACTCGGTCACCATCGTCCCTCCCACTCAACCCTCTAGACTTTTCCCCCATTCGCCTCCTCTCACGTAGCTGCTCGCTAGCTAGACTAGCGACGCGCTTTCCTCCATCTCCCCACTCCCCCACGCTTCTTTTTCTGCCTCTGATCCGCCGTCTCGTATTCCCAGCTTGATCTGCCCAAAGCGCGATGCCTCTTTCCCCCCCTTTCCACCCTTTGTTTTGGTCGAACTTCTCTACCTTGGAGGGCTCACGGCCCCATCTCTGTACATCAGGATGGGGCATCGTCTCAGAGACCCCAAAATGTACCATCACAACGGTGGAATTCTTCTTTGGCACATTCGGCTTTGCTCGGGTCAAGCTGGCTGGTTTCCTTCCTCTTCCTTTGCGCTTTTGTTATGGGTTCCTCCCCCTCGCGATCCATCCTTTCTCCTTGTTGCCGCCTTTCGCTTCGTCTCACAACCTGTAGCTTTTCCCTTGGACTCACGATGTTGACCCTGCGTGTCTTTTGTAGAGATCATCTTTGCCCCGTCTCCCCCCTTCCTTGTGTCTGTTGGAATCTCATTTCTTTCCCCTCTTAAACCTTCCTCTGCTGTGCGCGAAGACTGACAGAATGTGCAATGTGATTCGAATGACTGGTTATCACGGACAAATACAATCGAGCGAGTGGCAACTGGCTATTCAAATCAAAAGTTGTAAATCGGCAAGATGCGGTGTAGTTGGAGCGGTTGTCGACACAACGGACACTCTGGCTTCTCTGCGATCCAAGCAGTGATGCAAGACCAATCGAAGCAATGTCCACACTCTGTCACCGCCGACGAACCGCGATGAGGTGCACGCTGATCCATGCACAGCGTACACTGGAGCGTGCTCTGCGCATTGGTGGCTGCTGCGGTGGTGTTGAGTTTGGCGATGGCGACCGAGTCCGATTCGGGTTTGTCGGAGGTGTCGTCTGGGAGATGCGGGTAGAGCAGATCGACGTTGTTCGCATCCGCTTCCTGGTGGAGGTCGTCGGAGGTGTGGTGAGAAGAGGGGATTCGTCGTGCGGGTTGTGAGGCATGCGAAAAGATCGAATCGTCGATCACAACTGTCGTCGATGGATCCACAGCTGCAGTTGACTGCTTTTCGACCGAGCTATCCCGCTTCTCCTCTGCTCGACTCTTCTTGCTCCTTCTGTACGATCTCACCTCCAACAACAGCTTGACCGACAGCTGGATCCCCAACAACACTCCCAGGACCTCGTACGATGGTGGCTGGTATCCTTGTCGCTTGGGATACGTCGAAATGTAGGTGACACCGGTCACCCTCTGCGCCGCACTGTAGAACTTGCCACCCAAGTAGAACAGCATCAAATGCGCCGCCGAAAGATACGCCAGCCACCCATCTGAGGACTGCAAGGTCTCCAGCGGAGGCAGCGACCTGCTCAACCAAGTGACGAGGCGTCTGTGCGCGCTGATGTGTGCGGAAGCATCGAACGATTTATCCAGAGCGCGTGCACGTGCTCTCGCTCTCGCCTCCGCCGCATCGAGCTTCTCCTTGGTCGACACGGAATACCTCCGAATCGCGGCGTACAGCTTTGTCAGGGAGTAGGGGCCCAGGACGTGCAGAAGGATCCACGCCAATCGTTTCGGAAGCGTAACGATGCGACCCGTCCGAACTTCTTTGGGTATCGCATTGACGTATTCCTCGCCCAGCGTCTGACCACCACGCCCGTCGCCCATGCCTGGTATCGACGAAGTCGAAAGGAGGTAGTAGCCGAGCGCTCCTACTAGCGAGATGGAAGATACGTGGGAGTGCTGCACACGAGTACCGAAGAGCGAACGGACGACATCGGAGACCTGGGACGTGAAGAGGTCCTTGTAGTAGGTATCTTTTTGATAGGCTCGCACGATTTCGGGCTGTGCTGCTGCGGGGAAGCTGAACCGTGATTGGGGTCGATATGCTGCTTCGAAGACGCTGTTCATTGAGCTGCTGTTGGAGGCAGATGCGAGAGGAGCTTGCGATGAAGCTGAGGATGGCTGCGAATCAGCGGTTCGGCTGCTGCGGCTGCTGCCAGCAACGGCATTGTCGTCGGCCATGGTTGAGGTCCGGCTTCCTGTGGCGACGTGATGCGACGACGTAGGTAGCCCGATACTCAGCTTCAAGGATGATCCGAGCTAATGACAGTGTGTCCACTGGATGGGTAATGGAAGGCGACGAGCACTTGGTGATGGAGCCGAGTGGATGTGGAGCATTGTCAGTTGAAGCTTTCAACTCGCACCAGACGATGTCCAGACCGGCGCGCCCGGCTGGAATCGATGTACCCCACAACCGGTTCCTTTTGTTTGGGGTGCAAAAATGTCGTTACTTAAGATGTAACACCTCCACTTCGTCAAAGCAGACTCCTCGACTCTGCACCACCGCGATCCGCGGGCCGCTAAACTCCTTCCCCAGGGCATGATGGCGCTTCCCTCCCTCCTTGATCCCTCTCGTCGTTTGCACAAGACGCTGTCGAAGGTCGATCCGCAGCGAGTCGGTTGATTGATGCTAGCCATCAAGCCGATGGCCGAGTCAGAAAGAAGCTCGTAGTGTTGTCCTCGCAATTTCATCTTCGAGGATATTCGTCATTGCTACGAGGTATTGCTACGGGGTCTGCGACACATCTCTATCGAGATGAGGGAAAGACAAGCAAGATGTACGGCGATCGCATCATTCATCTCGGCATACAACACGCCGCGAGAGGGTCGGATCGTACCGCGAGCGCTCATGCAGAGGGGCAACGAGGAAATGTGGGTACAAGAGATGTTATGTTCTGGGAAGTGGCTTAGCTCCGAATCTCCGGGTTTTGGTTTAAGGTAGAAGAATCATCCAGCCCCACCTCGGCTGCTGCTGTGGACTTGACCGACTGCAGATCACGGCATTTGGCGTCATGATTTTGACAGTGCCGCTACCAACCTGTACGGTCGTCTTGCTCGCTTGGGATGCTCGGTCTCGCTCTGATGTTGGCAGCGAAATGCTCATTGTGGTGTGCTTGAACGTCTATATATACACCCCGTTCTTCTGCAACCCTGTCTGTCCGTGCCAGCATCGCTCTTCTAAACACTTGCCTCCACACCACATCCATCACAATGTCGCTCCCCCAGGCCACCACCGCCTTCCTCTCGCACCTCGCCGTGCGACGAAGCACCTACACGCTCGCCAAGACCCCCTCCGTCCTCACCCCGGAACAGATCCAGACCGTTCTCAGCAAAGTCTTGCGCGAATCGCCCTCCTCTTTCAACTCCAAGTCTCCGCGACTCGTGCTGCTCCTCGGCGCCGAACACGATGAGTACTGGGGCAAGACTGTTCCCGAAGCCCTGACTGCCGCCGTCAAATCTCAAGGAGGAGACGACAAGGCCGTCTCGGGCGCCGTCGGTCGACTTGAAATGTTCAAACCCGCCTTCGGCACCGTGCTCTTCTTCGAATCCAAAGCGGTCGTCGAAGGTCAACAGAAGAACATCCCGCAGTACGCCGATAACTTCCCCATCTGGTCGCAACACGCTTCCGCCATCGCACAGACCAACGCCTGGGTCGCCCTCACCAACGCCGGCTACGGTGCCAACCTGCAGCACTACGGAAACTTGACCCAGGACCAGCTCAAGAAGAAGCACAACTTGCCCGACGACTGGCAGTTCACCGCCGAACTCGTCTTTGGCGCAAAGACCGATGAGCCCAAGCCCAAGGAGTACGACGAGCAGAAGGAGAACGCTGACCGCCTCAGGGTGTTCGGCGCTTAGTGTTTTGGCATAGATCCGATAGAAGGTCGTGACGCTGAACGCAATATGAAACAATTGACCCAGATCGACAGTAGTGAAGCGATGCTGCGAAGTGTATTGCTGCCAATGAGAATTGTGTGCCAAGCCTGTTCACACATATGTGTCACTTTTCGGCTTGACACTAGTACACAAACGAGACACACAGAGCTCTGAGATGGTCAAAGTAGAAAGTTCTAAATTTCCGTCAACACTGGCACAGTGCTACAGTGGTGACCGATGAACCAACATGTTTGTACGGCTGCAGAATCGAGAGTTTAAGGCTCGAGCGAAGCGGGGAAGTTGTTGTTCTCCCTCTGCTCGTCCCACCTGGCGATCTGTAAATGTGGAGCAGACGAAAAGGGAACGTTATCGAGATCAGTAAGATGGCCTCGTTTTGGAAGACGACAAGGCGAGCAGCCAGGACGGCTGAGCTGGCAAAAAGCATGTTGTAAGGCGGGATGTGCAATCGACCGGTTTGCTGTCGAACGTAATTTCGCTTCGGCAATCCTCCGATAGCCAAAGCGCATCCAAATCAATGTGACGTCCTTCGACCTGACCGTACTGGGTACGTCCGTACTTCGCCGAAGCTTGCTTCAACTGGACTCAGCGTATGAGTTGCGGCTGCGCAGCCAGCGAAGCAGTTGTAGCAATCAGCGTCTGCTGGGCCACTAGGACCCTTTGGCCAGCTTGACAGGATGCGAGCAGTCCGACAATGATCTCCCCTGCGCCTGAGTTGCGCCTCAGCCATATAATCGTTTGCCTCGATGCCATCCTCTGCGTGTCTGTGCTGTTATTGCTGCCCGGGTGCTGAGGATTCTCGTCGGCTTGACCGACTGCCGTGCTTCTAGATGTAGACACCTCGTTTGTCGGATTGCCGTCGTCGATTGAATCCCATTCAGCGTATCAAACACTTTCATGCCTTCGAATGCTGTTGCGGATACCATTGCTATGCCCTCCTCTGCTCCCATGAAGATACTCACCCACTCGTTAGGGCACAAAGAGTTGTAGGCGCGGAAGAACTGCTTGCAAGGCACGAATTCCTCTCCCTTGGCGTTGACACATCGGTAGTAGTCGACGTAGCTGACATCCATCCAATTCAAAAAAGATAAGTTCGAAGCGTCAGCATTCTTTCCATCCTCCCTTCAGTCCCATTTCCAATCTCTCTGTCCTTTGGATAATCCTCGAACTCACTTTTGCCAGCAGTGCTTGGTCTGGTTCTGGTTGGGAAAACGCGCGTCGAACGAGGCGGTCTGAAGGGTGAAGGACTTTTGCTCGGAGTCGGACATTTTGAGATGTGGTTGAGTATACGATGTGGTGAAAAGACCAGCGAAGAAGAAGGACGACGACGACAAAGAGATGATGTCGACGAACACTACCTGGAATTTCTGACAGCCACCTAACACTTCTCGCTCTCGCTTGGGATCAGGCGTAGCTAATGCGAGTGGCTCTGGCTCTGGCTCTGGCTCAACTCATCTCGATTGGCGCCTTTGTCCTTCCTGAAACGGCTGAAGTCGGATTTTCTTCACGCACGGAAGACTCTCCAGATCGGTTCCGAGCCTTTTTTTTGGCCGTTGTGTACAAACTTCTGAGAAGCTCTAACAGCCTCTTTCTTTTCCCTCCACCTTTGGACCCTGTTCTTCGGCTGCGTCCCGAACTTTCTATGGCTTCGTCCTTGACTTCCACTCCAACCACCTCCAAATCTACCGAAAGAGCGTCGAGATGGACTTCCTCAAAGCAGAGATCGCCAACAAACGCAAGGCGGCCGAGCCTCTGGCCAGCACATCGGCATCCGCCTCGACCGCTCCGCCGCCCAAGTACATGCGGAGGGGCGACCTCGAAAAATTACGAGAGCAGCAAGAACGATCCGCCTCCCCATCGCCCTCGCCAGGACCCTCGTCTTCAGTCCAGAAGCGCCCGAAAGCTGCCGAGACCGAAAGCACGACACTCAAAGGTCTCAGCTCGACGACGAAAGCAGCACTAGAAACCGCAGCGGGCGAGGTGGAGCGAGAAAAGTTCAACGTTTCTAACGACGAAGCTGTTCGTCGGTTGCGAGCGAAAGGCGAACCGATTCGACTCTTCGGTGAGACGGACAAGGAGAGGAGGTTGAGATTGAGAGCCTTGGAGCTGATCGAGGAGAAGGGCGGTGGATCGCTAGGCCAGAATGATTTCAGGAACGCTCTGCAGAGCGCCGAAAGTGCCACTGCGTTGGAGTTGCTCGAGAAGCGCAATGCGGCGAGCAAAGGTAAGGCGGAACGAGAAAAGGCCCAAGGATTGCAACAAGATGCCGCGACAATAGCCGCACTCGGTGATGTTGTCAAAACAGACGATGCAAAGACATCATCTACAAATTTAGACGACGCAACTTCCCCATCCTCTTCCACGAAACCAACTACCCGCCAAGGCGTTGGCATGAACAGCGTGCTCGACCTCAACCTCATCAAAACCGACATCGATCGCGTCTACCCCATCATCTACTACACCCTCAAAGGCCTTCTCGAGGAATGGTCCAACTCCCTCGCCTCGCGCCCCGACGAAATCAAACATACCATGCAGGGCAAACTCGCCGCCGCCACCCAAGTTCAATCCGCCGACTACCTGAAACCGCTCTTCAAGAAACTCCGCAAACGCGCCCTCACTCCGGACGTCCTCATGCGCATCGCCGAGATCGTCCACTACATCCAACGTCGTCAGTACAGAAACGCCAACGACTCGTACCTCCAGCTCTCCATCGGTAACGCCCCCTGGCCCATCGGCGTCACCATGGTAGGCATCCACGAGAGATCCGGTAGAGAAAAAATCTTCAGCAGCAACGTAGCCCATGTCCTGAACGACGAGGTTTCGAGAAAGTACATCCAGAGTCTAAAGAGGTTGATGACGTTTGCTCAGACAAAGTACCCCCCGGAGGATATCAGTATGATGATGGGTTGAGGGGGAAGGGCTGACGACGAGCGCTCCTGATCGAGACTATTGCTTTCACATATCACAACTTGATCACATCCTTCATTCGCATTGATGATACCCAGACGCACGCTTGCGTCCAACTGAATAGCAATTGCAACTCGATAGCCCACCGCGAACATGTCTGTATGTGAATCAGCGTCCTCCAAAGAGAAACGCGGGCGACTGTCCGCGCCAGTTTGTCTCTGCATCCAGCCCATTGAGATGCTTTGGTGGAGGCAAAGGTGAGCTTGCCTTGGTCAACGTCGTCGCCGTTGATGCAGCGCCATGGTTCTGGGCTGCAGTCGGCGTCGACGAGGTGTTTGCCGTGGGTGTGGGCGTCGTTGGCGTAGGAGAGACCGCTTTTGCGCTTGTCGATGCTGGCTGCGCTGGCGCTGGCGCCGCAGACGGTGTACCGGCCTTGCTGACGACCTTTTCAGCTCCACCTGCCGCTCCCGCGCCCGGAATTGTGTTGGCACCTGCACTCCCAGCTGCAGTCTCGATCTTTTTCTCGTATCCGAGGTCTTCACCACCATAGAAAACAGGGATGCTCCACGGCCTTCCGCCCATACTCAAGATCTCCCTCTTGGCCTTGACCCACCTACGCGGCTGCCTAGCGTTCCTTTCGAGCGGAACCACCGTCTGGAATGCAGTAGGGATCCTCGCGATGGGCTGCACGGGCGGTCCGGCGCGCGAGCTCGGCAACGGCGGATATCGGAAGCCCGGGTTCTTGGCTGTGCCAGCTTTGGCACTGAGGTCGCCGGTGAAAGTCTGTCCGCCCGGCCCCGATACGATCTTGATGGAAGATGAGGCTGCAGTCGGTACGATGCTGCTCCGGACGGTGCCCAAAGGAGAGGCGGCCTTGTTCGTGTCTGTACCTGCTGCGAAGTTCGAGATGGGTTTCGGCCGCGGCAGCACTGTGATCGGGGCAGGCGTCGGTGTCTCTGCCTTGATCGCTGTTGACGAGGCGGGGGACGAGCGTACGGAGGCTGTATTACCGAATGTGGCAGGCGTTCGTTCTGCCGGCGGAAGCTCGTAAACTGGTTTCTGACCTTTGGTGAGCCCCTTCCGCCAGCCTCTGCCCGGTCCAGCGGCACCTCGTGCTTTGGCCGTTTTTCTCCTCTTCGCTGCTGGAAGCGCATCGAGCTCCTCCACCGACATGGATTGCACTTGCGCCATTCGAGCCAGGGAGCTGCGCTTGACAAGCTTGTGAGAGCCCGAATGCGGGCTCGCTGAACCCTCAGCCGAGGGAGAGGCAGAGGACGAAGCCGCGCCGCCTTTTGAGGGACGGGACTTGAGCGTGATGCTTCTGCGTTTGGTCAGAGCCGAGGTTGAGGCAGCTTTGGATGTCTGCTCGTCGTCTTCGCCTTCAAGCTCGTCCAGCTCGTCGAGTTCGTCTTCTTGATCTTCGTCGTCATCCTGATCCTCGTCGAGCTCTTCTGCGTCCGAGCCGTCGACTTCGGCGTTGTCATCCGGTGTTCCGCCGTCACGCAACGGAGTGGCCGCCTCGTCGTCGTCCGAGTAGTCGGGTGCACTTCGCAGGGGATTTGGGTTGGCGAGGGGCGACGAGGTTTCGCGTGGTGCAGATGAGAGCGGAACTCTCAACTTGACTTTGACCATGGTGATCACTGCACCGGCTGTTCAGCGAAGACAGCCAGAGGTGATGGGTAGAGCTGGCGGGGGACGCTACAGATGGGGCCTGGTCGTTCTCGAGGGCGCTATGGACGACAAGGAAGAGAGTCGTATTCGATCGCCCAAAGTGAGATGGCTGCTGATGCCGAGCTGCTTCTGGACGTGACCCGAGCGAGACCGGAATATAGCCGAGAAGACGGAAGAATCGGGACTTGGAGGTGAGTCGTTGGTCGTGCGGCTTTCTGATAGATCCGTGTTCAGCAAATTGCGAAGGATGGTGGTGGTCGATAGCCCGGGTGCGCCGATTGCAAAGATGCGATGTGATGCTTGCTTGCAAGCTGAGCTTCGACGCCTCGGAAGCGAGGGGAGCGCCCGTTGCGCTCTACAAGACGAAGCTCGTTTTGCTTTGGAAAAGAAGCTCAAAATTGGAAATATGCATGCCATACCGAAGCGTATCGGCTTTGAAATCGGTGCAGCCACCACGACACGCCACTACCCGCAGCAAACTCTCTTTTTCCCCTCACACACAATCATCGGCGAAGCCGGGCCTTTCCTTCATCTGCGCAGCTCACGGGCCAGCTCCCGCAAACAAAACTCGATTGAGCCCAAGCACAGCTTCACAAATCCTCTATCTGATGCGGCCAGGACAGTGTCCTTAGAAAGTCGATGGCGTAGTGGCTAGAACGCGCCCCACACGCTGTAATCATATCCTCTCACGTGGAGAACCGGCAGCTTGAACGCAGTGATTGCAGTGTGACGAGTTTCAAATTGAGTAGAAGTACAGATGTAGAGCTTGTCGCTGGAATCGCAGACAAGGGTATATGGTTAAGATTGTCGATGGTCGCTGGGCTCGGATCAGTATTGCTGCCTTGTCGAGTAGTCTGTTGTGCCATACAAGAACCGAGTGATGAGAATGATCAGCTTTTGCCACTCTCGCCTCGCCACCTTGAGGGCCGATGACCGAGATGAACTTACCCTTGGGACTGATGACGAGACCTCTTCCCTTGCTCGCGCCTCGATACACCACCTCTACGATGTCGATGAGCTCTTGACGATCCGTGATTGCCCAATTACTGCAAGAAGAAGGTCAAATGATGTTGCGTGTCAGAGTATCTCCCATGTCTACACCGCATCCTTGCCTGTCTGCCTCTTGAGGCAAGAACAGCGATCCGCCAACTTACATCTTGTTATTGTTGCCCGTCCCCAGATCGATCATGATGTGCTTGTTGCGGTAGAAGAACATGGTGGAACAAGCATCGTACAGCTCGTACATCTTGTTGAAGTCAGGGACTTGAGTGATGTCCACCAGATAGATGACCGCAAAGTTCTGCACCGCCGTCGAGATCTTGTAGAGCGTCTCGTCCATTTCCATGCATACCGGGTCCGTGTCGTGACCGAAGCGAAGGATGACCACGCGGTCTTCCTCGGACAAGATCGCCTGATCAACGTGCCATCCCGTAGGCAGGTGCGGCAGGAAGTACGACATGGTTGAGCGACCCCTTGCTGAGGCGTGCGGAAGCGGATGTGAAGAGCGAAACACAAGCAACACGGTGGTCCAACGCAAAATGTGGAGTGGAAGCGACACACTGCAGAGTTTTTTTTGGCTCGGGAAACGGAAGGACAGTGGAGCGCCTCTTTCTCGATTCTTCGCGACCTCAGTCCTCGAACAAATCACAAGACATCTCAGATCGAAAGCTAGCGGAAAGCTAACGCAGACGTTCGGTAGCGGATGTGCGCTAAGCTACTGGTTCAGGCCATTGCGACAGAAACCTAATAATACAAAGTGGACAACGCAGTGAGGCCAAATGGGATGTGGTTGCTTGCCAAAATTGGCTGAACATGTCTACGCCGGCGATCGACTTCGCTTCCGATCCTCTTCTTTAATCTGGATGGGCGGTCTTGGATTCGGCTTGTAGTCCGACAGCACCTCACCTTCCTCCTCCTTGACTTCTCCCTCTTCTCCGCCGCGCTTGCTGTCCGCTCCCGTGTCTGCGGCTTCTCGCTGTTCACGCGTGTCCCTGCGTTCCCGGTCTCGGCGTTCCCGCTCTCGTTCAAAGTCGCGCTCTCGTTCGCGATCCCTCTGAGGGAGCGTGGCGTTGAGACCTGGGCCGTTCGATATCCCGGATGCTGTTGCTGGCGATGATGCTGCTGCTGTTGGTGCTGGGATGAATCGACCATTTGAGCTTCCATTGCTCTGATGTGATGTCGCCGGTGCTGCGGATCCTGCTGGCAATCCCATGGGTGGCGCGTTTGGATTGCGTCTCCTTTCGTCGAACTCGCCGATCATCTCGCGCAGCCTCAAGTAACCAAGATGCATCTTTCCACCAAAGTGGTCTGCCAACCTTCGATCTGAATCCAAGATACTCAAGTAGGCGCCGCAGACATCGCAAACCCTCAACTTCTGATGACCACTTGCGCCCGAGTTCTCCTGCGCGTTGTGCAGCTCCTTCTCCTTCTGTGCCTTTTCTTCCTTCAATGCATCCGCTTTGGCAAGCTCTGCAAGCGACTCCTCGATTTGACCCTGCTCTCCCAATGCTTCCACCTCGGCCATGACGGCGGCTAGCGCTGTCTCGATCTCGGAGATCTCGCGGTTCATGTTGGCGAAGCGTGCCAGCTCCTCTGGCGTCTGCTCCAGTCGGCGCTTGTTGGCAGCGATCTTGCGGTCAATGTCCGAGATGAAGGAAAAGATGTTGTGCTCGTGCTCGCGTTCAAAGTCGGGGAAGCGTTGGCCTGCTGCGAGTGCTTTGCGGTATTCGTCCTTGTACTTTGGCGTGTGCGACTTGGGACATGGACCGAGATCCACTTTGGTATTGGCGAAGAGGTCGTGTGGGCAGGTACCGCAGAGGAAGTTGCGGCATACCTTGGGATCGGTGAAGTGTAGATTCGCACTTGGCGCACCCATCGCCTCCGGACCCATCAGCTTCGTGAGCAGCATGCGCTGCACCTCAGCCTTTCGACCCATCGTGTTGACTTTGCTTCAGCTGTGAGTCGGACTCGACAGACACGCTTCCGATGGCGAATGTCGTGGCAAGCGAGGATGTTTGACCGCACCTGGCAATGTGAGCAATGAAGGAGATATCTCGATTTGGAACCTCGGTAAGACCCTAACGACATCTTCCAGGTCTAGCAGACGCGAGGCATTGTGATCTCTGCCCCTGAAAATTTGGATCGGGAGATCCCGATATCAACGCGACCCTGAGCTGTCATGGTCGTCAAGTACAGATGTCAAAGCTCATAAGAAGGCTGCTCCTCAACGAAGTTGCGCATAGCTGCGCGTAGCTGCGCTCAAGCTTGCGTTTGATTGTCAGCCGCACAATGACACCATTTTAGCCATTGAGAGCACGGCCGAGATCGAGCGGACTACAGGGTCGAAAATGACAAGATTGGTGGTGCTATTCAGCAATCCTTCACTGGCCAAGCTCTAAGTTGCTTCCCATGACGGAGCGGAGTAAATTTGTCGACACTTACGAGGCACTGAGAAAGGGGGCATGCCATACGAAAGGGCGAGGCTTCCCAGGATCTTGATGCGGGAATGATTATGGCTAATTCGAGTAGCTTCCGCATCCGCATCCGCACAGGTGAGCGACTGAGCTTCGTTCGAGAAGGCTAGAAAGGGTTATATACCGCAACTTTCGAGTGTACTGGCCTCTGCCCCTCAACCGTCAACACTTCCTTCCTTCCTAATTACCTCATCTTCCTCGAAACCCCTCCTCCGCTTCAGATCAACGTCCCTGTCCAGCGTCTCGGTTCTCCTCGACAAGGTAAAGCTCTTACGTCGGCCATGGCTCTTCTGTGTCGACGTCGCCATGGATCCGACGCCAGTCTCTACCATTGGTGGAAACGGCTCTGACGGCCCACACCGACCTACCTTGAGCCATACTTCGATCGACTCGCCATCCACCAAGCTAGTTGAAGTACAAAGCGTGCACGAAGTCTCCGAAACAAGCTACGGATTCTTCAAATCCTGTGCCGAAAGGCTTCGCTTCTTCATAAGCACCGAGCACATCCTTGATGCTGAGAATCGAGGTGGGACTAAAACAATCGCAGTCAATCTTGCAATTCCTGAGGAGTGGGTTCCTATCAGCATTTACGAGATCAAGGAAAATTTCGAGGGCTTTCGAGCCTTCTCTTGCTCCCCGTCGAAACACGCAGAGAGAGTTCACGCATTCTTGAACGACTGTGAGAGTCAGCGGAGATCGGCACTCGAGGCTGATGAATGCCTAGGCGAAGGCAAATGCTTTGATCCTTACGCCACACCTGACCACCTTGGCGGTGTCCCTTGTTTCCCCAGCGCCGAAGACTGTCTTCATCCTTCTCACCGCTCAGTGGCTCGACTCGAAGATCCTTCAAAGCCAAGCATGGCGCAGTTCCGTCTAATGCTGTACCAGCAGCGCCACCAGCTAGATGTCGATATGGCAAGTTTTGCAGACAAGCCCGACATGGCGCCCTTCTTCATCTTGAGCGCTTCGCATCTGGACTGGACGCATCTCGACGTGGGAACGCCGGAAAATGTGTCTGTCCCTAGGTACTTCCCCATCGTGCCTTTCAAGGACCTGCAGCTCACCCCTCGCCAGAGTTTCGTCAACATTGTTGGATGTGTCGAACACATCGGTGTTCTATCTCGTCCAAAAGGCACTGCAGAGCCCTACTGGGCAATGGTGTTGAATGACGGTAGCCGCAGTCTCGTTGTCAAAATCTTTCCACGTCGTGGATCCCAGCATGCGATTGGTAGCCAGCTCCCAACGCTTTGCACGGGCGACTTCGTTCTCGCTCTCAACGTGAGTCCCTACCATCCGGACATGCTTGCGTACGACGAGTCCTCTATCTTCATCGCAAAAAGACGCAGGGACGGTTACGACTTGCTCGAAACGATTCGCACAGCCGAACGTCCCGCTGGCGAGAGCCAGACATGATGGAGCGAGCGAAGGACCGTAAAGCCATTTCGGATCAAGCAGATGGCTCAGCCACCGGTCCTGTCTATATCATCACCGCGCAAACCTCCGCACGCTGTACAGGATAGCCTTCAATGCGTCTCGACCAAACGAACCCGCCCGTACATCAAAGTTTTCCATCCAAAGGCTCCTTTCGAGGCTACCAAGAGTTCCACAACAAGATTCGAGAAAGATGGCCATACAAAAGAAAATGCCAATTAGCAGGTCTTGTCTCCATGCTTCAGCCCACATACTCGTCAACAGCTTTCCGAAAACGTGCTCGTCAACTGATCTCGTCGAGGCTCTTCAACAAAATGGCTACGCAAAAAAGACTTGTATCAGAATCAGTTCAAGAAAAATCTTCGAAATCGGCGCCTGTCTTCCATGACCCCGACTCCTGTGTAGCGCCCTGCGGCATCGCTCCTGTATCACATCATCTGTCCTCATCTCGTCGTTCAAATGCCAAAATCAAAGTGTTTCTGATCGCGTTCTCACCCTCGTCCTTGTTGTGTGAAGCTGATTTGAACTTTCTACTGAAACTATTTGACATGATACAAAGCTGCGGACAAACCCATTGCTCATGCAGCAGCGATGGCACTCGGCAACGCCAACCTGATCTCTGGCGTTCCCGTACCCGAGCTCACCGGCCTACCCACCACCAACCTACTCGAGGGAGTCTTCAACGTGTCCACCTCACCATGCAACGCCGACCCACCGATAAACGCCATGGTCATCTCGAACGATGCCTTCAACAACGTCGACGACGATTCCGCGATACCGGACCTGTTGAACGGTCTGAATCCACCTGCCGCCGTCTGGTAGTCGGCAATGAGGAACAGGTGACGCGGCGATACAGCGATACCGTACGTGTCGAAGATGCCTCGCATCTCGGCAACGATGGCTGCACGTGCAGCTTCAACACCGTACGTGTGGAGGACAGCACCGATGTCGTTGGTGTAGAGGTTGTCGAGATCCACCACTCCGAAACCAAAGTCCCACAGATCGCGGAAGTTGATACCTTCGGCCGTGAGGGAGACTCCCGTCTCGCCGGCTTTGGGAGGCGGCTTCATGACGCGAGCGATGTTGGGGATCTCGTGGATGACCGACTGTCGACAGACGCGTTCGACGATGTTGATCAGCAGCAGCTTCTGCGACTGCGTTGCGAGGGTGAGGTCGAACTCGGCCCATCGTGCTTTGACGTCGTCGAAGCGGAAGGCGTTGATGTACTTGGAGTTTTCCTGCAGCGCCTTTTCGAGCGCAGAGGTCTGCTCGGCCCACTCCTCGTTGATCGAGCCATCGTCGGATGAGCTGTCATCGGACTCGACGTCCATCGCTTCGGACGAGCGCTTCTTGCTACGCCCGTTGGAGGAGAATGCCGCCTCAATGTCCTCGGTCGTGGAAGGTCGGCCCATGTCTTCGTCATCACCTTCCTCGTAGGAAGCGTGAGCGGCAGACTTTTGCTTCCTCTTGGCATCATCGGCATCGCCATCACCAACATCCGACGATGCATCCTCCTCATCGTCCGAATCAGCATCGTTGCCTCGAGATTGCGTCTGGTTGCGGCCATTGACACCGTTGGCACGCTCTCCGTCTTCGTCCGCGTTCCCACCAGCCGGAGCGTTATCAGAGAACACCTGGCCCTTACCGATGGCGGCGGCCTGCAGCGCGTGCTCTCGCTTCTGCTTGCGCATCTCGTTGTTGATGCTGTTCTCCAAGTTGGGCGCAAACGTCTCCTGCAGACCACGCAGGATGTGCGAGGTGGTGCAGTTGTACTCCTCGCTGCATTCGTCGGCAGGGTAGAAGTTGAGACGCACCGTGTAGGTCTTTTGGCGGTGGAAGCCGGTCTCCTCGGACTTGGGCGAGATCTTCTCCGTGACGATCGCCTCGTCGACGACCTGACTGAGCACGAGTCGCGAGCCGTCCTTGCAGAACATCTTGATCTGCTCGGGGGTGATACCTTCCAGAACAGGAAGACGCATGATGGGCGTCTTGATGTGCTGCGATGCGGTCATGACGATCTCACGCAGACGCGGGATACCTAGCGTCACATTGGCGGCACCGTGACCGGCGAAGTGGAAGGTATTGAGCGTCATCTGGGTCGAAGGCTCACCGACACCCTGGGCGGCAAGCAGACCCACCGCTTCACCCGGGTCGACGAGGCCGCGGTGGTAGAGCACCTTGCACATGGCGCGGAAGGCCTCGACACCGAGCTTCTCCTTGGCAAAGCGAAGCTTCTCCACGGCAACCGTCTCGTCTTGGGCGGCTTCGGACTTGCGCTTCTTGCTCTTCTTCTTCTTGTCGGCGAGAAGCTTGTTCGGGTTCTTCTCGATGTACGCCTCGATCGCCTTTGCGTACTTCTCGGACATGGAACCGAAGTGCGTCGAGGGTGTGTAGACGCTGAGAACAGGGTCATACTTGTGCGGCTTCTTGAGCGCCTTCTTCATGTGCTCGGCGGCGAGCTCAGCTTCGACGACTTCGCCGAGCTGCTTAGGGTCGTAGCGCTTGTTGTAGTTTTCGAAGTTGGCGGCGGTGAAGTCAAACTGGCCGATGTACTTGCTCTTGGTGGTGTCGAGAGCATCCTCGCCGTAGTTGAACTGCAGGATCGAGCCGTCGGCATTGCGAACCGTGTTGTCGTACTGGATGTGGACACCTTCGAGATGCTTAATGAGACAACGCTGCAGGTAACCGGAACGCGATGTCTTGACGGCAGTGTCGATCAGACCTTCACGGCCAGCCATGCAGTGGAAGAAGTACTCCTGAGGTCGGATACCGGTCAAGAAACGACCGCTGACGAACCCACCGGCTCGAGCCGAAGTCTCAAATGGACGGAAAGAGGGAAGCGACTTTCCACTTACCATGAGCGGAACACGCCTACCTTCCAACGCCTGTTGTCCAAGCAAGCACGAAATCGACGACACGTTGACGGGGGTACCCTTGGCACCGGATCCAGTCATCATCTGCATGTTGTTCTCCGGGAACTTCTTGTAGAGACCCGCAGGCAGGCACGCTTCGATGATCTTGTTGCCGATGGCGTTGGAGGAGCTCATCATCTCACCGTCGAGGACGGCGAGCTTGTCGTCGTCGCGGAGAACCTCCTCAAGACGGATACGAAGATTCCTGTCAGTGTCGGGGTCATTCTCGTCCTCGCCTTCAAGACCGACGGTCTTCATCGCAACGCCCTTGCCTTGGTTCTTTGAAGCGTCGAGCGTGGTTCGTCGCCATTCGTCACCTTCCTTGCTCAGCAGCAGATCGTCCATTCGACACGAGAAGGCGTTCGTCTGGAGGAATTTGGTGAAGAGACGCGAGAGGATGCTGAGGAGCTTGCCGGCGGTCTCAGAGCCGTAGATCTCAAAGATGGCGTGTACGAGGCCGAAGGATGAAGCACCAAAGGCGGCCTTGTCTAGAACTCCTTGGAGCAGCTCGCCATCTTCGATGATGACCGTCTCTTCGCTAGCGTGGTCTTTGCCCCACATGCGACCGGCCACCTTGGCTTTCGAGGTGAGGTTGAGGCCGTCTGCTTTGGTGGGCTTGACGTTGAGGAGCACGGTCGAGATGACCTGCTTGCCGGTCCAGAGCGGCTCTGGCTTGCGAAGGGCAGGCGGCACGGTGAGCACGCGGCCGCCGCCGGTGTACTTGCCTTCGGGCCGCAAAGCACCATAAAGGATCTGCTGGTACTCTGCACGCGTGTAGAGCGTGTTCTTGGACGTCATCCACACACCAGCAACGACGTGATCCTGGATGAGACCGCGCAGCGGGTTACCGCTGGTTGGCGTGAGGTACTGGTTGTCGGTGTTGGCGACGTAGTAGCATTCGGCACGAGCCGCCTGCGATTGCGGGAAATGCATGTTCATCTCGTCACCGTCAAAGTCGGCGTTGTACGAGTTGCAGTTGGCGTAGTGCATTCGAATGGTCTTTTCGCCGACAAGCACACGAGCCTTGTGGGCCATCATGGAAGGTCGATGCAACGTCGGCTGTCGGTTGAGCAACAGGATATCGCCGTCGCGCAAGTGACGGAGCACCTGCTTGTTGGCGATTGGCGTGCGAGTCGAGCTGCCGAGGCCGGCAAAGGTGCCACGAGCCTGTTTGGAAGAATGCTCCTGCGGTGTCAGCAGCTGATTGGCGAGTGCCGTCCTCTCTTCGACGCTGAGCTTGTCGAGCTGCGTCTCGGTGCCGTCTTCGCTGCGAATAGCGACGGCACCGGGGTACTTGAAGGGCCCGTTGATGACGAGCTGTCGCATCAGCTGGACGTTGTGCACAGTTACCGGCTCAGGGTAGGTGAGCTTGCGCGCAAAGACGGGCGGGACACCGATCTCGTTGGTCTCGATATTAACGTCGGGTGAAATGACGGAACGAGCGGCAAAGTTGACACGTTTGCCCATCATGTGCTTTCGGAAGAGACCCTCCTTCTTCTCGAGACCCTGCTTGACACCGGGCGGCGGCAGCTGACCTTGACGCAGGGGCATGGGGTTCTTGCTGGCATCGATGAAGGAGTTGACATCGACTTGGAGCTGCATCATCGAGTTGAGCACTTTGCGACGGGTATCCTCGCGACCCTTGATGAGTAGCGCCTCGGCTGCTCGGTAGTCAGCCTCGGAAGCGTCGGGACCGAGCTCTGGGAAGTCTTTCTTGGACACGAGTCGCGCCAGCTCGGTGATCTGGTCTCGAATGGCGAAGGTGGTCTTGAGCACGTTGGTGAGCAATTCGTTTTGAGAGTTTTCGAAGGTCATGTCGCCCATGATACTGGCTGGACGGAAGCGTGTTGGCGGCACAGCAAGCACGCTGACGAAGAAGCTGTCGGCGCTGGCGCCGTTGGGCGTGGACCAGAGGGAGGAGCCGACTTTTGCCTTGACCTTGTTCTCCGAGTTGCCGAGTCGGAACGGTCCGTTGCGGCCAAAGATGAGCGAGCAGAGGGGACCCTCGTTGTTGAAGAGGAGGCGAAGATGCGCTTGACACTCGACGGCAGGCATGACACGGTAGCCAGCCTCCTTGGGGGCATTCTCAGCAGAGATGGCCTGGGACGCGATGCCCGAGTCGTCTTCGGCATCCGTGGAAGCAGAGGTAGATGCGGCGGAAGAGGCAAGGCGACGTTCGATGGCGGCTACTCGCTTGACGGGCGAGACGCGCAGGTATCCCTTTTGTTCGTTGGAGGCGATCTCGTTGGGGAGAGGAGCCTTCTCCATGATCTTGAGGAAACCGTCGCGACGCACGTTGGGGCTGATGGCGTTGCACTGGCCACAGCGCTTCTTGTGAATGTCCTTCATGAAGTCGTTGATGCACTTCTTGCGGGCGGTGTAGGCGAGACTGCCGGACTCGGGCTCAACCTGAGCCTTACCGCTTGCCTTGGCCGCTTTGATGAGCTCCTTGACTTGCTTGTTGATGCGCTCGGCAAACTCGGCGGGGGTCTCGCCCTGGAAGCCCTTGGGCCTGGAACTGCTGGGCTTGGACTTTTTGGAACCCTCATCGGCGTCTTTGTCTTCGTCTGCGCTCTCGAGATCTTCGTCGTTGAGATCAGTGAGCTTGGTATGTGAGCGCGGCTCCTCGCTTTCAATGTTCTCTGCATCGTCTACGAGACCGTATTCGAGCAGTCTCAAGCGACCAATGACCTTGGTGAGGACGACGAGCGTGGCGCGGAATCGGTGGCAGTAGAAGCAGGTGCCTCTCAAGAGATTGAACATGTTTCCCATGAAAAGCGGGTGGAAGACGGGCGAAGGCAATTCGATGTGCCCAAAGTGACCTGGACACTGGAAAGAGTTGAGGTGACATGTGGAGCAAATGTCGTTGGGGCGCATGGGCCCGAGGGCTGGATCGTAGAGACCGCCGGCATTGGGATGGTTGGTGGTGTCGAGCAGAACGGGGTTGATGATCTGCTTGACCGAGATTCTGCGGATATCCTCGGCGGTGAGGAAGGAGAAGGACGCCGAGGAGATGGTCGAGGTGATGGGCTTCTTGATGTCCATGGTGGACTAGGATGCCAGGGTGCGGCCCCTGGAGCACCTCGGATGCTAAACGTCCACCTCGCTCGCTATGCGGGATGCAAAGCGACCTCTCTATGAAGCGTTGGGGATGCGAAGCCCTGTGAATGTCTCACTGGCAGAGATGGGTAGAGGATGGTGTCGAGGGCGAGGTGATAGCTGCGCAGCGGAACGGAACAACGATCCTGAAAAAGACGATGGCTCAGCGCAGCAATACAGTTTCGCCCGTTGAAATTTTTCTCCGTCTGCGAACAAATCCAATTTCGCGTTTCTTCCAAAAAAATGCAACCGCAACCGACAGGGAGAAAAAAAATCCATCTTGCAGCATGGCTCACAATTATGAAATATCGACTAATCATGACCACTAGACTAATTTTGTGAGATGTACAAAACTTAACATAAAAAGATTTTCTTGGCGCTCGTCTCCTCCTGTCTGGCCAGCCATACGATTGACAACTGGGACCGGCATGGGTTCGCTCACTTCGCCGCTGTCCGACATCCTTTGGAGATTGCCCGGTGGCGGCACCCGGATCTTGTCAGTCGGATCATGCTCGATCCAGCAATATGGCAGCGCTCTGTTGCTCAAGACCTACGGCAAGCTCACTTGCACAGCGCGCACATGATGTTTTCGTGACAGATGGATGTAGGGGAAAGGTCGATATTAAAGGCGGTTTGTCGTACACGAACGCTCAGAAGAGAGCTTAACAAACTGGGTATGTCGGTGCAAAGAAGACAAAGGAAGAGCCCGTTTCGGGAACATAGATAAATCTCGCCCAAGAGAACGGAGCGGTAGAAGTGGAGAACATGAGGGGCTTGCTTGCACTGATCGAGGAGATCAGGTTCGGCACTTGCCCCTGGCGAATGTTGCGGGTATCAGTCTCTAGCATTCAACTAGGGAGACGATCTTACTGGGTGACGTTGTGCATCTGGGTGGCAGGCGCGGGGTGGAGCACGTTGGCACCAGTGGTGTCAGAGCCCACAGTGTTGCCGTTGACACCAGCACCGTTGACGCCGTTGCCGGCAACACCGGCCTCGCCAGCCTTGCCGCTTTCCATGGAGCGGAAGTGGTTGGCAGAGAGGTCCTCGTAGTCCGAGAACTTGCCGCTCTTGAGGTGCAGCGAAGAGTAGTTGCATCGTCGCAGCGAGAACAGGTGGAACAGAGCGAAGACGGGCTTGGCAAGCAAGTCGAGCACACCGTAGAAGACCATCTCGCCGTCGGGGGAGATGACATTGCCGCCGTCTGCGAGACCCCAGGCAACGGGGTAGAGGGTCCACAGAATCGTAAGCACGAGCGACGAGTAGAGGTAGGCCTTCTTGAAGTCGTCGCCGAGGTGCGAGGCCGACTTGAGACCGGGGCCGTAGATGACCCAGAAGACGTAGAACATGGCAACGCAGCCCATGGTGTAGAAGCCCCACTTGTAGGTCGACTCAACGAGCGAGCCGATCAGACCGGTGATGATCATGACAAGGTCGAAGAAGATGGTGATGAAAACGGTGGAGAGGGGAAGACCCGAGACGAGCAGGATCTCGAGAAGAAGGAGAGGAGTGGTGATGGTCCAGTCGATGTAACGGGCGTACCAGATCGAACGGGTGGGACGTTGACCGTCAACCAGAGCAGGGCCGTAGTTGTTGAACTCGACACGGACGGGGGTGGCACCGAGGTCCGAGGCCATCGAGAAGTAGGCGACGGAAGCGGTAGCAAGAATGGCAGCCGAGAGGTAGTGGAAGGCACGCTCACCGCGCGAAACCTTGAGCGACCACACCATGGTGAGCAGGCCGGTCGTGGCCATGACCGAGAAGACGGCCCACAGCCAGTCGGAACCGTGGGTGGTGATGTCGATGTCAGCGACGGTGGGGTTGGAGCTGAGGGCCATGTTGCCCGCTCGCTTGAGCAGCTGTGGTGCGGCGTTCATGTTGAGAAGCTCGACGGTCGGAGGAGGGCGAGATGGTTACTGGAGGAGAACGATAGGGGAGGCGGAAAGGATGATGACCAGCGGACTCGCTTTCTTATATGGCGAAACAGCGAGCGAGGTCTACCGGCTGAGCACAATGGGACCAGCAGGACCGTGAAGAGCTGAGCGGAATCTGCACAGACGATCTGCCCTGGCGCACTGTGAACCAGGGATTCAACTGTAGGATTGCATCACGACGTAATCAGGCCTCGAGAAGTTCTGTCATTCCATCCGCCGGACGAGCCGGGAACAGGATTGCGGCGCAGGCGGTACTCTTGGATGACAGATACCGTCATTGTGGAGAGAGTTCAGCCATGTTAGCAGCGTATCAGGCATGATGAAGGAAATCTACGCAAACCATCAGCCTTTGAGCTTTCTCAAAAAGGCCAGTTCGATGACCGACCGCATGTACCAATTAGGCAGGGCCGTCGGCCTGACAGAGGCCGCGGGAGTACGATGCAGGATGGGAATGACAGCACGGAGGGTCGAGTTCAACCTTTGCAAGGCATCGCGGAATGAGGGATGGGAAGGCATAACGTCATTCAATCGAATTCGATTCCTCTGAGCGTCACGAGGAGAGATGGGTAGCGAGGGCGACAAGGGTCCAGGATAGGTCCGTTGATCGAGCCTCCAGTCTGTAGCAGCGTTCAAGATCGGAGGAGAAATTGACGGGTGAGAAGCGGCATGGTCGCAACCAAAAGGAATGCCGGAGGCGAGACAGACGAGACTTTGCCTCATGATCGCCGCTCGAAGAATGCTTTGTGCGACATGGGCCGTTCCCCCTAGGCTGCTCCACCAAGGGCCGCAACAGCAATCATCACGCGTCATGGCGAACCAAAACCCTGACGTGAGCCCTGAAGCCCTTGGACCGCTCGATCCCGCTGGATTCGGCAAAACAGCCGCTCTTTTGATTATTATGATTTTGGTTTTTTTTTGGTCTCGTCCCGTCATCCATTTGATTGTCTATTCTCCGTCCACGCCGGGCACAGTCTATTTATCCTGGAGGCTCGCTGGTCGAAACTTGTACTCCAGCCGACGGCGCTGTCATCGCATGTGTTGAGTGTCGACCCGTCGAGCAGCTGAATACGGGACTGCAGCTCCAGCTTCCGCAAGGTACGAAGGTTGGCCGGGAAGAGGGGAAGCGATAACCACGGTAGCTCGGGTAGATTCGGACGACTTGCGATTCTGGCGGTTAATCTTGCCTCGACGGTATAGTACGAACGCGGACATGGTCTCATTGTGGCTGGCAACACCAGATCTGGACGGAATCGATGGAAGAAGAGCTGCGCAGATCGAGGCGACAGATAGCAACCGGCGGCGTCGACGACGACGACATCATCTCGGCGCCGCTATCCGCTGACCCGGCATTTCGTGCGGCGAAGATTTCTCAAACGGCATTCCTTGCGGTCATGGTTTGCTGTTTGTTCGATGCAGATTTCGCTGACTCAAAAATCCTGCAGAGCTGACCGAGCATTCGAATCGACCGCCATTTAGACTTTGCTGTGCTTGCTGACAGTGCAGAGCGAGGGCTTTCCGAGGAGGGTGAGCTTTCTCAAGGAGAATTGATTGGTGCGGAGTTGGAACCTCCAAGATGTTCACACCACACGCTAGTCGAGATAAGCGCTCGCTTCCTCTCATTGTCCCATCGACACCTCTTGCACTGCTGGATCCAGCACCGCACAAATGTCCACTTTAACCACCGATCCGGTCTTGACCACTCAGATGGGTTCGACACGCTGCATTGCATGTAGACGGCATGAGCCTCGTGGGACTCAGGAGAAGGCATTCGAGCATGACTGCTTGAGACATGGCGAACGCAAATCAGCATGACCATACATGGCCGTGGCCGGATCAGTTCCATGCATGGCACATAGCACATTCTGACTTGAGAGGCTTTTTCGAGAAACGGCAAAAGGATCCCGAATCCGTAAGCGAGCGGAGTCGCGATGTGGAGAGAATTTCAGGCATGGCGACCAAAAAACAATACAAAACCGAAAGGTAGCGACGTCATCGATCCGGCATCAACACGGATCTAACGTAAGCCCGCGGTCTGCAATCCAATTTCAGCCGTCGGGCCATATTTTTTGACCCTGGACAGTGGTCACGAGTCTCTTCTCTACACGATTGTTTGGTATCAAGTTCGCGACAATGCTTCCGACGGAGGGTCCAAGATCGTTCCTCTACGGATGACTGGCCGTGATCCGAAGCATCGGGTTTCTTTGCGATGTCAGATCCGCACAACTTCTCGATTCTTCCCGAGCCTCATATCACCGTTGTTCAAATCCTCATCAGACAGGCACACACTTAGCACGTTTCTTGATCACCATCGTCCCTTGTGATTCCATCAAGGTCCCGGTAATCGCAGATCAACATGCAGCTGAGCCACAATCTGCCTGTAACATGGCTCCTTGTCCGCCGTGATATGACCGTGTCGGATCAAAAAGTCCAGCAGCACCAGCACGCAATTTGCCTTGAACTTGCCTTCGCTCATCTTGGCGTAGATCTCGTCGAGCGTGAGGAGCTCAAAGTGGTCCACCTCGCCATCCTTGGGCTGCAACGTTACCTCGGGCGGTAGCGGCAGGTCGTAGACGTACTCTACCTCGGGTTGGATCCAGCCCTGCTTGGCTGTCTTGTAGCAGTAGCTCAACACGCCTGTCTGCTTGATATGTTTCTCGACGAGCGCTGCTTCGAGGTTGGCTTCTTCCTCGCACTCGCGCACCATGCTCTCCATCGGTAGATCGCCTGCGACGATGCCACCTGCCACCGAGTTGTCGAGGTAGCCAGGCCACGTCGACTTTGTGCTGCTGCGTTGGGGAACCCAGACCTTGAGCTCGCCTGTCGCCGGCTCGATCGTGTACGCTGTCAAGTGCACACCAAACGTGGCAAACCCGAACAGGGCGCATGCTGCACGTTCTAGCTTGAAGGCGATCGGATTGCGCGAACCTGGTCGTGGATTGAGCCCGTGGACAGCATACAGCTCATCGCGCCAACCATCGAGAGGGTCTGGGAAGATCCGCGCTTGACGCCATCGCTGTGCCACTGCATTGAGTCCAGCTGTTCTTGCCTCTGGTGTCGTGAACTCTTTTGTAAAAGTGATAGCCTCGCAGATGCGCGTCGTTGTGGAAGGCGGCACAATCTCTCGGTGGTCCATTGCAAAACGAACTTTGCGAAGCACTGGCGGCGCTCCGGCTCTAACCTGCCCCTCAGAATCATCGATGCATGCTTGGACGACTCTGGCCGGCAGAAAGCCGATCTGAACCCCATCCAGCAAGAATGGGGTGAGACTCGTGTCGAGCCATGGTTCGTGATTGTGACATTGGTGGACGAGATCCAATAGAGAAGGTTCCTGTCCGTCTGCAACCGCACTATCCAAGCGGCGGTCGGGGTCAGCGACCTCGTGGATCAGCTCCGACTCATCTACATCCATGATTCCTGACGAAGTGACCGAAAAGATGACTTCGTTATCCGATTGTTGACTTTTTGCGTCCGATCCCAGCACGAGGTTGGCAATTGAGTCGGACAACGCTTGAGCGATACTGCGATCACGAAGACGCTTTGCTTCAGACGGGATCGCAGAAGAAGAGAGAGCAGTGTTCGCCTCGAAACCTCTCTTGTGGCTGTTGCTGATCTTGACCTTCGAGTTCTGCTTAGAAGATCGCAGTGTATCCGCGCTGCTCTCTGGTGAGAGCAGACGCGAGGAAGCAAGCACCGATTCGGGGAGCCGCTGGCGAAGCTGTACGGCCGAAAAGCTGTCGGAAGGGGCGCGAGTGCCAGCGCTGGCATGCAATGAGGGTGCAAAGAGCTGGGAAGCCGTAGCAAGGATAGATGTGCTCGCGGCTGTGCCTGAACAAGGCAAATGATCGCGCGCAGTTGAGCGGAAAGGTGTCAGAAGGAAAGATCAACACTTCGAAAACAAAGTCGCACAAAGACCCTTCTTTCCCGGCGCTCAAGCCACGTGAGACCATTCCGATCCACTCTAACACCGTCTCAAAATTGCAGTGTCGTACTTACCAGTGTTGCTTCTGCTGTCTTCTGCCTGCGAACGAGGCAGGTCTTCATTTTGAAGTTCCAGCAACGATCTGGTGGCATCCCGAACAGTGTGACAGGCGATGGAAATCGCCTTGAGCTTGGCCATCAACCGCTCGTCGTGCGAGGAAAGAGGATCGAGAAGCGTCGCGCAGATAACCTGCAGGTTGCTCGCCTCGAGACGCACAGCCGGGACTGATTCCGTCTCAACAAGCTTCGACAGAGTCGACTGCAGCGTCATCAATCCTGAGGACAGATGCTTTGCTGTCTGTGCTGGACCGCATAGATTGACCACGAGCGAGATCGCTCGGGCCGTTACGCCAAGGACAGTCTCCCTTGCAGCCGCCGCATCTCGCTGACCACCAGACGCTCTGACGAGGTGGCCAACAAGTCCCGGACTGCCTAGCAGATTGGCGGAAACTAGGTCCACGAAAGCTTCTGCTGCTTGGTCTGCACCCTGCAGGTCGCTGAGACGAAGATCAACTAGAAGACAACAACACAGATAGATGCCTCTTTGATACTTTGCAGGAGATCCCGAGCCGATGATCCGAATCAACAAGCCTCGAAGAAGCTTCAGCCGGTGGACAATTGGCGTATGGTTGAGGCTGATCACTGTCGACATCGCCCATGCGTCCTTCAGGTTGTCCGCAAAAGTCCCAAAAAGATCGACCGCAACGGCACTGATGAGCGACGCTTCTAGAGCGTCCATCGCCTCTTCTGTTGGCACTGCTCCCTCGTCCGTAAGAGCGGCGAACAGGCCCACTTCGACGAGACGCTGTGCCGTGGCCACCAAAGCCACGTCTCTCTGAGCAGGGCGAAAGTTTTCGTCATCCTTCGGTCTAATGGACATGGCTTCGTCCACAGCGCCTTGAAGCTGTGAGCGCAAGAGGGCGGTCAGACTGGGATCCACCTGGTGAAGCAGTCTCAATCCGCGTTTGCGGATGGATGCATCAGGGTCGCCGAGTAGCGCCATCAGTTGACCCATCTCGGCCTCGGCGATATGCAATGGCGAGGCTTGCTCTGCATCTGCAGCAGTGGCTTGCGCCCATCCGAGGGGAAGAAGCGCACTCAAGAGTCCGATTCCCGCAATCTTGCGATTTGGATTCGTGCTGTGCAGCTGAGACTTGACGTGTGTCGACAGGTTGGCCCACGTTGATGCCAGTTCACCTTCGCCTTTGCCTTCCGAATTCGACGGGCTAGCGTGTACTTGGTAGAGAGACCCGAGGCACCGAGCTGCGGCGATACACAAAGCAAGTGCCGCTGCCTTGCCTTGAGAAGCTGAGTCGTAGATGCGAAGTACTGTGTGGAGCAGCCCCTTCTTCGTCGTGTGGTCCAACTGCGGGGTCGATCGCTCGCTCAAGCTCGCCATACTGTTGCTCAGAGTTGACAAGCATGCCTCGACAAGCCAAGGCGCGTATGCACCATGGTAGGTGTGATTCTCCTGCAAGGACGGCCTTTGTCGGGCTGCATTGCGCGCACGTAGACCCTCAGTCCGGGCTGCCACTGATGGTGCGAGATCTTGCGGCTGGATAGAAGTCACTTCAAGGTGCATCGGCGCCCATCTGATCGCCTGAAGTGTTTCGATGACGAGGCACGCCGCCTCTTGAGCCGATATCAAATCAGTAGCGCGGGCGTGTTCCACGATCTTGATGCACGTGCGAAGCACGTCAGGGCTGGAGTCGACTCGTCTCTCCATCTCAGCCAGGATCATCCCTTGGCTCTCTTCTGGAGTCGAAGCTGCAGAAAGGGCATACGTCGAAGCCAAGGTCAGGCGAACGATCGTGAGGGCTGCTTCGAGCATTTCTGCCTGACCATCGCTGTCCGATGCGTCGCTCACGGTGACCGATGCGCACGAGAGCATTGCATGGAGTGTCATCGACCGGATGGACGAGTCAGGATGCCGGCTTAGCGCGACCAGCGTTGAAGCAAGAGAAGGCAACACGGAAGAGCCTCGCGGAGTTCCCATGACGAGAGACTTGAGCGAAGCTAGAGCTGCGTTGTGAATGCTGCTCGAAGCGCCGCTTCGTTGACGAGAGCGCGATGCTGACGGCGAGACCGATCGGGTCTGAGAGGAGCCCCGTGCTTTTCGACGCGATTCGATCAGAGCAGTATGCTCAGAAGCAGCCGAGAGACTGGCTCGGAACGTGTTGAGAAGCAGCAATGATGAAGAATCATCAGGTGCAGATCTTGTGTCTTGAGATGAGCTGGATGCTGCAGGAGAAGAGAGGACCCCCACGTCTCGAGACTGGGCTTCTTTGCCGTGGGCAGGGAGGAGGAACGGAAGAAGCTGATGCGCTATGAGCAGATGTTTCCAGCTTTTCGCCAAGCCCAACAGCTGCAGTGTTGGTAACAGTGCAAAGCTGGCATCGATCTGTGGAGCGACGTCGGTCAGAGAAGCGGCTGAACTTGGGTAGTGGTGAAGGCAGTGGAGCAAGGTGACGAGCGCCGATGTGAGCTTGGCCAAGTCACCGGAGAAAGAGCGAGAAGCAAGCTGCTTGCGGATGTGGTCTACTGTCTCGATGATCGCTTGGTCGTGGTGACGAGCTGAGCTTGCTTCTTCGAGCTGCTTTGCTAGCTTGAAGTGGAGCCGAGAGGTGCCGCTCTCCAGCAATGTGAACGAGTCTGTGGACCGTGACATGACTGCAGCACAGGGGTCATCCACAGCTCTTGCGGGTGACTTTTCAGGAGGCTGGACTTCTTCATTCGATTGCTGCGAAGGTGCTGCGGAAAGTCAAATGATTAGCTGGATGGATGTACAAAGTCAAGAGGCTGGATCCATGCACGAACAAGGCTGCATTGTGTACCAATTCAGGGTCCACTTTGTCCAACGCAGGCCATGCGGGGAGGTGAATTACACAGCATTAGTCATACATGAATGCCTCGCCCGTATTCTCGGTTGGACTGCATATCCGCGTCCGAAGTTGCCTGCGGCTCAATACTGTCCGGAGTCTTCCATCTTCGACACGATCGCTCTCACCTCGCAATTCCTCCTTCCGAACACATCACTGGGACCGACTGGAAGAGGCATGCGCATACGATACCACCCTGCCGCTCTTCGTTTTTCCTTTCGCATTATCTCGAGATCAGTCGCACAAACTTCACTGGGACCCTTTCTGTCCACGAGACTTTTCTTCCACGTTTCAATCCCAAGAAACGCTGCCAAGATGGTGCCCGACACTGACTTCTCCGTGGCGCTGACAAAGCCCCTCGAGGTCGTGCAAAGCATCTACAACGATGCAGCGGACAAGTCCCCCTCGAACATTACCAAACTCGTAGAGACCCACTTTCGTCAACTCTTTGCTTCGCCGGATGCAAGCGCCAAGATCCCTTCGCTGTCGCCGGGCAACATCGACACGTTGCTGCCAGCTCCGAGCTCTGCTGCAGCAACCTCGCATCGGCTGGTACGCTTCCGCGCAATGATCCAAGATACTGGTCTCGGAACAGAAGTGTTCCTCGCAAAGCATCAGCAAGGCGATAGCACATTCACTGGCCTCTATGGCGGCGAAGCCAGCATCTCGAGCTCGAATGACTCCTCTTTGACCGATACGAACGAGCTGGACCACCAGAACCTGGCCGAAAGGACAGTCATGTATGCCGTCTCGGTACCTGGTCAGTCAGCGTGGGCAGCACAAGCGCATAGAGAAGCCGTCGCTGGACAGACTTCGAACTCCTCCGTCGACCAATTGGCTCGTGACACTTCGACCGTCTCTCTCAAAGATCCGGAGTCGCCCAAGAAGATTCAAGAGGTCCGCGAGCGTATCCGCAAAGCAGTCGAGCAGGGCAAGAAGATCGGCTCAGCAGGCAAGGAGCCACGTTTGGTAGCCATCTCCAAGCTTCATCCGCCTTCCGCGATCCTTGCTGCGCACAAGCAAGCTGAACAGCTCCACTTTGGCGAGAACTACGTGCAGGAGATGGTCGACAAGGCCAAGGTTCTGCCCAGAGAGATCCGTTGGCACTTTGTCGGCGGTCTGCAGAGTAACAAGGGTAAGCTGTTGGCCTCGATCCCCAACCTGTATCTGCTCGAAACGCTCGACTCGATCAAGGCTGCCAACGTCCTCCAGAAGGCCCTTGCGTCGCCTGATGCTGCAAAACGCGACGAGCCGTTGCGCGTCTATCTCCAGGTCAACACCAGCGGAGAGGACGCAAAAAGCGGCCTCCCTCCCATCCTGTCCGCTGATGCCGAGGCAGCCAAGGACTGTCAACTGCTCGAGCTGGCTGTGCACGTTATTACAAAGTGCCCGAACTTGCGTCTGCGAGGTGTTATGACCATCGGTGCAGCCGCTAACAGCTCTAGCGCGGATGCTGAAGCAGCCAAGAGTGTCGATGAAATCGTCTCTGCCAACCCAGACTTCGAAAGGCTCATCCAGACCCGCCTCAATCTGATCAAGCTTCTCCGCGAAAGTGAGCACGTCACGAATGCGGACGAGTCGCACACCAAGGAGGCATACGCAGACCTCTTGGACGGTGGTGACGCATCTGGCGGTCTGGAGCTCAGCATGGGCATGTCGGCTGACATGGACGTAGCTACTATGGCAGGAAGTGACAATGTTCGTGTTGGTACGGACTGCTTCGGACGACGCCCTGGCTCAAGGGAGGAAGCCATGAACATGATGAAGCGCGAGCTCGAAGTTGGGCCTGAGGCTGCTGCTGCCGAATCGCCGAGCCACGAGGGTTCGCAGGATCAATCCGCGTTGAAAACCTCCAGCGTGCCGCAAGCGTACCTCGCCAAGTCGCCGCTTCCCGAGTCTGCCCACGTTGGCGGACTGATCAAGCTGTACGACCTGGACGCAGCAGAGAAGTTCAAAACGACAGAGCTCATCGAAGTGGTCGGGATTTTCGACACTGCTGGACTCCCGCAAGCCGAGTGGCAAGATACCGGCTCTGCTGCTGGCACGTCGTCGGAGCCAGCGCAGGTCCCTTGTGTTCACGCCATCTGTGCGGCTCCCGCAGAGCTCGACTCCACGGCACCAGAGGCATCATCGAGTACACGTACCGACTCGAGCGTCCTGTCGCAATCTGCGGAAAGGACGGCCTTGATCGAGTACCTAGCCGGTGCGCTGAGCGGCGACAAGGTAGCTGCTGAGCTCGTTTTGCTCGCCACGATCGCTCGCATCCACGTGCGCCGTGCAAGCCTCTGCCTTGGCGCTCTCACACTCAACGTCTCGAACTTTGCAGCACCTTCAACCTCTTCGTCAACGTCCCAGACTCAACTGTCTCGTCGACTGGAGCAACTGCTGCCTGCCGTGGTCGATGTCTCGATGGACCTCGCATCGCTCAACGACGACAAGAAGCCGCTGTATCCCAAGAGCGGCGGCGGAGGAACAGGACTCGAAGCGGGCCGACTACAGCTGGTGAACGGAACAACCATTGTCGTCAACGAGGGCGCAATGGGTGAAGGACAGCTCAAAGACACGGGCATCCGTAACATCAAAGCGCTTTCATCGGTGCTCGAGTCGCACAAACTACCATACGCCTTCCCCTACTCCGAATTTGAGTTCGACACGGACCTCAACTCGATCATCCTCAGTCAAGGCAAGAGCTTCCTGCCATTCGACATCCAATGTCCTCTCGAGCCAGTCGATCACTCGACCGATGCCTACTCGGAATCTCTCCCTCAGGTCGACGAGTCGCAAGTGCGAGGATGGAGGAGAGCTCTTTCGCACGCTCGAAGTCTCGCAACCGCCAAGGCGTTCGAGATTCCGGAGAGCGTCAGCGAGCACATTCAACAAGAGTTTGTCGCAGAGAGGAAAAGGGAGCAGGAGGAAGCGAAGGACTCTCACGGCGGTGCAGGAGGCAAAGCGGAAGGTGTGTTGGGTCAGGAGGATCTGTTGCGAAGAATGGCGCTCGTTCGACTGCTTGCCTTGTCCTACGGCGAGAAGGCGTTGAGCATCGACATGTGGAAGAAGGCTGTCGAGCTGGACAAGGTCTTGGCCCAGCGTGTGGCTGCTACGCAATCAGGGCAGCAGCGTTCCCAGCCTGCTTCTGCTGCCAGCTCTGGCTCTGCTGGTGTCTCTCGCTGAGGATCAAGTTCAAGTCAAGAGCCATTTCGAAATCAACTTCGCCATGCCACCGTTACACACAGAACATGTTTGTGGCATTTGCTTTTGTTTGTTTGCGAATGACTGTGTTGTACAAATACGATGCTACGCCTCTCTACTGCGGCGCAGAAGAGTTGAACTTGGCTTTGGAAAAGTCGATATCGGGATTGGCAGCCGCCAGCTTTGCCAACATCTCCTGCTGTTGCATCTGATCCGACGTTGGCTTGTTCATTGCCTTTTGGCGGTTGTCGAACATCATCTTCTCCACCATCGCTCTGGTCTCTGGATCCAAGTCGCTCAGCTTTGAGTTTTCTGGTACGATCTTGGTGGTGTCGATCTTGGGGTGGTGAGCGACAACATTGGGCCACCATTCGTTCTTGTTCATCTTCTCTAGTTGAATCTCGACCATGCTTCCATCTTCGATCGTCCACGTGCTGTCCTCTTCCTTGATGTCCTTGGCAAGCTCGCCCTCGAGGATGGCGTCTTTGCCCTTGAGCGCCACCTTGATTTTGCGCTTCTTGAGCTCGACGATGAGATCTCGACCCTTGGTGCCTTGCGGGACGGGGACAGAGATTTCGACAATGTCGAGTTGCTGCTTCCAGGTGTAGGGGAGTGCGGCTTGTTCGGCAGCTTCGCGAGCACGTTCCGCTGCGTCGTGCTGCTTTTGCTGCTCGGGTGAGAGCGCTTCGTACTCTTCTGGTGTCATTGCTGTGGGTGGATTGCGTAGTAGAGGAAGGAAGACGCTGTGCTGTGCAAGAAGAACTTCGAGACTTGTCTGCGCAATGCTCCACACTTTGCACTTTTTGAGCCTCCGGGTTCCGCGCTTTTCTCATCGATGTTAGAGTAACTCAGTGTTCGGAGCAGTCTGGAATTTCGGCTATCTCAAGGTCCACACCTCCAAAAAGGCTGGATTCGGGAAGCGTTGTCCTCCTCAATTACCCGATGCTCCAGCCTCGGCCAAAAAAAGGCGGCAGCAGAGCGACGCACGGACGAAGAGAGCGGGCTCACCTCAGCCTGCGTCCTCTGTGCACCGATAGCTGGAAGAGCGCTGCTTTCAGCTGCAGAGTCAGTCAGGCTCGAGTGGGTGTTGGGCTGTCTGTCCCCCCGCAAAGTCGTTTGACCGCTGTAACTCGCTCATCTCCGGTCCGGTCCAACCCTCGCTTTTGGTCAACTCCCACCTTTCCTCCTTGGCTTGATCGCTGACCGGCAACTCGAACTGAGCGTTGATATCATCTTCTGGACATCTTCCGTCGATCTTCACTTTCTTCCTCACCTCACACACACCGCACTGCCCGACCAACACTGCCTAGACCGCGGATTCGTTCGAGCACCAGGGTTCCGTTCATTTGCTTATCGGCTCTTCCGTAGATAGAACATCAGATCGGCCGTCACGCCGTCTACTTCGGCGTAGGTTTCAAGACTCTGACATATCCGTTCGGCTGGTCCGAGAGTGACACTTCACCCTCATCATGTCGCAGAACCCCGTCGACATCCCAGCCAGCCAGGCCAGAGCCGGCGGCGACGCTGCCAACGCAGCTGATCAAAGCGCCATCGACAGCACCGGATCCTCCCCCGTCATGCCTCACGCTTTCGTCCACCATCGTCATCTCAGCGGTGGACCGGGTGTAGGTCCCGGCACCGCATCTCCCGGCAGGTACAGCGCAACCCAAGCGCAGCAGCTCGCTTACAGGATGGCGCAGCAGGAGCAAGCCCAACGCGAAGCCGCCGCTACGAACCAGGCTCAGCAGCAACCAAGTCGAGACGTCTCTCGCTCTGCCTCCGTCCGTAGCTCAGCAAGGAAACTGTCCGGCGGCACTCCGGGATTCTCCACCGCTTCTCCTCGTCATTTCTCGCAGTCGAGGCCCGCACCTTTCCCCCAAGCATCTCAGAGGGAGGCCTTCGATGTTGCCGTAGCCTCGAGCAACCTCGCTTCGAGCTCCGATGGTCTGCAAGCGCTGCTGAGGGACCATCCTGAACTGGTCTCGAGCAGCTTGGCGGCTGCAGCTGGTCCGAATCTGACCAAGACGGGCGCGTTCAGCACCCGTTCTGGCAGCCATGCGGGCAGCAAAACAAACAGCGTTCCCGGAACACCCTTCGAAGGACCCGACCAGCAAGGTCCACTGCTTGCTATGGGCGGTTCGCTTTCCAACTCTTTCCACCAATCCCAAGCTCAAGGTCAAGCTCAACAGCAGCAACAGCAGGTTCAGAACGCTCACGCTTCGCCCGTGCAGGACTACGGCCGTGGCCGGATCCTCAAAGATGCTCCCGAGGTGGGCGAAGGCGGTCCCTCTGGTGGACAGAGCGGTCTCGGCGCTGCTCTCGGTCTTGGTCACGGCATCCGAACCGGTCTGTCGACCCCTAACCTCGGCGCTGCTGGTGCAAGACCCGATTATTCGGGTGCCAAGATCGTTGTTTGCATGGTTGGCCTTCCTGCCCGTGGCAAGAGTTACGTCGCTAACCGTGTGCTCAAGTACCTTCGATGGTTGGAGTACGATGTCAAAGTCTTCAATGTCGGTCAGCTGCGACGTGCACTGGCTCGCGCCAAGTACAACACGTCGGGTGTGAAGGAGGATCACACCGCGTCGTTCTTCGATCCCTCGAATCCATCCGCGTACAAATTGCGATCGCAGATGGCTGAAGAGTGTCTAGAGCAGCTCATCGGATGGTTGAAGCGTGGCGGCAACGTCGGTATCCACGATGCGACCAACTCGACCCAAGCACGACGAAAGGAGATTGCGGATCGAATCGCCAAGGAGCCGGATCTCAAGTTGGTCTTCCTCGAGTCCATCTGTACCGATCCCAAGGTCATCGATGCCAACATCGCCGTCAAAGTCAGCAGCGGTGATCCGGACTATGCGGGCATGACACCAGAAGCAGCCAAGGCCGACTTCTTGGCACGCATCAAGCATTACGAAGACACCTACGAGGCGGTCAACCACGACGGCTCTGAGGCGCACTACTCCTACGTCAAAGTCACCGACGTCGGCAAATCGGTCACCATCAATCGCATCCAGGGCTACCTCGAGTCGCGGATCGCATTCTACCTGATGAACTTGCACTTGACGCCGCGAAACATCTTCTTCTCACGTCATGGCGAATCGCAGTACAATGTCGAAGGCAAAATCGGTGGTGATAGCGATCTGAGTCCAAGAGGCTGGATGTACGCAAAAGCTCTTCCTCAGCTCATCAAGGACAATATTGGAGATGCGCCGTTGACCGTTTGGCATTCGACGCTCCGACGAACTGGACAGACGGCTTCTGAGCTGCCCTATCCCAAGCTCGCGTGGAAGAGTCTCGACGAGCTAGATGCCGGAGTCTGTGACGCCATGACCTACGAAGAGATCGAAAAGTACTACCCGGAGGACTACGCGAATCGCGACGACGACAAGTTCAACTACCGCTACCGCGGAGGCGAATCGTACCGCGACGTTGTCGTTCGACTCGAACCGATCATCATGGAGCTCGAGCGACAGGAGAACATCCTCATCATCGGACATCAGGCTATCATCCGATGTCTGTATGCCTACTTCCATGCGCTGTCGCAGGAAGATCTGCCGTACATCAAGATCCCGTTGCATACGGTGATCCAGTTGACACCCAAGGCGTACGGTTGTGACGAGAAGAGGTTCCAGCTGCCCATCGAGGCGGTCGATACGCATAGACCGAAGCCGTTGAGGAGCGATATCGACGATCACCCGCCGACGCCCCCGCTGGATCCGTTGGAGGAGGCAGCCACCAGTGCCCCGCCAAGTCAGGTAAAGCCGAATTTGGAGGTGGCGTAGTGCGATGACGATCTATAGAAAATTTGTACGCGTTTCGCATGCGCCGGCAATACACCACACCACTTCACGTTCACTCGCGACTCGGGATGTTCCTGCTGCGTGACATCGAGTGTTTCCGTATGAGAAGCTTCTGATGCAATCAATGGATTTTCCTTCCGTTCAATGAAACTGCGACCTTGTATACATAACCATGATTGTACATTTCTTGTTTCGTGAGAGACGACTGATTCTCAACCTTGACGAGGAGTGAAGGTGGGCGCAGCTGCCGATAGGTTGGCGTTCGGGGTTGTGTTCGCTGACGGCTTGGATGGGAGACCATGCTGCATGGGCGAGGCGATTGGAGGTGCAGCCGGCTTCTTCTTTCCGTCCGCACCGTTGCTACTCTGACCCTTGGTATTGCCCTTCGGCGAAGCCTTCTTGCCAATGTCGTTGCCATCCGCAGCATCCTGTTTTGCCGCATTCTTGCTCGGCGTGCGGTCGGCGTTTGCCGACGCATCGCTTGCTTGCCTACCGTTCGGTTTGCTTGCTCCACTCTGCTTGCCGGCTTCCGACGTCTTGTCGCTCCTAGCTTTTGTAGAGTTACCATTCACTGAGGTGGCCTGTGCCGGATCCCGACCTGTCTTGGACGCTTTCTGATTTGAGCCCAAGGATTGCTGCTGCTGCTGCTGTGATTGCTTGCCTAGCTTCTTCGCCCCCTTACCCTTTCCTCCAGCATTGTTGCCCTTCTTCTCCTTTTGCAGCCGTTTCGATTCCTCGGCGAACCATTTTTCAAACTCTTCTGCCTGCTTTTGCTCTTCCCTGCGACGCTCTTCTGCCTGTCGCTCTTCCTCCTGAATGTCGAGGAAGCTTCTGCGAGCTGCAGCGGCTTGTCGCATCGTCTCTTGTTCTGCCTCGATCGCCATCTTCTGCTGCTCTTGGATCTGAGCAAACGTCAGATTCGCTGGAGATGCAGGCGGGCCGACTTGCTCCGTCGCTACCTTTTGAGCGTCGGCGTTCAGAAGTGAACGAGACAAATTGGATGAGGGGCCTCGCTGAACTTCCGGTCTTCCGACACGCGAAGCATTCAAAGCTGGCGTTGGAGAAGGCGAGGTGCCATAGGCGCCCAGAGAGGGAGCGACCGCTGGGGTAGCCCAGACTGCTTCGCTCGTGTTCATCCGCTTTGGTGTGGATTTGGCGCCCATGCGCGACGGTGTATAGGTCGGTCCGAGCCCATTGGCCGGTGACGCGCTGGCATCCGAAAGGGACGGTCGCGAGCCCTGTCCGGCGAAGCTACCCGGCTGCAAAGGTGCGGCTGAAGGACGTCGGCTGCCGGGTGTAGACGAAAGAGGTGGAGTGCCCTCGTGAGAGGTCCCAAGCGCCATGGCTGTCGTTGCGGCGGCTTTCATACTCCAAGGCGAAGAGGCAGCAGGCTTGTCCGGTGGGGATGAGCCAGACTCGGCCATCTTCCATGGTGACGAAACACTACCACTGCGCGTCGGAGCTGGCTGCGCTGATGCTGTAGCGGCAGCAGCTAGACCTGCTTCCTGTTGCTGCCTCTTGCGCTCTTTCTGTGAAAGACGCGTACTGGCAACGCTGATCGACGACAGCTCAAAGCCTGGAGCGACCGACTTGGGGACTGGCGTCGACGTTCCTGAGCCGCTGGGAGTCGTGGCATTCGAAAGGTGGGATACGACAGTGGTCTGCTGACGTTGCTGTTCCAGAGCCATGATGCTGCGCAGGTCCTTCGGCGGGTCGGCGGGACGAAGCGCCGGCGAGGCGGAAGACTCATTGACGCCTTGCTTTCTCTCGGCCTCGACAGTGCGGGACTTCCAGGGCCGCGACGGCGAGCTTTTCTCGACAGTATCGTCGAGACTGAGATGTGCGACCTGAGGCAGAATAGCCCATGGCGATCCATGGGTGCGAGACGAGCTTGCGTCCTTTCGAGGCGTTGCTAGGTCGTCTTCGTCCATGGAGAATACCTCCGAGGTCTCGTCCATGGACCGCTGCGCGATACCAGCGCCTACAGGTCGCAACGTATCAGGACTAGCGGGTGTCTTGGCGCCGAAGCGGGCGCTCGATGAACGTCGATTTGAATCCTGTGCCAAGAAAGGAGGCGACTTCATGTCCGCGAGCCCTGCGCCCTTCTTCGGACGAACCTTGTTGACGATGAGATGCAAGCTTGGCGGCGGAATGTCGAGATCATCGTAGAAATCTCTGTGCTTCTCCACCAGAGCAGCGAGGCGGTCCTCTGCAAAGGTGCGATGCACCTTTTCGTCTTGCTTGCGTCGAACGTAGACGGTGAGAGCTCGGATCATCCCTTGATCGAGCTCGTTGAGACGTCCGCCCTCCAGCAGTGCCTCCATGCTCTTTGTGCAATAGTCCATGGTGATATCTTTGAGCTGATCGGCCTTGTATAAGTCAGCTTCCGTCATAACGGCACCGACAGTATGCGCAAGGATGCGCCTTCGTAGCAAAGAGCTGACAACAAGCTTGAGCTTGTCAAGCAGCAGCTCGTTTGCCGCGGCCATGACTTCAACTAGGAAATCCATGTACATCTCCAACGATCGATCAGCATCGCAACCGGTAAAGAGCGTCTCGCCATTGTCTGTGTAGAGGTGCATCAGCACAATGCGTGCGACCTCCCAACGCAGATGGCTCATGTCAAGAGTGATGACATTGTCCTTGTCCCAACGCGAAGCGGTCCAGTGAGGCTGGAAGAGGGCAGAGAAGAACGGCGACCTGCGCAGAATCACCGAGTGGACGGGCACGGTGCGATCTTCGAGGCGAAGCAACACATCGTTGAAGCTCTTGCCTTGTTGCATCGCTTCAACGTCGACATCGACGAAAGACGTGAACAGGGCAGACATATTTGCGCGTAGCGTCGGCTCCGGTGGACGCGGCATGCTAGCTTTGATGCTGGCAGCAAGAGCAGGTAGGTCGAGACGTTCTGCGAGGAGGCGTAGCTCATCCTGGATACGTGCTCGATCGACCTTCGCTGCCTTGAGCTCCTTGTCGATGACAAGACCGACGCTCGGGACCCATATTGGCGGAAGGTCATCCGAGTAGATGTAGTGCAGCAGGAACAGAGCCGAGACCAAGCTGCAGTTGGAGAGAGTCAGGATCAAGACGTGTTTGGTGTTGCCACTCGTCGCCAACTTGATGCCTGCAGGCAACCGTTCCTTGACGCTGGGATCCTGCAGCGCCGTTTGGAGAGAGGGAACGCGCGCTTTCAGAATGACTTTGTGAACAGGCAGGTAATGTCCGTCGGCGATCAGGAAGGCGTCGCAGCCAAAAGGCGGCGTCAGATTATGAGGACCGTAGAAGGCCTGTCTTCTTGCTGTGGTAGACAGGGGTTGTGACGCTGTCAGGTCAGGAGATGATTCGTCCTCGGCACCAGAAACCATTCGACCGGCGACCCAACGTTTTGCGGCCTCGACGATCAGCAGTGCCATCCGAGCGTATCTTCCAGTGTCGGTCTTGCCGGCTTCAAGGCGACGATCGTCCTCCGAATCGCTGTCCGAGTCAGCATCGCCTTGAACGTCGGCGATCTCGATGACTTTTGTCGTGATACCCTTTTCCTTTTCGTTCTCTTGACCCAATGTCTGCACCTTGAGATGAGGCAATAGATCGCGGACCGCCTCCTCGACGGATCGGCCCTTGACTCGCACGTCTGGCAATCCAGGGTCGGCTTTGATGGCAGCAAGTGCGCCGCTTTCGCTGGTAGCAACCTTGACCACACGTTGGAGGTATGGGATCTGCTGAAATTTGAAGTTTTTGCCGCCACCACCCTTGCCTCCTCCGCTGGCGTCACTCCTGCGTGGGCGTACAAAGCAGTGACCGCTCTCGGTGCAGAGAATGACGGAACCATCGGCACCGATGGCGACGTCTCGAACGGCAGTGAACTTCTTTCGCACCGACCAAAGCAACTGAGGCTTGGGCGCCGACTGGGCTGCCGAGGACTTTGCGGCTGAAGAGACGGGCGCACCCGCTCTGCCGGACCCTCCTGTGCTGCCATACTCGGACGGATGCTCGAGGTTGAACGTGAACAGATCGCCCATGTCACTGAGGGCGGCAAATGTGTTGCCACTGCTGGTGAGCTTGGAAATGAGGGTCTTGGGCTGAACCTGCCTTGGCCTGAAGACAGAGATGCTGCTGGAGAAGCGGGCGAGAGGAAAGTTGATGCGAAAGTGCGTGTCGTTGTGCCAAACAAAGACGTCACCGCCTTCCATCAGGCAAGCTGTACCAAAGTCGGAAGCGGCAATCTCCTGAATGCCCGCACCTGCGGCAAGCGCTGTGACCTTGCGTGGCTGGACTTGCACTGCTGTACCGCTTCTGTCGTATCCGAGCTGACCGGTGTTCGTTCCCCATGTGTACAGACCGTCCGAGGTGTAGACGGCCGAATGTAGCTTGCTGCAAGCGGCGCCGAGGACAACCTCCTTCTTGAGAGGACCAACGATCCGTCTAGGAGAGACTTGGATATCGAGCTCGATATTTTGAGGGGCAGCGGGTTGACCGAAAGTAACACCGGCTCCAGCACCAAGCTTGCCTGACGTGGAAGCGACAGTGCCGAACCCCTGCTCTATGGTGTAGCCGAGCTGGGAGAATCGATTGAGACCGAAGGAATAGACGGCGCCGGATGCTGTGATGATGAGCGTGTGATCCTGAGCGACGGCGACGGAGCGGGCGGTCTCATTGAAATCTTTGAGCGGCTCGAACGAGGTCTGCGTCTGCGGTGATCTGCCCAAGCGACCGTTGCTGCCGAGACCGCAGACCCAGACATTGGCGGCTTTTTGATCGGTCAAGACGACAGTATGGAGACGACTCATGGCAACTTCCCTGATCCCTATGCGGTCGAACTTCTTGCCAGCGGGCAGAGATGATCTAAACGCATCCTCTATTGATTGTGTTCCGTTGCTGTTTGTCGGAGCTGGTGGACGTAGTGTAATCTTGTCTGGCAGCTGTCGATCGTCGCCGTCGCCAAGGCCGAGATTGTAGTTGCGATTTGATCCCCAGGTGAAGAGCTGTGTGAGGATGCGTGAGTGGTGTTGTCGATGCGAGTGCGAAGACGACAAGGCATCTGCTGGAGGATTGGTGCCTGCGACTGTCGAATTGTAGAGGTCGAAAGCAGTGAGGCCCTCGAAATCCTTGACGCGGAGATCGATGTCGCTTCTACGAAGAAGAATGATGGCAGTCTGCAAGTTGGCAAGGTAGAGCGCCCTGTGCAGCGGCGTGTATCCGCTCTCGCCATCTTGGAGGTTGACATTGACGCTGGGATGGGAGAGGATGGCGTTGAGGTAGCTGTAACTCCAAGGCTCGGTGCTCGAGGCGATGTGATGCAGGACAGTTCGGCCAAGATGATCGCGTCGGTTCACTTCGGCAGGCGGACATGGCCCTGATGACTCCTTGTGGCTGTGTGGCGACTTTGAAAAAGAGCCAGCGCCGGCGCCATAGGACCCATTATTGTTGGACTGGGTGGCGCCCGACTTGTCGGACGGGCTGCCTTTGAGTACGGCGCGAAATCTTTGTAGATCGCGCACATGCCAGCAATCTAGAAGGGTGGGAGCGACCATGCAACGAGAGAGCGATACCCTGGATCAGGGTACCACCCGCTTGAAAGCCGACAGAGGAGCTCGGCAAAGGCGCGAGACCAGGTCGACTTGCAAGTGGGATCTGACTCTGAGGAGCACCTATGCAGTGCGCCGTGACGAGTCTTGTGGGGAGCGACTTTGAGTGGGAGTGCTTTCGAAAGCGCCGATTGATCCGTAGTGTCTGACGCTTTGCTTCGATGTTAACGTGACGATACGTAGGCGAGGGGATGGTCCAGGTGATGCGATCTGGGGGGACGAGTCGGTCTCTGCGGTGACTTGTTGTCGTCTGTAAGTGGAAGGAGAGATGTCCGAGGCCGTTGTGGTGTTCCGTTTCTGGAGATGACCAGCTCGTACGAAGGAAAGGACGTCAGCTGGATCCAAAAATGGATGATTGCTGTGATGTAGAGTTGCAGAACGCCTTCCATTGATCTACGGAAGTTTGAACAGAAATAGCCGATGCGAAGGCGCGATTCGGGTGAGTTTGGCTATTCCGAGCGGGTCGTCCGAAGGATGAGCAGGGCCTGATCAGAAGGCGATTGTTGAGTCGAGGATGTAGGTCGAGACCGATGGATATGGTGGGTCTCGAGGGACGTTGGTCTCGCTGCAGCTAAGTTATTAATACCATTGTACGCTCACCGAGAAAAGTGGAGTCGGAAGCTCGCTCAGGAACTGCTTCTCTTGCACCAACCCTGCGGCAATTTGCTGCAGCCAAATTCGCGTCGAGCGGTTGGCTGAGCACAGCTCACAGCTTCTGTGCATCTCTGCGGCTTGGCTGTGGCGAATTTCCCGGTCCCTTCGGAAGCTTCACGTCGGGTGCACCGAGCACGTTGCTGCTTGGACCCTAGATTCCGGCCACTCTGCCATTCTTGGCCGATGAGATGACTACAAATAGATGTGACTGTCCATAGATGTCAAGTCTCACATCTCGGTGCTTGACAACGCTCTCACTTTCTTGTGGCAATCGGCATCTCCAAACTTCTCGAGTGGAGACTCGATCAGCCAGTTTGAGCCGCTGAAGCACGAGAAAGCGTGGGAACGTGAACCATCGCGTAAAACACCCGTGTCGAGGTCGGATGGTCGGATGCAATCCGACGAGAACGGCTGCAGCTCTCCAGTACCGCTTCGGGTGATGGCCACTGCTGTTCGTGGCCACTCGACCTGGCATTCTAGCCGGTAGTAGCGATAGTGGTAATGCCGCGCCGCAGTGGTGACATCGCGCGTTCCTGAGACTGTGCTTTGGCGAACGCTAAGAAAGGGTTCGCCTTTTCGAGGGAATTTGACCCTCCTCGCCCGGCACATCGGACCCTAAGAAAAGGAGGGGGATCATTTTTACTTGGGAAGGGAAGGTTTATATAAGGTAGCTTTTGCTGCGCATTGCTCACCCGGCCACCTCTTTCTTTCTAGCCAGCTCAGCACCCTGGCTACCACTGCCTAGCCGTGCCAGTTAGCCAATGAATAAGCCAGGCTATGAAGGATGACTGATGAATGATAGAGGCGCCGCAGCAGAGGTCGCTGGCTCCATGCTATGATATTTCAGTTGAATCAGCATCAGGTGGCCTATTCGCGTGAGATGACTGAGACTGGTACTCCAGTCAAGCAAGCAAGAGGCCTGGACCCTTGCTCTTCTCTTCCAGTTTCAGTACAACGACCCTGCAGCCAAAGTCGGATAGCGTGTCGGACCCTGTTGGTCTCACACCCACTCTCAACGCCGCTTCCTCTCCCTTCCTCTATCTCATCGACAAGCTCGTACTCATCTCGCGACATCAGCTGTCTTGGCCCTTGGGATCCATTCGGTCGATCAATTCGCACTAGCCGATATGGCTGCGTCCACCGCCTCCTCTAGCTACGCCCACGCCGATGGCGCACTCTCGTCATCCGCAACCTCGTCGATCGCCGGCTCTTCCACCCTCTATTCTGCCACCGGCTCTTCTTCCACAGCAACAGCAACCACTGCATCCAGTCCTACGGATCAGCTCCGCGAGACCTTCACCAGGCGCATCGGCAGTCTCGCTTATCTGAAACGCTCACTTCGAGGCCAGACAACCTGGTTCTCTACGATCCAACTCGATCCCGACGAGCTAGCCTCCTACTTTGACAATGATCGCATGCACAAACGTACTTTACGCTACTCGCTCCTCGGTCTCAGCTTGTCGAGTATCCTCGAGCTCTCAAACCCCAGCGACCTCGCCAGAGCCATCGTCTCGCTGCTGAACGAGCTCGAATCGTACACAGATGACAGCATCGCCGCACTCACCAGTGGTGCGGGTGCCACCAACTTTGGCGGGCAGAGACCCAAGATGCGCAGCCTCTTCAAGACCGGCAAGCAGACCCTCAAGAGATCGACGGTAGCACAGGCGATCAGCGAGTTCGGCACCATGGATTCGGGCATAGCAGCTGCATCCATGTCGGCAGGAAGTAGCGAGCAGAGCTCCTACCTGATGGCTCCCAATATCCCCTTCCAGCTCGACTTTTTCCAGACATTCTTCACGTTGTGCGATATCCTGACGGAGATCTACTACAAGATGCTGTCCTTTTTGCCAAGAGACAACAGCGGGCTGGATGGATCAACGTCCAACTACGGAACGTTCGGAAGAGCCTCTTCACCTCCCACTTCCATCTCTAATCAGGGGAATCAGGACCACGACAGACCTGGCAGCATCAGCCAAGCTTTCTCCTCAGCAGCAGCAATGGGTGACGCGCAGAACGAGGCAGGAGCTTCGATCAATGGCATGACGCAAGAACTCTTGCTCAAAGCAGATGCCAAGATCAAGAAGGTCATCAACACTCAAGTCAAGGACATTGACGGATTCGCACGCCAGATGATCAAGGATGAGCTGGCGTCACTAGATCCACTGATGAAGGAGCTCGGCTTGGAAACCGCCAGCAACTCTGCTGTGCCTCCGTCCTCAGCAGTCAGAGCAACCTTAGCAAATACCGGACAAAGTAGCAGCTCCGGTCTCCCAACATCATCGGCCTCGGCACTTCCATTCGGTTTCACCAACCAACCATCATCCACCCAACCTTCCGCTAACGCACCTGCCAGTAACACGACACCGTCGAAACTGTCCAACCTGGTCACAGCCTCTCAATTCCGTCGTGCCACCGGCGGCGCCAATACCGTCAAACCAGCACCCATTCCAGACTCCTCCCATCACGGACACCACCATTTCAATCTTGGTCCAAACAACACTACCGCAGGGACTGCGAATGTAGAAGCCGGCAACGGGTTGATCACTTCACGGTCAGCGAAATTGAAGAGGATCGCAAGTGGAACGGAGAGAGATCATGATGCGGCGGGTAGCGCAAGTGTCAGCCCCAACAAGCAGCAGTGATTCGCACAAGGGCGTCGCGACACAAGGAACTTGCTCAGTACCAGTGCGGATCACCAGCAACACTGTTGCAATCACACCTTGTGTCACCCACATCACACACTGAACCCTTCCTGCAACACATCTGCATTGCACGTCTCGCTATCCACTTTTAACCTTCTTCCCCCCACCGCCATTCGCCAGCGACAATTTCCTCTTACCCCCTCCTGCCCCACCCCCACCCCCT